GSGYSKYTSATYCMMTACMMGTMGAGTGAGAGAGCACGCTGTGACTCGCTACTACTCTCTGTAAAAAAAGTTTGCAGGGACCATTACAGGTACCTTACACACCTTGCAGTGAGTGTTTTGGTGAGGGCTCCATGTTCTCAAGCCGTAGATAGAGCCATTAGACTGGTCTGGTGATAAATGCTGGTGATGGCTTCATCTTACCTCCATACACGCAAGGAACAGGGCATATGGTATGGAACATAGTTTCCTTGACTATATACCATTTAGCGCTGGCTTTTTGGCAATTGATCACTCTGATTAACACCTTGACAACACTGCTTATTCTCCAGCATGTAGTACTTGAGACCCCGACATCGAAGAGACAGCCTGCCTAGTTCTATTGCTCATTAGTAAAGGATCAATGAGTCTTGAATACTATCTTAATCACACACAGATTCAAGATTGATAAGCAGACGGTTGATAATGCCATGTCGACCTTGTTCGCGGAATGCGAAAGGTAATACTTTTCATGTCCGTTTATAGCCATCAGAAGCCGCCGTCAGCTCGGCCTTGTGGGTCAGATCTTGAGATGATACGTAATACTCCCGGCGCCCTCAGTTGGCGGGGTCAATCGTGGTCACGACCGAGCGTCCGTGCTGCAATTCTCGTGTTTTAGTATATCACACATCCATGCTCGAAACTCTTCATAACCTTCACCATGCCCGTCCCCATTCAATCCTGGCATATAGAATCCCAAAGTGAAGACCTCGTCGGTCTGATACTGAGGGATCATGAGCCTGCTCCGCTGGAACTCGGGGACGATGAAATCCTGGTGGAGATGCGTGCAGCGTCACTCAATTACCGTGACCTGGTCCTGGCAACGGTACGTCTTTCGCCCTCGCATGATGGTCCTGCTGTGGAAACGTGCTCACTGTAGACTGCCAGGGCTCCATTCCCCTGAAGACGCGTGGCAGCGTCATCCCGAGTTCCGACGGGTCGGGGGTGGTCCTCAAGACGGGACGCAATATCCCATCGACCCTGTTCAAGCCAGGCGACAAGGTTGTCACGCACATGACTTCCGAGCTGTATGGCGATTCGTCCCTGGGCGACGATGAGATGCCCGCTTTCGGCCACATCTGCAGCGGGTTGGGGCAAGAGCTAGATGGCACTCTGACGACGCAGGCTGTCTTCCACCGGAGCTGCCTGGTCAAGTTTGGTGGGGACGTGTCGTTCGAAGAGGCCGCCACTCTGTCTTGCTCGGCCATCACAGCATGGAATAGCCTGTTTGGTCTGAGGGGTCACGAGGTGAAGAAGGGAGATTGGGTGCTCGTCCAGGGGAGTGGCGGCGTGAGTGTTGCAGCTCTGCAGTTTTCCAGGGCTGTCGAGGCAACCGTCGTGGCCACCACGAGCAGTACCGACAAGGGAGACAGGCTGCGCGACCTGGGTGCATCGCACGTCATCAATTACCGGGATGTGCCTGGATGGGGTGCTTTGGCCAAAGACATGACTCCCGGGAAGCGGGGGTTCGACCTCGTCCTGGATGTCGCTGGTAATATCACGCTCGGGGAGTCCCTCAAGGCCGTCAAGGATGATGGCAAGCTGATCTTGGCGGGTATGGTGGGTGGTAATGCTGAGCCGGTATCCATGCTGTCCCTCGTCGGCACGAATGTCACAGCTCGTGCTGTTCTGCTGGGCACTAGAAAGATGATGCGCGACATGGTGGCCTTTGTGCAGGAAAAGGGCATCAAGATGGCCCTCGACACTGAGGTTTTCAGCCTCCCCCAGGCCAAGGAAGCGTACCGGAGACTTGCTGCCCAGAAGCACTTTTCCAAGGTGGTCATTCGTATCCCGGGGAATTAGACAATGTCATGATGCATGTGCATTTTTTCATCTTTTCTGTAATCAACAACGCCGCCAATCCGTGAACGCGGTATTCCCCATGATAGTCATGCCGTAGAATGTTTTTTTCCCTTCTCCCTGAGCGTATGCCACTCATCATTCCACCTTTATGTCGTTCCCGCTCGTACCGCGTAGAGCCTTGAGAGCGTCCATAGGCGGCACCTTGTTCGCTGGGTAGAAGAGGAGCAGGTTGTCCATGTCCTCTGGTGTGAGCTCGCACATCTCCTCCCACTTGTAGGTGTCGCTGACACTAGAGATCCTGTATGCGGCCGTCGTATCAGCAAATCTTGGTGACGGATGCCTTTGCTCAAAGGCTGGCACACTTACCACTTCATGCGCTTGGCGCTATCCTCCTGGTTGGGCGCCGTGCTGCGCAGTTTGGCACGTAACTCGCCGATAGCGTGGATGGCATTGCCCGTGTTCTTGGGCAGCTGGCGAGAAATCAGGCGGCGGATGAGGGCGGCCATCCTCGGTCCCCGACCGTTGGTGCTGACCATGATCTGGAGGGGCCCGTCGCGGTGTATGCTGCCAAAGTAAAAATCACACTCCGGAGGGACGTCGGCGATGTTGGCCGGTATCCTCTTCTCCTTGCACAGCTTCCAGATGACCGTCGACGCAGCCGGGTCGTCAATGGCGACGAGAACCATGGCGGCGCCGTTGAGATCTTCCGGCTCAAACACCCGGTCTATGTGCGTTACCTGCCCCTCAGCTACGCGGTATGCTACCTCGTCGTTCAATCCAGAGGCAGGGCACACAACGTGAACGTCAGCATCGGCGTTGAGGCAGTGAACAATACGGCCTGCAGCGACCTGAAGAAAGAGAGCCCTTCGCGTCAGCCATCTGAATCTATCGGCTGCAGAGTCATGTCTTCACTTACCTCACCGCCGCCAACAACCAGGACTCTTTTGCCCTTGATTTGCCACGCGATGATCAGGCTGCCACCAGGCTGCACCTCGGGGAAGTTTTTGGACATATTCGGTGTTTTGCATGGAAATATGTGAAGGAAGATTCCTGTTACTCATCTCTGAGATTTTATAGTGAATGAGGAAGGTACCGATCAACGGGCGGGTGCCGATAAGAGATAAGTGGAGGGAAGGCTCGTTCGGTTAGTAAGAAACTTCCATTACAACCAAACTCCACACCAAATCACATGTATCTCTCTATCGTGATGACGCCTGTACGGGTACTTCGTAACTGCCTATCATGTGTCTCCGCTCAAACTGGTAGCAGTGCCCCAGCCTTGTGCTTGTCTCGTAAGTTCTGCCGTCGTCGCCGTCGTCGCCTTCATCATCTCTCCCTCCCATCCCGACGGACCCTTCCATCACTCTCTAGAGGCGTAACCCGGCCTACCAAAGCTGCGGTCTCCTCTGCCTCGTCATTCTCCGTGCTCTTGCTCCCCCCACAAATGTCCCAACCATCCACAGCAGTGCAGTTCCACCATGTCGGGACGCAAACTTGGAGGCGGTCGCATCCTCGGAAGCGGCAAGGGTCTGGCGCCTCCAACCGCAGCTCCTCGGCCTACCAGTACCGTTGCACCGTCTGATAGCACCATCTCCCTTGGGTCATCGTCGACATCGCCGCCCGTCACGGCTAGTCTGCCTGACCTCCACCAAGACATTGAATCGAGCATCAGTGTTGGCGCCTCGGGTCAGAGGGGGCCAGGATCCGCAGACGCCTCAGCAGCCCTCGTTTGCCCGATCTGCAACGAGGAAATGGTGAGATACCAGGACGACAAATGATTCACATTCAGACTCGACAGCACACTGACTTGATTTCTTCTTTCTCATTCGCAGGTTACATTGCTGCAGCTCAACCGCCACATTGACGACAATCACCAGGAGCTTCCCGAGGAGGAGCAGGACGAGGTCAAGACCTGGTTTGACAAGCAGGTCCTCAAAGCTAAACGATTTCAACCCCTGTCCTTGCTCAATCAGAAGCTGCGCGGCCTCGAGTCGTTCGAATCAAACGAGTCAATGCCCATACATTATACACAGAACGGGGGATCCTCCAACCATGTCCCTCCCTTCTCAGCTGCTGCCGGCAAGGCACAGGCCGAGATGGCCGTTGACCCCGACGAGTTGATCACGCGAAAACACTGGCAGAGAACGACGGCCAATGATTACTGTACTGATCCGACATGTGGCCGCAGCCTCGGCCCGCTCACGGGGAGCATCAATTGTCGACATTGCGGGCGACTCTTTTGCGAGATGCACACCATGTACCAAATGAAGCTCAGCCGTAGCGCCCTCCACGAGCCCGTCCGCGGCTACTGGGCACGCGTCTGCGAGACGTGCTACAAGTCACGAGAGGGTTACAACGACCATACGGGGCTCGTAGTCGACCACACGGCCAAGTTTGTCAAGATCCGCGGTGAAAAGGTTGAGCGGCAAAACCTCGAGGCCTCGAGGCTGGAGAAACGTCTTACCAAACTGACAAGGCTTCTCGCCAACCCTCCCGAAAAGCTGGCCATGCCCATATCGCCAATGGCATCTCTGGCTGGCCAGAAGAACAATAGGAAGCTGATTGAACAGTCAGTTGTGGCGTGGGAAGACGACAGCCACGTTACCAAGTGCCCTTTTTGCCAGCAAGAGTTTGGATCCTGGACATTTAGGCGCCATCACTGTCGGATATGCGGCCGGGTGGTGTGCGCAGATCCAGAGACGCAGTGTTCCCTGCATGTCGGCCTGAGCGTTGCCAATTGTAGGTGCCGACCGCTAGATCCTGATCTGCTGTCATCTAGCATAGTGCTCTAACATCATCACAGCAATTAGCCAGTCTACCGAGAAACCGGCCGTCCCTGCCTCACCAGGCCAGGTGAATATTGACGTACGCATGTGCCGCGACTGCAATCATAGCATATTCTCAGGCCGCGAGTTTGCCGAATCGTTACAGCAGAAACCCGCCGACCAGCGCGCCTACGAGACGCTGCGCCAGTTCGAAGGCGGCATCCGCGAGCTGCTGCCTACCTTCCACCGCGCGCTGACGGCTCTGCAGCCGGACAAGACGGAGACGGGTGGGGTTGACCTGAACAAGCCTCCACCGACGCACGCCCAGATCCAGGAGGCGGCCAAGATCCGCAAGCGCCTCGTCGATAGTTTCGCCAAGTACGGCGCCGCCGCCAAGCGTATCCGCGACCTGAGCACCAAGAGCCCCACGCAGCGGAAGCTCCAGATGGCTGTGTACACGTACGCCAGCGGCTTCCTGCACACCAACATGCTCCCCCTCAAGAGCCTGCCGGCCCTCCTCCGGTCGCACTCGGCGCCTTTGTCATCATCACGCTTCACGTCCCCCCACCGGGGCTACTCTGGCCTTCGTCACTCGCAGCTAGCCGGCTCGGAGCCCCCGACGGCAAACTCTTCGGCGCCCCCCAGCGTCACAGACGACGGCTCCAGCACCGTAGTCTCCCAGCTTGAAGTCGAGGAGAAAGACCTGCGCGAGCGGCTCGTCGTCCTAGAGGAGCAGCGCTTCATGGTGGACGACATGCTCCGCTCCGCCACGTCAGCCCGTCGCTTCGAAGAGGTCAGCGCCCTGTCGCGAAACCAGGACGAACTTCAAAGTGAGATTGACGATTTGCGCGCCAAGGTCAGAAACCTCGAGGCCCGCTGGGAGGGTGTCTATACCAATCCCGTCTAAACTTTCCTCTCGTCTCTCTCTCTCTCTCTCTCTCCCCTCCTCTCCCCCATCTTTCCTTTCTTCTCTTGTGCCTCTGATTTTGGGATATCTGCTCTCTGCATTATCATTATCTGCGTGGCGTTACCGGGTCATACAGTCAACTAGCGACAGGTCTTGTTTTGCATTTCCTTTCTTGTTTATATAGCAAACAGTCTTCTCGAGATTCACATAATATATCATTGCAACCAAATATTAGCCGTATTACACCTTGTTCCTCTACGTTCTCACTGCGCTCTCTGACTTGGGATATGTGTATACTGGTGATTCCTGCCGGAGGCTTCCTGCGGACAGCCCTTCTCGCTTCGGTCACTCAACCAAGTCATCAGACAGTTGGGCATATGCGTGGCATATGGCAGTTTCAGTATCCACCATGAACCGGTGTGCAAGCATGGCCGTTCATCTGCGCGTACGATTTCACGAGCCAGATTGACGAGGGGGAAAGTCCCACGAGCTCCGAGCCCATCTCCCGTAAGACTTGGCAAGTGGCAGCGCCCCTCAAGCCATCCGAGCTATATCGTTGCGATGCTTTCCTTCTGTTCTCGACACTCCTTTCCTTCTACAACTGACTACTCTTTGAAAAAGTTATTGTAGAGGAGGAGCAGGGCTGATGGTCAGCTGACGTGGCTTGTGGGAGGTGCCTTGTTTATGAACATCCATTCTTGTCCGATGAAGCCATCGCGTCTTTCCATCTTACATCATCAATCACATCCGCAGAGCAAAATAGCCAGCAACGCCCCCGATTTCAATACAGTAGCAGCACCACTCGATACCGGCTCTAAGAAGGTAGCGAGAATGGCCAACGTACCGGCGGTCGACCGAGAAATGGGAATGTCGGAGGCCTTGGCTGGCTTGATCAGAGAGGTCGAACAACTACGGGAAGAGCAGGTCAACACGCGTCAGGAGATACAGCATGTCCGACAGGAGATGCACAGTGCTTTTGCCACCATGTCGCGGCAGAATACGGCAAGATCTGTCTCTCTTTTTCTATCCAGGAGGAAGCAGGAAGCTGACGGTGACGGTATTCAGAGATCGGAACGCATCGATTGCTCGAGTGAATGCATCGGCGCTGAGGCCGGACAGTCAGTTGGAGCCGCTCTTCAGCCTCGAGACCGGGGAGGTTATGGAGGGTTTTCCACCGACGCCGGAAGAGTTGTCGTATTCACCTTGTGAGTGCTGTAATTCCGTCTCGGCGTATGCGTTGGATAGCATGACGGCTGACATAGGATGCCTCCAAGCCGCCGACGTTGACTATCTCCTCGCTCAGTTGAAGATATCCGAGCAGGGAGACACATTGACACGGTTGAGGATGTTGGCGCACGCATCGGGTGTCACACTACAGACCTACTAGTCTCTCAAAGCCAGCATCCCTCTTTTTTATACACCTGATGGTTTTTGTTAGCATAGATGAGATCACCACTTGGGAAACATGGTCAGTTTCAGCAATAGGCAACGAGGTAGCTTCAATCTCGTCATGCAGTAGCGTAGTATCTATACATGGTTGATGCGTGGTTGTGAGGTTAGTATCTTTGAATGAACCAGCGTGAATCCGCACAACCCGCCCAAGCATCCGTCCAAGCATCGCCACCCACACCAGGGTCAAACTGGGTGTCCTCCAGGTACTGCGATGGGAAGAGAGGAGCTAAGACGCATATTCGCGTATTCGCATCTCAGTTCTCTAGTCGTATTTTGTACAAAAGCCTCATATGTGCTTTTTTTTATTTTAACTAAATTAACCGTGTTTGCGCCAAGACCGTACATGTTCATCCTCCACGTTTCTATCCAAATTACCGGTTTAGGAAATAGCAGGGCCTCACTCACTCTCCTCCTCCTCCTCCTCCTCTATCCCTGCGGGGGGCCTTCCTGCGGAGAGCTACTCCTCCCTCCGCTCGCTCTATTATGTGGAAACAAATCTCGATAGTAGAAAGAACTGGCTACAGAATATGGATCGTACTTGGATTGTAGAGACCAAAAAACTATAGTATATAAGCAGAAAAACAAAAAACAAAAAAACAAATGCCGAAACGCCGCATAATACTATACTAGATATGAACCAAAAAAAAACCTTTAAACGCTGCCGTGAGGACGTTACCCTCACCCAAAGGGGGTATTATATGATGAGAAGAAAGCCAGAGGTGGAAATGAGCCCCTGGTGAAAAAACAACGGGTGAGTGGAATGGAACGTGGTGAGGTGTCAGATGAGGGAGAGAATAGAAACGGAAGTGAGCAGTCAAGATGAGGAGTCGAAAGGTAAAGAGGGGTTTTTCTTAAAAAGACATCAGACAGTTGCACCCTCGACACCACCCAAGAATCGTCTCACACGTCCGATATCGAGATCATTCTCACTCTCCACCGCCTTGAGTAGCCCGTCGACCACGGCGTCGACCTCATTCTCCGCGACACCGGTACACAGTGCCACGACTCTTCGATATTTCACCTCGACATCCCTGCTCCTGCTCTTGAGTCCGTTGACCATGGCCCGCGTGGCTTTGACCGACCCGCCCAGGGCCTCGAGGCGCTTCCTCAGCACGCTCGCCGAAGGCAGGAAGCCGCTGGCCGGGGGCTGGTTGCCCGATGACGCCGCCTCGAGAATGGTCGACAGCTCCGTCTCCCACGACGTCGAGGCCGCGTCACGCTGCTCCTGCATGGCGCGCATCTGGTCGTCCTGCCGGATCGACGCCAGGTTGGCAATCATCTGCCGGGCTACCTGCTGCTTCTTGAGCGCGGCGGCGAGCTGGTCGGCATTGCGGCGGGCATCTGCCAGCTGGGCCGATGTGGTGCGGAGCGCCGTGTGCAGGGAGTCGATGGACGATTGTTTCGATTTCAGTTCTTGATGGAAGGACGAGCTCGTCTCCGTCAGAAGGTGTGTGATTGCTGGTTCCGAGTTAGCCTTGGCACCCTCGTTTTCCTTCCTTGCTCTTTTCTCCCTTCCCTCCTTGCTTCCTGCTTCCTCCTCCTCCTCTTCTTTTTATTCTTCTCTCTCGTTGCTTCCGCATGTTGATGATGATCGCAAAAAGGAGATGGAAAAAAGTACTCACAGGCAATTATCTCGTCGCTGCTCTCACGAGCACGCGGGTTGGTGACAGCGCCGTTGACATCAGTCTTGCTCTCCCCATTGACGACGGCCTTGTCATCTGCCGAGTCCCCGCCGATACCAAAGTCGAGAGGTCGCAGCCCTGCGCGGTTGGAGATCTCGGGGTCGGCGCCAACCTCGAGCAGCTGCGAGACGATACTCCTGTTGCCTATACGGGCGGCAATGTTGAGCGCCGTGTCGCCCGCGCTGTCCTGGGCGTTGACGATCTCCGTCATGAATCTCGCGATGCCCATCTTGGGCTGCGAGTTGCTGCCACTGCTGGGCAGATTGCCATTGGTCTGCTGGCTCTGGCTGCCGGGAACGCTGCCCTGGCGAACGACCCACTCTAGCAGGCTCTCGAGGTAGTACCTGCTCGCTGAGCTGCGGCCCTTGACGGCGCTGGTGACGGCAATGTGGTGCAGGACGGTGCGGCCCTTGTGGTCCCGGGATTCGATGGTGCTGCCGAGGACCTCGAGGAGGTCAGGGAATGACCCGTGGTCCATCGAGTTGGTCACCAGACAGGCGCGCATCAGGGCCGTCTCGCCAGACAGGTTGACGCGATGGGGGGAGGCGCCTGCGGCGATGAGCGCACGGAGGAGGGGCATGCGCGACAGAGTGGCCGCCCAGTGCAGGGCCGTGTGGCTCTGACTGTCGATGGGGATGTCTAGCTCCGCGGGGGCGAACGAGCACAGCATGTCCTGATTGAAGTTGTCTGAGGCACCGTCGTCCATGAATAGGCCCATGAGCAGGTTGCGCTTGTTGTTGACGTCGGGCGACTCCTCGTATGCCAGCGGCGGGAGAGACCCGTTGGCGTCCTCCTCGGGAGTCTGGTCGTGCATGGCGGCGCTCTGTTGTGTGTACACGAAGGACTCGTTGGGCTCCGTAGGCGACCCGGGGAAGGCTGATGCGTACACGTCCACGTTCTGACCATATCCGGTGCCCGCGCTAAAGCCGTCGACAGGGGTCATGGCAGTGCGCTTACGCTTGCGAGGGGGTTCAGACTCAGCGGCCTGTTGGGATGATGGGCGCTGCTGCTGCTGCTGCTGCTGCTGCTGTTGCTGTTGGTAGGAGGAGTCGGACGCGGAGGCCGGCGGAGGCTGGCTGTTATTGTTGTAATCGGACATGTAGCTCTGCTGCGAGTTTCCAGGAAAGTCATCATTGTTGCTTTGGAAAGAGGACTGGCGGGCAAAGCTGCCTGCGCGGGCGGGTCCGTTCCGGCCCCTTGGACCGGGCGAGTCGAAGCGAGCCTTGCTGATGGCGGCGACAGCGTGCGAGGCGGTAGTAGATATGTTCTTGAAAAAGGTGCCCGACACACCGTTGGGGCGGGTGTCGGCGGCCGAGTTATTGTAGAGGCGCTTGCGCTGAGCGGCCATGGCTTGCTCCTTCGTCGGGGTGTTGAGGTCCCCGCGGCCGGCGATGCCTCCGTCCTGGCCCATGTCGTAGGTGAGGAGCGGGCGGAGCATCTCCTCGACGCCGTACTGGCGACAGACCTCGACACCGCGTTCGAAGCGGATCCAGGTGCCCTGATATTTGCCGTAGCCTCCCTGGACTTTTTCGTGCTCGCCCGTCTGTATCTCCTTTTCGAGAATCTTTGTGCGCTTGCCTTTGTCGACGCCGGCGACCTTGAGGATCTGGGTGGCATTTACCCACGAGTCTTTGCGACGGCGCATGACGGCAATGCTATTTACTTCCATTTCGTAGACGTCGACACCCGAGTATGAGGCCTGGAGGGGAGAGTCTGTTAGCAGGTGACCGAATACGGGGTGAAGCGCGAATGAAAGCCCGTACCGAGTATATCTGGGGAGAGCCAGAGCCATTGTAGCCGCGAAACGATTGTGATGGTTGACTCATGGTGAAGGACTGCTGTGAGGATTGAGATGCCGAGGGCATCATCGGTGAGGGAGAGCGCCGTAAGCGGCGAATGAGTTGGATAAGGGAAAGAGAATTGGCCTGAACGAGGGCGAATCAGTCCTCTAGCGGGATATTGTTGAGAGAGGGACAGAGAGGAACGAGGAGATCAGAGATCAGAGATCAAGCCGACAGTTGGCGATAGGCAGGCACATAATCAGCAAAGTCGGCAGTCAGAGTCGGATCGGGTCGAGATGGATGGATTGGAGGAGAAAAGTCGTCGAGCGACCTCGCGAGTAGAGAGATATGCAGGATGTGGGTTGGTCTGGTGGCAGGAATCCACTCTGCTGTGCAGTGGATTGCGTGTGGGTTGCAGCAGGCGCTAGAAAGGCTCTTGGCGAGGGTCAGAGAGGGTGTAGTTGTACAGGTAGGTGTGTATCCGCATGTACGAGTAGATGGATGCGTTTATCGAAGGTGATCGGTCGCTCGTATATGTCGGATGCTCGTACTCGTATCGATAGTTCTGGATTGACTCCTCTGTCGTCTGCCTCTGTCGTACTGTGCACAGATGAACGAATGGCGTGGAAACTTAGGCGAGGTAGAAGAAAAAAACAAGGAAAGTAAGAGTGCGGTTGATGAATAGATAGGACCAGACGTGAAGATAGGGGGTCCTTGAATTTACTGGCAATATGACTCGTTCAGCTATTGACCAGCTTCAAAGGCTCCAAAGTGACAAAGGGAGAGCTTTCTTCTCGTAGACCGCGGATGGCGATGGTTGGCACGCGTTGGGAGAGCAAATTCAATTAAGATTGAGGCGTCTGGCGTGTCTTTTTCGTGATTTCGTGTCGTGGACGCGATGATGAGTAAGCGTTTGACGTAAGCATTTCCTTTCACAGCAATTCTTTTAATCATTACCTCTCTGATCCATGCCCTGTAATCTGTACGATGCCCTGTATGACTTGTGCCCTGTAATAGGCCCTGTAATATGTCACCCTACACTCGTAGTATGCCCTGTATTGCGTCCTGTATTAGCAGTGCCTGTGCCCGTATTCGGTGCTGTCACATTACTTTCTCCACATGTTAGCACCTCAGTGCATATCCCACCACGCCACTAGCATTCCACCGTAAACCCTCCCCAACTGCTCCCAAGCTCCTCCTCCATCACCACCACCATCTCCCTCCACTACCTCTGGTAGTGTCACACACCCTCAACAACACCACAATGCCTCCGAGCACCTCCATCCCCGGCAAATCACCGCTCCACATATACCGCCATCTGCTCCGCGAGATCTCCTACCTCCCACCGGCCTTCTCCTCCACCATATCCGACCAAGTCCGCCATCAATTTCACCAACATGCCAACAGTCCCACCCACGCCAAGCTTCGCCTGTCGCGCGCCCGCGCCGGTCTGCGCACCATCATGGCCGCCAACCGTGGGGACACCGACTGCATGACGAGGCTGATGGCCAAGGGTTTCGGTCGCGAGGGGAAACGGCGAAGACAGCTAGTCTCCGAGTTCGTCGTGTCGCAGGGCGTGGGGGACTCGTCTTCGCTGGAAAAGATGCTCGAGGCTGCCACCGTCGACGACGACGGCGTCGCGGCGACGACACCGGACGATGCGAGGAGCAGTACCAAAAAACGGAAGGATAAAAACGCCTTTCTCGACCGTTGGGACCGTCCCAAGCTCCTCCAATTCCTCAAGACGCAACAGCGGGCTCAGAACGAGACCAAGACGTCCGTCATCTGGGGCGGCAGCCCCATCAAGACCGTCGACGACATGGCCGGCATTCCCGCCACAAACTCCTGGGGCAAACCGCCCTCCGAGACCCTGGTCCGCGCCAAGCAGGCCAAATGGTGGAAACGCCACGCCGACAAGATCATGCCCCCCATCGACAAGGGCGAATGGCAGCTCCTCCAGCGCCTCAGCGACGGCGCGCAATCGCAGAGGGGCAGCGAATGGGCTATCCCGCCGCGGCGCACACCGGCCGTCAGCCTGTCCGGGCCTGTCGAGGAGGATACCAAGTCGAGGCTGGACGCCAGCGCCTTCCACTCCGCTGCCTTTGTCGACCGTCCCCGCACCGTCCGGCTCCGTCGATACACGGGCGAGAGTCGAGACGCTGGCCCCTATACCGGCAAACCCCACCGCGATACCATATCTGATCGCTGGTTCCGTCGCGCCTACCGTCGTGTGTGGCGCAAGACGTCGTATGCCGAGATGGATGCCAATACCCTCAAGTACACCTTTACGTGGGGCAAGGCCAGCTCGACGTCTCTGCCGCCGCCATCACCCACCCAGTCTACCGTATTCGACGGTGTTGACGACAATGGCCAGCCCAAGTCGGCATAGTGTATATAAATCACTGTACATCTTTACATTACCGTATAACTACCTACCATTCTCTTCGTGCCTCCAGCGGCCCTCACCGGCGGATCCCCTGCTCGCTCCGCTCGCTAATCGAGCAGATGCGCCAACCTGTCCAGCCCGTCATTGTCAACCCTCATGCCAACCCACTCGTCCATAGCCTTGGCCCCGATACTCTGGTAGAACTTTATACTCGGCTCGTTCCACTTGAGAACGCTCCACTCCAGCCTGGCCCCCTTCATCTCGACGACCTGCCTCGCCAGCTCGACGAGCAGCCTCTTTCCGTACCCTTTCCCGCGCTGGGCAGGCCGCACAAACAGGTCCTCGAGGTATATCCCCCCCACTGACCGCCAGGTGCTGTAGTTGTAAAAGTACAGCGCTATCCCCGCCGGTTCGCCCTCCGGCGTCGACAGGACGAGACACCGTGCCGGTCGGGTGGGCGACGTCGGCTCCAGCGTCTGGGCCGTCCCGTCCGTCGAGAAGGCCAGCGTGTCCTCGAGCGATTGCACCGTTGCCTTGACCGCGTTCGACTCGTGTTCGTAGTCGGCTAGTGCTTGGATCATGCCTAGGATAGCGGGGACGTCTGGCTCAGGTCAGGACGTGGTCAGCTCTGAAATCATGCAGTTTGGTTGGTCGGGACGAGTGCGCCCAACCTTGACGACGTGCGTGATGGATAGTGGCGGGCATGTCGACTGTGGTTCTTTACGGGACTTTGGTGATGTGGGAAGAGTATCGCGGCCGCTTGTAAGAAGAGGCGGGGTTGGGATCGAATCATGCATTACGTATATAGAGGGCGTACGACACGAACCCCACATTCACTAACACAGCATCTGTCGAGTCTAGCTAACAATAATACGTGTGTCGCCGTCGGAGAGCCCGCTTTCTAATTCCTCCAATTTCTAGTTACGTGCCTCTCTCCACCCTGGCCGAGGTCCGGCCCCGCCTTGAGGCCACTTATATACACACCACATATCAACGTGACAAGTAGAGACGATGAAGTAGCAGTACCGAAGGTGGTAGCACTGCGACCCCTTTCAAGAGTTGAGGTTTCGACTGATGTGTAGTAGTACAGTACAGGATTCTCGTTGCGTCCAGAACGATTCAGATGTGTAGATTGTGTATATTTGGTCGCCATTGTGTATATACGACTGACCACCACTTGCCACTACTAATACTACTGCTGCTGCTTCTGCTGCTACTGTTATCCAGACCACTTCTCTAACCGCCTGGCCTCATCCTTGACCTCCAACTCTGTCAAATCGCCATCGACCTGCTCCAGCGGCGCTACAAATGCCATCTGGCTCCAACTGAAGAGCGTGTTCCTCCCGCCATAGACAAATACCTCGTATCTCCCCGCCAGATTCCCATCGACCCAGACCACACTGCCGTGCTGCACATCCGTCGCAATCGTCAGGTCAACCGGCGTCTTGACATGCACTTCCTCGTGCGTAGACGTCGTGTTGTCCCATATACGACCTGGATTGCCCGGGTCCAGTACCAGCGCTTCGCTCGGTGTGACAGATCGGAGCGGGTACTCGTATCCGTCCGAGTTGAAGACCAGCCGTCCCTCGGCGTCGAGAGAGAGGGTCACGTCGCTGCTCGACAGTGTGAACGGGCCGTCGGCCTTGATATTGAGGGTGTAGTTCATGCCTTTGCTTCCATGTCCTAGCTTCACCGTCTTGGCATGGTGAGGGCTGCGCTTCCATGAGATCGGTCCTGTTGAACGATCCAGGTTCTGGGCCGGTGCAAGCGTCGAGAAGAAGTCAATTGTGGGCGAGATAGTATCGGCGTCCACTTGTGGTCCGCGGGTTCCCGTCCAGGCGCGTGCTCCGACAAGGGGGATGCCCCTTCTCATGGCGTAGTACATCTCCAGCTGAGTCGACGCGTCGGGTCCATTGTCGTTCCAGGCAGCCATGATTGCGCCGCCATTCAGCGGCTCGGTGTCATTCAGCTGCATGCTGGCATTGACGTTGTTGAAGTCGGCAGGTGTCCACTGCCAGCCAGGCTTGTCGGCAAAGTTGAGGATACGCGACTCATTGAAGAACTGCGGGTAAGTCGCCGGCAGGATGGGCGTGTGGTCGTTCTTGATGCTCATGTAGGCCCACCAGTCGTGCGAGTTGAGGACGTGGTAGCCTTTGTCCACCAGGTCAACCGGGTCCGTCTGAGTGTACTGCCAGTGCTGGATGGTGACGTCGGTGGTGATGCTGACATTGTGGACAGGAGGGTCCATGTACGTTCCCCAGATGCGTGTACGTTTGTCGCCGGTTTTTCTGAGGAAATCTGACATCTCATTGACAAAACCAATGTAGTCGTCCGCCAGGGCAGCGTCATACTCATCCGCACCAACGTGCACCTCTTTTGTCTCGAACCAGGGGAGGAACTCTGCCCAGATGCGCTTGACGGTGGGTATCGTCTCCGGGTGGGAAAGGTTGAGCAGGTCGCGCTTGTCAAGGGACAGTTCAGGCTTCCATTTAGTCAGATACAGACAATGACCTGGTGCTTCAATCTCTGGGATCAGAGTAACCCCCCTTCTCGCGCAGTGGGATTGCACATCGGCAAACTCGTCGCGCGAGAGCGTCTCGTTCTCCCGGCCATGAACAATCCCACGCAGCGACTCGTCTTCGGGAAGCAGGGAGAAATGCGAGTAGACGTCTTGCCATGTGTCATTCTTCCCACGGTTGAGGGGGTAGTTGTCGCTGAGATGGTAGTGGAACTCGCTCATCTTGAAGAAGGAAGCGTAGCTGCACATTTCCTTGAGGAACGAGGGCTTATACCACTTGCGTCCGGCGTCAAACATGTAGCCGCGGGTGGAGTAGGCAGGGGCGTCAAGTGTTCGACCAGCAGGCAGCACCCCACTGTCTGTGGTGAGAAGCATCTGGAGGAATGTCCGTGTTCCCCACCACATGCCCCGTGAGCCGGTGCCGCTGATGGAAATGCCATGGGGTGATATGTCGAGAGAGTATCCTTCCGATGTGGGCGTTCCATCCTGGTAGATCATGTCTGCCCTATCTCCTGTATAATTTCCGAGAAGAATGGCTCCGTTGGCCTTGTCAATTTCGGGAAGGGAGTCGACAATGGTCAGGGTCCAGTTGACCCCCGTGATCTGAGCGAGGTCATCTTGAAATGTCTGGGCAAAGTCGTGGGCCGTGGGTGGAATGAGAGTGAGCCCATCAGCGTCGCGGTGGGGAGCAAAGGTTGAGTCGAGATAGATTGTTTGACAGCTGCGTTTGGGAGACCAACCATGGTGGTGGTCCTTGTGGGACTGGGGCTTATCTATGACGGCAGGCGGTAATATCAAGAGCTGAGCCGATGCCAGGGAGCAGAGGAGCGCAGTGATAATAATGATGGCTCTGGACATGATTGCCAATTGACGTGACCAGTGCTCACATCTGTATCACGAGATCAGAAAAGATGACAGACAGATATGGGGTTCCCAGGTGCATGTATTTGTATCGGCATAGTACAGTGTACTAATGCGATAGAAATGGCCGGATGTAGGTTGAATGTAACCAGCCATGGCCCATGGTTGCAACGTGGGTTCTTGGCATGTTATTAGAGTAGGTAGTTTATCATGTAGATCAGGGATTTAATCTCGGAATCGCGATAAACAGTGAAAGAAGATGGGGTTTGGTGATTTACCCTATCGATCAGTGGGGAAGGAGCAGTCCGACCTCGCTTGCTCTTTCCTCGTCTTCCATAATCCGATCGGTTCATCTTCATCTTCCCAACTCGGCCGTCACCCGGTGTGAAAGTATGAAGCAGACTGGTCGGTGGTCAATCGACAAACACCCCTCATAATGGCATGATGGCACAACGGCAGTGCAAACGATGCATCAATCCTGCACGACTTTGTTCCTCTGTGCGAATACTGCCATTGCGCTCGTAGCAGACAAAGGCACTATGGTGTGCCGAGTGACTCACTGCTATGCCTCGTCAGTCAAGTCTGCGCACCCATGCGTAAGCCGGCTTGCATCCGACGGGAGATATCCGTCGGCGAGCTACATGATATGAATATCATCAATATCCGGCCAGAGTGAACAGCTACATATTCCAGGCCGAACAATGCAAAAAATTAGCCCCCGTCACCCCCATCAGTAAATAATGCCATCACACCCCAGGCAGCACATATTAGTACACCAGGCCAGAACAGACACCACCTCTGACGAAGATGCCAATCCCCGCCCCTCCCCCCGGGGACATCGCCCCCTCCACCCCAGCTACACCGCCGCAACGGACCACCATCCTAGGACGTCACGTCGCTCTCGAACCCATCTCGCCAGCCCACTCACCCAGCCTCTTTGCAAACCTGGGTGGTGAATCCAACGCCTCACTGTGGACCTACATCCCCGGCGCTGAAGCGCCTGCTACCCAGGAAGAGATGGACGCCATGGTGAGCGGGTGGGTTGCCTCGTCTGATCCACACTTCTACGCCGTCGTGGTGGATGGCGAGGCTCTCGGCACGCTGGCGTACCTGGCCATCGTCCCTGACCATCGACGCATAGAGCTCGGCTTCGTCGTGCTGGGGACGAAGCTGCAGAAGACAAGGGCTGCCACGGAGGCCTTCTACCTGATCCTCAGACAACCCTTTGAGCAGTGGGGTTATGACAGGCTCGAGTGGAAGGCCAATTCATTCAACAAGCCGAGTCTGGCTGCTGCCGGAAGGCTGGGCTTTGTCTACGAGGGGACCTTCAGGTTGGTAACCTTTTACTGCTCTTCTTCATCCTTCCTTCCCTCCCCTCTCGTATCCCTTCTTTTTTTTCTTCCGCCGGACAGGATGATGGACTGATGTGCACATAGAAAACACATCATCACAAAAGGTCATCGACGTGATACAGTTTGGTTCAGCATCACAGATGACGAGTGGCCTCTTGTTAAAAAGGGTCTGGTGTCGTGGCTTGATGACGCCAACTTTGATGATGAGGGAAGGCAGAGGCGTAGTCTGAAAGAGTACAGGTCTTGAAATGGCCACTTTTCCAATTAATGAACGCGCAGGGTATATTTATATACATACATATATATATATATATATATATACCATGACCATCAGCATCGTCCGTATCACCATTTTTGTCTTGTCAAACCAAGGAAAAAAATAAAGTAAAATAGAGAAACACACCCCCAGGCCACCCGCCTACAGCAGATACCTGTAATCAGGAGACATGTCTCCCATCTCCGTCTTTTCCTCTTCCGTCAACCCCCGCTCATTTGCCGTCTCGGCAGCTCGAGACTTATTCTGCAGATAACATGCGGCCGCGTACACGCAACTGGCGACGACGCTGAGAAGGGTGAAGGAGATACAGATGCTGTATCCGGACGTGTACTTGGGCGCATCGTCTGGGAGGAAGGCAAATACTGAAATAAAACCGCCAATGTTTCCGAATCCGACCTGCCATGCGGACCCGACAGACCGACGATGGTGGCCTCCCAGGTTCATGTTGAACCAGCATACGACAATGGGCATGGCCGTGTAAGCACCCATGGCCACGAGGAACAGTGCCGTGTACTGCACCTTGGTTTTGTCGTGAATGCCGAGGAGGATGGCGAAGCCGACAACGGTCACAAGTAGACCGAAGATGGCGAAGCCGAAGCGGTGGCGCGTCTTGTCCGAAGCAAATGCGACAATCATGGAAAAGGCGAATGACGCGGCCCAGGGAGGCACACTGTACAGCTGCGTCTCGATGGCCCCGTAGCCGTAGCCCTTGATGATGCCGGGGGCAAAGTAGGCGTAGCTGTAGGCAGGGACGATAAGTCCCATGTACATGATGCCACCCACAATCACCTTGTAGTCCTTGAAGACGCGGCCCACGTCGCGCAGGGTGATGCGCCTTTCCCGGGCAGAGTTTCCCTGGTCCACGCGTAGCCGGGCCGACACATAGGCCTTTTCGTCTGCCTTGAGCCACTTGCTCTCTTCCGGGAAGTCGGGCAGCAGGAACCAAAAGATGATGCCAATCACCAGCGTCACGGCACCCTCGAGGATGAAGATCCACCGCCAGCCCGAGTAGCCTCGCATGCCGTCCATTTTCCCGATCGCGGCGGCCAGAAGACCACCAAAGGCGCCAGCCAGGGTCGTGCTGTTAAAGAAGAAGGAGTAGCGGCGCTGGGCCTCATGTCGCCTATACCACATGCCAATAAGGTAGAAGGCTATTTTACTCAACGGTCAGTCACATGCCAAGCATCGGAGGGCAGCATCTGAGGAAAAAGAGCTCACCTCCAGGAAACATGCCCGTCTCGAAGACACCAAGAAAAAAGCGCGTGGCAAGCAGCCCGCTGTAGTTCTGGACCAGACCCTGCAATAGAGTGACGAGGCCAAACATGAACATGTTGATGGAGAGCCAGACAGAAGGGCGGAACTTTTTCAGAAGAATGTTGGAGGGAATCTCAAACAAGACATAGGGGACGAAGAAGATAACTAGAGCCGTGTTGTACTCGTGGTTGGCGAGGCCTAGCTCCTCAGCCATGCCAAAGACGTTGGCATTGGCAATGTTGACACGATCTGGGATTAAGTGTAAGTGTTCGTTTCGTTTGATTATCGTACGTGTCAGTCTTCTCTATAGACAGGTAACTCACCAAGAAAAGCCCAGAGATACATGATGCAAAGAAAAGGCACGACATGACTGTCAATCTTCCAGAGCAGCTTCCTGTCAGTTGTATGCGACGGACACGCGACGTCCGATGGACTCTCATTGCCATCATTGCTGCTGTCGCGGGCGCTGGCGGCAGGCGAGTTAAGCCCATGAGTGCCGTCCTTCTCGTTCCCAGACATGGCGTGTGAAAGTATGCGCACCAGCGGTCTACTGAGAAGGGCAGTGTGTGGTTGTCAGTCCCTTTCGATCGAGGGGAGGGAAACAGGCCGTGTTTTTATTATCCCACAGTACAGGTCCAATGCTGGGGTAGCAGAAAGAAGAAGGAAAGAGGAGGAGAAGAAGAAGAAGAAGAAAAAGGGAAAGATGGAAAGTAAAGGTAAGACAGAGTAGGATTCCAGGGACACACTCAATTATTAATGGCGGCCAACCCAATTCAACGGTTCTGCCATGACGATTGAGTATTGGTGCGTAAAGTCCGTACGACCAAGTCTTACAGGCCCGCCGAGTTCGGACGTCCCCAGGGTGCTTGTCAAGAATGTAAGGGAAAAAAAGATAGAGTCGCGGCCCGGCGTTTGCCAGTTTGGTGGGACTAGGTCCATCCGGTATAGGGATTTCGGGAGAGAAGCAAAAGGGCCGAGAAAATGAGGAAAAAAAAATTGATGAGTATGTAAAAGGAACTTGGGCCAAGACAGGGGCATATTGCACCAATCAGTATCACAATAATAACAAAAGGGAGGGGACTGCGTACTGCACCTTCCGTAGATCGGCACCTTGCTCTTTCCTCCGCTCGGTGACTGCTCATTTTGCCATTTTTCAGTCTGTCGCTCTTTCCCTCTTTCACCTCCTACCCCCGCATTCTCAACACCACTAGAGCCCGATTTGGTCTAGTTCCGCGGTGCTTGGGCTGCCCAGCCTACAAGCATGTAACGATTATACGGAGTATGAGTATAGTTAACTGCTAATAGCCGTAGGTGCGGATATAAACTGGTACTAGTGGAAATATGGCATCTTTCCAATGCCGAGAAGTATGTACGAGGAGATTTTTGACGACCGCAGATGGACAATCTGGGTAGGCAGGCGCGTAGATGGACGAATTGCTGGGCAGGAGTCGCCTGTCTTCACGTTGTCGTAGCTGGTGTGCTGGTGGCACTTACCCCGCGGATGGTGACGCGGGGAAGGATCTGAGCTTCGGCAGCTACGAGCCGCGGGCGTTGCCAAGTACGTGAGGGGCGGTAGGCACCGTATGCACTCTCTATCTCTTGGTAATACCAGAAGCTGAGGCCGGTATTGTCGAAAAGATGTATTATGTCGAGAAAGCTGCAATCACAGGTAAATGCGTATGCAGGTACCTAGGATGCACTGCGAGCAATACTACACGGCGTGATACGTGCGATGCGCAGCTGCATACATTCTCAGCTGCCAATTTACGCTCGTAGTTTCGAGACATCACAAAGGCAGGAGCTTCCTCCTTAGACCCCTGACGTTCACTCTATTATTGTGTCTCCTGCTGTGGCGTTAGGCGTGTATGCGTATGGCGTTGTGGCTGCATACACTACCCTGACATCATTCACGCCCCGCGTCAGTCAGTAATACATACCTATGCCAAAACAAAACCACTAGCAAACATACTCCTATCCGTTCACTCCTCAGAGGCGATGCCCGTTCATTTCTTGATGTCTTCAGTAACATGAAATGATCCACGGTTGGAAGCCGAGAAACCACTACCCGTCTCAGCTTCTCCTCGAACGTGACCGCCTTGTCTATCTGACGCGCCAAATAGTATGTCATCGAGAACAGCCAAAAAGAAGCAGCACCAAGTGAACGCTGAAAAATCTTGAGAAGAAAAACACCCAGGTTCACAAAAGAAAAAAACTCAAAAGAAGCCTGTTTGCGTCTCATATTTACCGACAGAGCCATCTTCACTGTCCTTCCCAGTACCATACGAACGCCAACCGCTCTGGTAGCTGATGTCGTTCAGGCTCAACTCACCTCGTCCCGAGTTTTCTCACCTTGTTCACATAATAAATGGACAGCCCCACTTTAACAGATATTAGACATTTCGCATTGGGAATATCATGGCATCCTGTGAATATAAGGGCAAGTCCTTGCTCTTTCTCCTTTCTCCTCTCTCCTCCCATGATCTTTCACTCACAGCCCCACATTCACATTCACAATCCCCCTGGCTGCAGCTACCTTGAACACACTCGGCCTCTCCAGTCATAGACGTTTTTTTCCCTCTTCCTCTGCTTTCTCTAAACATATTACCCCCATTCTCTTCCGGCCAAAAGGATGGGCTCCTCCTTCACACCTGAGGAGGAGGTTCAATTCCACTGCTGGGACTGGCAAAATGTCTCGAACCTCTCTTTCGACCTGAAAGATGACTTGAAAGAAACGCCATTTGACTTCACGTCGCATTCTCATGAGCACAGAGGGGGCTCGGTAGAAGCAATCGAGCCTCCATACACCACTGCTTCTTCCGAGCCCGAGAGGTCACACAACGTTTCTCCCTCCAAATACACCCAGAACGTGGCACGACTATCACCCGAGAATATCCAAGGCTCTGCTATGCCCTCTGAGACCAATGAGCATCAGTTTCTTGATAAGCTGTCCTACAGGCTTGAACAGCCAGTCCAGCATCAACTGTCGAAATGGGAGGCTGAACTGACGGCGGGTAAGCTCGAGGACGAAGCAAACTACATTACCCGCAACTTCGACTGCCTGCCAGATGCCGTTCCGAACGTCATTCCAAATTCCACGCATAGTTCCGCGCAGAATGCCATGCAGAGCGCCATGAAGAATGCGGTGCAGACTGCCCGGCCCTGGGACCCGACCAATATCTCGAGCCAAGACGTAAGCTGGTCTTCAGAAGACTTCACTCACCAGATGCAGCCCGGTACCCAGCACGGCACCCAGAACGGCAGCCTCCATATGGGTACGGAAACGCTGCACAACATGCCGCAGACCCCCACCCACTACACCCATTACCACGCGGCCAGCATGATGACTCCCCAGCCCACCCCTGGGTTCTCAGTCTCCAACATGGGAACTCCTCCGGGAGCCGCCATCCCATTTGGGGAATACCTCTGCGACAATATCACAGGGGCCAATGCACATTTTCTGCAGACACCCAGGGGGCGTCTAGTCTCCAACAAGCTCCCGAGGACGCCACCAAACCCGAAGCGCAGCATCAGCCCTGAGAGCCCAGTTATGTCGGTGGTGACCAATGCCAGTCCGAGCCAACCCATAGTGGGCAACTCCACCCCACCTACGTCGCAGCCGATGGTTAAGAAGACGCGCACCGAATCCGTTCCCATCGACAACGACAGCACTTGTCTCCAGCCGGTGCAACACCAAAATCTCCATGTTTCGTTCTTGATGGAGCCAGGCGAGAGCTACCAAGATCCGGAAGTGGAACGACACATGAAACTCGTTTTCAGCGCACCGCGTCGACGCACCAAGTCAGTGAACCTGGGAAGCCCAGCAGAAACGGCTGATCACAGAAACATGAAGGGACGTCCAGATAGCAATGAAGCGGCGTCTGCCGACGGTTTTATGTTCGCATCGTTCGATGATTGCAGGGCAGCTCTGTCACAGACCTGTAAGCTGTACCACAGGCCAGCCAAGGAGTGTACGAGCCCGAACAACGACGCGACTTTTCCTAAAAACGAAAAGGAGAAGAGGGCACTGGCGCACCTCATATTTCGATCCATGACAGACTGGAGCAATTACATTGAGTGGATGCAGGTGGCGCCCAAAGAGGTACGAGATATACACTCGGATATTCTGCTAGATCGGATGAAGAACCGCGAAGAGGCCAACCAGGCAGCCAGAAGGGAAGCCGTGATTTCTGGCAGGACCAACAACGGCAGGCCAAGCGCCAACGCCGATGAAAACGCCAACGTGGCTGAAGTGAAGAGCATGAATATGCTCTACCTCCGCGATCTCATTCCACCCGGTCACATCCGCGAGCAGAACTACATGCGGGACCTGCCACATCAGCACCACGTCGTGCTAGGAAGGGTGATGAATTCGTTCGCGGCATCCAGCATTTCGTGGCTCCTGGTCGAGGCGGCCATTCGCGCCCAGAAGGGCGACTCGCAGAGCCGGCCCTGGACACACAACGACGGGTCATAGGAGAGCCACAGGTCGCTGTTTGAAAGGGTCGACACTATTGCTGCGGTGCTGCGCTTCTCCAAGCAGCTACTCAAGTCGGCCATGACGTTTGGCGACGGGTGGATTCAGAGGCTGGCCAACAATCCTGGGGCTGAGCTGAATGGGAAGCTGGACAATATGAGGTGTAACCTTAGGAAGAGTAAGAGGAATGCGGGAGATGGTGGCTCCGGTAATTCCGGTGCCAAAACTAGCACGAGGGCTGGTACCAGTGGTCCTCGCCCTGGTCCCAGACCTAGCTCTAACACTGGTGCCGCCAGCTCTGGTTCTGACTCTAGATTTGGTGCTATCGGTGCTGTGCTTGACGGTGTTGTAAGTGCTAGGGATCTCACCGAGGACGTTGGGGACGATGGAGGTGATCTTCCTGACTTTGACGAGATGGATTGGAAAAGGGTCAGTGAGTGAGTGGAGAAACTAAGAGCATCTATTTCCTGTCCCCACAACTGTGGCTTTCTTTTGTCCTTTCCTGAAATTTTCTTTATTTCTCATCTTATCCCGTGTTCTGTCTTATTTTGTAGGATATCAGCTGGAACTGGAGTCCGAACTCGAACTAGAACTAAACATGTACGATGCTCGATGCTCGATGCTCGATGAGGGTTATTAACGATGTGGCGACGATGTATGGAGGAGGGCTTACGAAAGCTGCCCTGTGGATCTCAAAGGATATTTTATCCTCTCACTTTCTTTAAGGGCATTTCGATCATTTACTTGAATTACTTTGCATATATAATACGATAGATCCACTTGATAAGGCGGTTGCTCTATATGCAATTTACGATCTTATTGAGCAACAGAAGCCGTCTTGTCAGTTTGGTAGTAATATTCAATATCAGCCACCCTACACTAGAACACGGAAATATGACGATGTATTACCCTGTGAAGTTTATATATATATATGTATAATTCGTCAGGACACACAAGGTTCCTATTGCCTTGATATTTTTCCTGTATGACAAAGCAATCACAAATTCAACGAAACTTAAAGAAACCTGAGGGGGTTGTTGGTCTTGATAACCCTGACAGCCACTAGATTTCAAAAAAATTTAAGGGGTCACAGGTTATACTCCTACAGATTTGATATCAACTCCCAGAACTGACATTATCAGGTACACCATCACAACATAACACCTCGGAGGTCGTTGTTCAGAGACTAGTGGCAGCCGTTATAGCCGTTGATATAGCAGCCTAGTCACCGAAAGATCTGGGGAGAGAAGGAGAACCTACGTTTGCGCGTCTATCGGATCTCATCTTCCACAGACGTGGAAGAGCACATGGCTATGCCAGGATCGACATGGCCATCAGAAAAGCCATCTGGACCACAAGATGCATCTCCGCGCCAGGATGATGATACACGATCACTATCTTCGATACACGATATCCTTCTAAATAACACCGGCCAACGGCTCTGCGTCAAGCCGCTGCACTGGACACCCAAGCATCTCCGAGCGCTGAACATGGAATTTGTTCCGTGCAAAGGTGTACCAGAAGAGCCACGGAATGGCACCAAGGAAGACGAAGAAGAGGCCCAGGAAGGCGGATGTCCTTCTCCTGCGAGGAAGCATCTCACAGAGGATCAACTCACCAATTGTGTCCGTCGACGGGACTCGGCTATCCATGATGTACTATGGGATCCTGTTCAGGACAAACAATATAGAGCTATTGACTCTATGGCTGATATGATCTGCGAACACAGATTCTATCATGACCTAAAGTATGTTCCGTTTCGTCCTCCCCCCCTCCCTCTCTCTTGTCACGATATCCCCTTCTATGAAGCACCACATACAGCTGACTAGGAATCCTACTGACCATCACAGGACCGTCAAACTACCCCTCTATTACTGCAGGACCCGAATAAGTGATCTGAAGACAAACCTACTATTCTCTTGTGCTTGGGAAAATACACCTAACTGCCTTGCATACATCTATCTCGACGACATGATTAGTCAACGGGCGTGGTCCCTCGAGCAGGATGGCTGGAAGGGGGGTTGGGCGAATCTCACCACATGCACCAGAAGGGGTTACACACCTCTTGTAAGGCCGGTTGACGCCGTCCATGACGCGTACATTGCTGCTGTTCTGATAGCTTTGGCGCAGGGGATCCAACGCCAGACTTCTGATAGGGAGAGTTACAAGGCACGTTTTTACTGTTCACGAGAGTACTAGATGTTGAATGAAGAAGAAAAGATGAGGAGAAAGAGGAGAAGAGAAATAATACTGACACGGTGGAAACAAAACAGGCTTTTGTCTGGGCATCGGCTCCCAGGACACACTACCTCTACACGGCCGACATCCCACTCCAGTTCCTTCGTCGTTTGGACAGACCCTCGCTGAGGTCTGTGGCCGAGAGGGTGCCTATAGACTATTATACACTGCCGAGTAGTGAGCCGAGGGAGATCACCAGGGCTCTCAGCTGGGCGAGGAGGGAGTTGCGAAGGAGCTATTGCGGTAGTGGCAATGATGCAGCAATGTTATAGAGGAAAGGGAATGTTATACCACGGGTCAGGCGCTCTGTATTGTCTATTTACGCCTCCATTCTTCACCTCGGGCCGGCAAGAGGTCTGTGTAGATGCGGGCTTCGATGGAGCGGGTTAGATGGAGCGGGACCATTTTGGTAGTCAAGAGTTATTGCATGTTTCCAATGTCCGTTGCCTGCCAAGAAAACAATAATCTGAGACACATCTACTCTGATTTCACAAGGGCATTTCGTAAGCTTGGTTTCGTGGTCTAGTTGGTCATGGCATCTCGTTAACATGAGTCCTCATAAGGCTTGTTTTTCCGAGAAGGTCCCCGGTTCAATCCCGGGCGAAACCAATCTTTTTGTTGTCTTTTTGCCTCTTTTACCATCTTGATTATCTTTTCTCCTCAATTAAATATAGAAAAACAAAAATTCGTTCCTTACCATTTAGTTTCATCTTTGCGCTCATCGTTAAAAGCACCATACCAAAAACGAAATGATAGATGAACATTGTGCTATTTTGTTGCCATTTCTTAAATATTATGTGCTCCGTCCGTACGATCAGGAATTCGCGAGACAGGAGCCATTTGTTGCACTTGCCTTGTGAGCCTCATCAATAAACCAACATAAACGTGACGTAACGGCACTATTCAACTTGGGAATTTTTCCATCTTCCATCCTCTCTTCTCTTCCGATATTGTCTCCCCCGATGGCTCCGACACACCAACACAGGAACCTTTTCGTTAATCACTATTTTCACCGACTGACAGTCGCCTGCGCCCTGCAGCAGTCGGCCGTTGACGTTGCGGAGGTCCATCTTTTGTGCCCCTCCCTCACCCCTCCCATCGACCGGCCGCTTTTTGGTTGGTGGGGCTGCAACTGACTGGTCGATTGCGTCCTGCATGTGCATATTAGACCATTCATCTTGAAAACGCGTGCGAGCAAGCTGTAGACAGTATATACTTTTCTCCTCCTTCTCTTTCGACTCTGGCATCTTTGTCTTCTCTTTGTTCGACTTCTTTATTTCTATTGCACAGCTTCTTGGTGAAATTCGAGTGGCAAAGGGGTCACAGAAAGAGACGGCATAGAGGGCATAAGAAAGAAGAAAAGAAAAGAGGGGGCAAAGAAGAAGAGAAGAGAAAAGAAGAGAAGAAAAAAGAAAGAAGGAGAACAGAGGAGAAGATCCAGGGAAAAGAAGGACAGACATGACTCTGACAAATACTGACAATGAGTCTCAACCTCTTCTTGCACCTATCGAGGAGGAGGAACCTCTGGATTTCAGCCCCGACGGCGATGTCGATAACCCGAGAGAATGGCCTGCCGCCTTTAAATGGACCCTGACAGTGGTCCTCACCATTCTGGCCTTTTCGGTGTATGTTTTCCCTCTTATTCTTCCTTGTTCACGGAGGCCCAGCAGTGTATGATACTCGTATTCAAGACTTACTGACTGGATCATGACAGCACCTTCAATTGCATGTCCCTGATCCCCGTGGCTGGCCGCATCGTCACGGACCTTGCAGGAGGTAAAGAAAACAAGAATGCCGCCGTCCTGCTCGTCACCATCTGGGAACTCGGCGAGGCTGCCGGCCCGCTTCTGATCGCACCTCTGTCCGAGACGATAGGCCGGTGGCCCGTCATGGTGGTGGCGAACGGACTGTTTGTCCTGTTCACAGTGTTTTCTGCCTCAGCCCCCTCGGTACCGCTATTTATCCTCTCCCGCGCCCTGATGGGCCTTGTCGTCTCGTCCAATGTGCTCAGCCCGGCCGTCATTGGCGACGTCTTCGACCCAGAGCGCCGCGGCTCGCCCATGAGCCTCGTCATGGTAGCGCCCATTGTCGGATCGGCACTCGGCCCTGCACTCGGTGGTGCCCTCTCGGAGTCGTACGGCTGGCGTGCCGTACTGTGGATCGCTGCCGCCATCTCGACAATCACGCAGGTACTCCTGCTCACGTGCTCGCGCGAAACATACAAGGTGGTGATTCTGCGTGTTCGGCAACTGGCCGACAGGAAAAGGGCGATTGATGCCGGTGAGACTGTCGTCGACAAGTTCGGCCTCGACAGCCGCAGCCAAAGGGCCAAGCTCCTCAGGTCCATTGTCCGACCGTTCGTCGTGTTTGGGTCGTCGGGCGTGCTCATGGCCCTGTCCTTCTTCGGGTCCGTCATTTTTGCCCAGATGTACAACATTAACACAACGCTGCCTGACATTCTGCAGGTGCGGTACGGTCTATCGCCCGTGATGACGGGCACGGCGCTCATCTCGGTCAGCATCGGATCCGTCTTCAGCGTCGGCGCGTGCAACCTCGGGCTGGACCGCATCTACGCGCACATGAAGGCATCAAACGCCGGCATCGGCCAGCCTGAGTTCCGTCTGCCCATTGTCGTCGTCGGCGCCCTGACACAACCGGTGGCCATTGCCCTGTACGGCTGGGCTGCCGAGCTTCTCCTGCCGCTTCCCGTCATGCTCTTTGCCACTGGTCTCCTGGGCGCGACGCTCATGCTGGGATTCCTGCCGCTGGCGTCGTACGTGGTCGATGCATTCGGGCTGTACTCTGCCAGCGCCATGACAGGCCTCATCGTATCGCGGTGTCTGGCGGGGACGTTTCTCCCGCTACTGACGACGCCGTTGGTTGACGGATTCGGGTATGGATGGGGGTTTACGGTGCTGGCCGTCTTCAACCTATGTCTGGCGCCTATACCGATGGCTATCCTGCGATACGGCCATGTCTGGAGGAAGCGTTGCGAGTATACGGCATGTGTTCATGATTAGAGGGGATGTAGCACGTGAGGCATCAAAACGCCAGCCATTGAAGTTCAGCCATGACTGTAACTAGACACGAACCCAACGTTGCATTTTGATATCATGAACTGATACAATAAGACGATTGATATGAAAAGAAAAAAAACACTGACATGCTTGATGCTACTACCTTGTGTCGATCACCAACAGCTTCCCATGGAGGTCTGGACAAGAATTGGATAAGTGTCCTTCTCGAGTCTTTGGGCCGGAAAGGAACGCGGTCAACCCCGGACTTCTATTCTTGTGCTTCATTCTGGCGACAACACACGGTGACCGGTAGACGTGAGTACAATGGTCTCCACCCGCTGGTACGTTTTGGATCGACGAGGGTGTGTCTCCGTGCTTTCTTCAAAGGAAAGGAAAGCTATGAGGTTATCTACAGAATCTACAGATGTGAGTGTGGCAGCAGGCTCTGGCTGCTGAGTCATAATACAATCTTGGATGCCACATTCTGCTAATACTACTCCGTACTACGTGTACATATTATATCGTACGTGCACGGCGTCTATCTGTATTCTGTATTATTATTACATGAGATAATGTTGATTAGGAGAGTTCTGTACATGGTCGTAGGCGTAATCAATGGAACCACTATGGGCTATGATTGCCTATACGTATATATATGGGTAGAATTCTTGTGGCTATCTACAGATTATGGCCTGCGAAATTTCGAATCTGACATGCATGAGTTCAACAAGTTCCGAAAGTCTCGTCCTGCAGACACAAAAAGACCATGATGCACGTAAGACTGGCGGAGACGGGATTCGGCAGATATAAGACCAACCCCGCTCAGATGTGGACGAAGAAGGGGGGGGGGGGAGGGAGTGGAGTATGAGTGGGTCAATGATACTCAACAAGGGCAACGGAAAAGGACGAGATATTATTATTAATGCTGTGAAGCATTACGGAGGAGATAGTTGTATGGAGTAATACGAGTATAGAGGAGTAGTTACTGCCAGCCAGACCCAGCCAGAGGGAGGGGAGAGTGGGAGTGAGAGAAGGAGTGAGAAAAGGAGTGAGAGAAAGGACAGAGAGTACAAGTGAAAAGCTCCTGGTGATATTTCCCTGTGGACTGATCGTGCATGTCACTGAGAAGCATGACTGGGCGGTATACGGTGTACGGAACCAAGGATTCTTTGTCGCAAGTCGTTGACGGTAGAGGAGAGAAGGAAGAGAGAGGAGGGTCAGATCAGATGCCGGCCCGGACTTTGTTTGTAAATACCGACGCCACGACTACCACGGGAACTACCACGGGTATGACCACGGGTATGACCAAAGTGGTATTGCTTCTTCCCCTTGATGACCCATGGCGTTCAGGGGCCAATGAAAATTGTCGAGGGAGTTTATCAAGTGTACAGAATAGGGCAGGCTTACCACAGATCTGTAGTCTGTACAGATTACTTTGACTTGTAATAGTGATAAATAGCAGTACGCGTAGACCACACGGAGTGCGTACCCGGTGACACGTAATAATAACAGTACAAGTCTGATCCCCAATGTCAGTCCAGCTTCCAACTTCCTAGCAGACCGCTACGGGGCTCCGTATTTACCGGCTACGGGGCTCCGTATTTACCGTTTACTATGTCCGTACCTCATCGTTTGATGCTGTTCTCTTCTTCCTCTTCTCTCTTCCCGTCTTACTTTTTAGACTTTGTAGGCTTAATAATATTTTCTCACCCTGGTCTCCACCATCTGGCGATATGAATATCTTTAGCATACTTTTTTTTTGCTCTCCCTCCTCTACGGCATTCGGATTGCGGACTTTTGGTGCATGCTAGAAATTTTAAAATTGCTTTTTTTTTTTATCATTCTCGGATGGTTGCAAGGGACACCCGTTACTATAAGAGCCACATCGAGTAACATTGCTTATATACCTGTAGTATTCGCATCTCTCGTACGAGGACTAATCCAGTCTGTTTCGGATCTTTCTCTCATTTCATCTATCTCTTCCCTCATCCTTACCGTCACACATAAAAAGCATTCGCCTTACAAGGCAAACACAAAAGTATAGGCAGCAGCTTTCCATCGCAACTTCTGTCTGTTGCTCTCTAGCATCTTGGGCCGAGATTTGGCAACTGTTCACTCAGCTCCTTCCTTTTTTTATCAAAACAGTAACCACTCATCCATCTCGTCTCCAAACTCACCATCGTTACCAGCTTCACCAACCTCATTCCGCTACTCCATCGCCACCACCACCACCACCACCACCACCACCACCAACAAACACAGACACAGACAAAGACACAGATACAAAAGCATACGGAACACTGCATCCACTACCCAACACGTCACCATGGCCGTGGACTCTCGTCCCGACTCAGCCAAGGGAACCCCCAACCCCGTCAAGTCACCCGGCACAGCTCCTTCCATCAACCAGAATGGAGACGGAGAGGAGAAGAATTACGAAGATGAGGAGAAGCTCCAGGATGACCTCGCCCTGGCCGCCACAAGGAGCAACACTCCCTCACATCTAGTGGGGATCAAGCTATTCCTCGCCATGTCGGCCGTTTCCATGATCATGCTTCTCGTCACCCTAGACATCTCCATCATCAGTACCGTCAGTCCACCTCTTCTCTCCTGCCCCCTTTCATGCATGGGGAGAAACGTCCGCACTAAGAGGGCGACAGTCCGCTGACCCAGGAACTGTGCAGGCCATTCCCCAAATCACCAGTGACTTCCATCGTCTCGAAGATGTAGGCTGGTATGTCGGTGCTTTCCTGCTCAGCAGTGCCACCATGCAGCCTCTTACCGGCAAACTCTACACTCACTTTAGCACAAAGGTACCCTACTACCGCGCCCTGCTGTTTTCCTTGTATGGACTTGCGTCACTCAAGAACCGACGAAGAGAGACAGAAAGAAACAAGAAAAGAAAAAATAATACTGACAACCCCTAGTGGACATACCTCATCTTCGTCATCATCTTTGAAACTGGCTCTGCCGTCTGTGGCTCGGCTTCTTCCTCCCGAAATCTCATCGGTGGACGTGCTTTGGCCGGTGTTGGTGCTTCTGGCCTCATCAATGGCGCCATGACTGTCATCATGGGCGCTGCCAAGCCCGAGAAGCGTCCTCGTAAGGCTCTAATCTATCCTTTTTCCCCTCCTCTGGTCATGGTTGGTTCAACTGCTAACAAAGATCTCTGCTCAGTATACACGGGTGCTGCCATGGGAGGTTAGTCCCCCCCCTTCTCCCTCCGACTAATCTTCAATCATATATTTGCAAGCTCTTGGATAGATACAGGCGCTGACAGCTCTATAGTCGGCCAAATGGGAATTGTAATAGGTCCTCTCCTCGGAGGTGTCCTCACCGACCACGCTACGTGGCGTTGGTGTAAGTTTCTTCATCTCTCTCGCATCACCTCCCTTTTCACTTGAGCTCACTGACACTATCGATCCCCCCTCCCCAGGCTTCTACATAAACCTCCCCATCGGCGGCGTCGCCATCGCCTTCCTCTCCCTCCTCACCATTCCTGACCAGGTCTACAAGCCCAAGCTCGACCGCGCTGCCCTCCGCGCTCTCATCCCCCGCTTTGACCTTATTGGCTTCGCCCTCTTCGCACCGGCCTCCATCATGACCCTTCTTGCCCTCCAGTTTGGCTCCGGCTCCGATTACACTTGGTCTGACTCGCAGGTCATCGGTCTCTTCTGCGGCGCCGGCGCCACCGCCATCGTCTTCGTCTTTTGGGAGCGACACATGGGCCCCGACGCCATGATCCCCGGTCATCTTCTCAACAACAGAATCGTCGTCTGCAGCGCCTTCTTCTTTGGCTTCCTCATGACCACCAACAGCGTCGCCAGCAACTTTATGCCCATGTACCTGCAGTCGTCCAAGGGCCTGTCGCCCACCATGAGCGGTGTCTACCTGCTTGCCACGATTCTCTCCCAAACCATCTTTGTTCTCCTCTCCGGTGGTCTCGGTACGTCTCCATGTCTCTGCGAAGTAGACAGCAGCCCCCACAAAAACATGAGTCTCGTGGGGAGCAATTGAAAAAGAAATAAAAAATAAAAAGGAAAGGAGAATGAAGGAGGGAATGCTAACAAGCCACGACAGTCACCAAATTTGGCTACTACATCCCGTGGTGCGTTGCTGCCGCTGCCGTCAGCACTGTTAGCGCCGGTCTCATCTCGACTTGGACGCCGTCGACTTCCCTGGGCCCTATCATTGGCTATCAGGTTTTGCTCGGAGTACGCGGAGCAGGCATGCAGATGGTGAGCCCAGGCTCCCTCTCATCTTCCCGTCCCCTATGCTGACTGACCCTCTTCTAGGCCATCATTGCTGTCCAACACTGCCTCCCCCGCAAAGACGTCGCCATAGGCAACAGCATCATCGTCCTGGCCCAAAACTTCTTCGGTGCTATCCTCGTCACTGTGGCAAACGTCATATTCCAAGAAACCCTCAAATCAGAGATCCGCCACAACGTCCGAGGCGTCGACCCCGCCGCCGCCATTGCCGCCGGTGGCAGCGCCGCCAACGTCCGCGCCCTGACCTCGGACCCTACGGCCAGGCAGGCCCTTCTCAGTGCCTACGCTACAGGCGTTTCCAACATTTTCTACCTGCTCACGGCCATGTGTGCCGTTTCACTCGTTGCCTGTTTTGGTATGGGCTGGGTTGATCTAAGGGTGCCTAATACCCCCCAGGATAAGGCTGCTAGCCATAAGAAGGAGGAGACGCTTGATGACAAGGTTTAATTTGTCATTTTCCAATTTTGTCAAGTTTTTCAGATGCCTCCTCCCCCCCCCCTCTTCTTTTCCTCTTCGACATGTACTTTATAATAATGAGTTTTGTATCTGGAGTTTTTTGGTTGATTTTTTTTTCAATCTGGTGTTTTGGTGTCTTGGTTAGATATATCAAGTTGGTATCGGATCAGAAAGGACATGGGGGAAAGTATCATATATATAGGGGAGAACAAGAACTCTACTCGATTCCAAGATGTAAAAGAATATATATATATATATATATATATATATATATATATAAGGGGGGGCAACATGTAATGTCAATAATACTTGAGGTTCCCCAGTATACTCATAGAATCAAGAATTAGATGTCTGTTGAATCCATGTATTCTTTTTTCGTCTCCTTCCCCTCTATACTTGCTTTGTGGTTTTTGAATACCTTATGAATGGCACTTTTTGATGAGACGGGGAGGTATTACATGATGCTTTCTTTGCTGACCCCGGGGGCCATCAGTAGAGATGACGACTTGTTCGACACAAGACTATCAGGCGGTAGAAGATGAATACCCGGGTGCCATGACAGTATTGGTCTGGCTGTGCCTGTGGATGACGGCCTTGGCAAATTTTCTAGCGGGCAGGTCCCTCTCCGAGAAGAGGATGTCGAGCTCCTCAAAGGTGCGTCTCCCAGTCTCGGGCAGACGGAAGTAGCCCCAGGTAAAGGAGAGGACGGTCAGTGCGGCAGTGAGGAAGCCGGCTTTCCCACGCCAGTCACCCGACTGCGGGTTGAGTATGTAGGGTGCTACGACGCTGTTGATGATCTGCATGACGAGGTTCGTCGCCCTGGCGAGGGCCAGGGTCTTTGAGCGGAGCCGGGTGGACGACACCTCGCCGTTGATGACGTAGGGGAGCGGGCCGAGGGTGAGACACCACACCGCGAACCAGGCGAGGTAGACTGCCGACGTGGCGGAACCAAGCTTGGCACTCTGCGGGGCCAGGGCGAGGAGGCCGAGCGTCGTTGTCGGGAGGGTGAGGGCCGCGCAGCCCCACAGGAAAAGCGTGCGGCGGCCGTAGTTTCCCGTCAGCGGGGCGGACAGCAGGTTGAAGACGATGTGGATGCCGCCCATGCCAACCGTCACCTTGAAGGAGGCGTCTGCTGTGAGGCCCGCGAGCTGGAAGAAGTAGCTCGAGTAGCGCAGGATGATGAAGTTGGTCAGGACCTGGGCGCCCCAGGAGACGCAAGCGACCTCTGTGCGGCGTAGGTCCGATCCACGGAAGCACGCAAGGTACGATGTGTCCTTTGACATTTCCTGCTCTAGGCGGTCCGTCTCGACCATGAGCGCCACGGCATTCTTGGCCTCCTCGGCCACCCGTTCGGATGTGGGGCCGGACGTAAGTCGTCGAACGGAGCGCTCCGCGTCGTCGTGCATGCCCTTGCGGACGTACCACCATGGAGACTCGGGGCAGAAGACGGCGGCAGGGATGATGATGACGGGCCATACCCACTGTATGGCAAAGGGGACGCGGTACGCCCACTGGCTGTCCCACCCGTTGAGGACCAGCAGGACGGCGTATGATATGAGCTGGCCGATGCCCCAGCAGCACATGACCCACGTCTCCAGGTAGCTGCGGAGGGCGAGGGGCACCACCTCGGAGGCGTACCCGGGTGCCAGCGTCGTGAAGACGCCCCATGGCACACCACACAGGATCTGGCCGGCAAACAGCACGGGAAGCGACGTCGCAAAGAACAAGATGGAGATCAGGCCGGACAGCAGCACCAGTGACCCCAGAAACACAGGCTTATGCCCCAGATGCTCCCCCAGCAGCGCGTTGAGGTATATTCCCACCATGTTGCCCATGGGCGTCGCCATGCCGAGCACAATCTGCCATTGCAGGCTGAGCGTGTAGGAACCCGTGCTCCCGATCATGTACCCGTACACCCTCTGAAAGGCGGGAAAGCCAAACATGTTGCCCATGAGCGCCGTGTCGTACCCGTCCATGATGATGGATAGCGTCACCACCGCTGACCACGCTGCTGCCTTGGGGTACCGCCGTATGGCCTCGACAAACGTCGTCGAGTGCTGGTCGTGCGTCGCCCGGATGGCGCCCTCGCGGAGGTCGTCCTTGGTGTGTGAGGCCGGATAGCATGACGAGACCGAGGGGTTGAGGCCCTCTCTGGAATTCTCGGCAGAGCTTGCGGTATCCATCGCTGCCGTAGTCGTTTTCGGGGGTCTTCTTGCACCCATGGCTGTTCACTCTGGAGATTTTTCGACTGTTCTGAACTCAATCAGCTGTCAAGTCTGAAAAGGTGGAGGTATGTAGAGGTGTCTCAAAGGGAAGAGTGTTGTCCAAGTCTTAGTCCTACATACAAGAACATCTAGGGCATTTGGTTGATAATGCGACGGTCAGGGTTATGATTCCGACTGCCCCTCTTAAACCTCGATTACTCTTCTATGTCTGCTCTTGTTGATTCACTCAAGCGAGAGTATACCTCGGTACAGGGACTTATGTGTGGCAGAATGCAATGAGAGGTTGAGTGATTCGGAGAGATGCGTGGCGATTACGATATCAGGGGCATAATACCACGTTGCATTGATATGGAAGGAGCCCTGGGGAATCCATAGCCTCCTTCCTCTCTTATTACAACCCATCTTTTATGCGTTCCCTGGCCTAGACCTTTAGCTCACTGCAAGCCTCATGGAGATGGCATCTCAGAGGAAGATCAGTGCATCATGGTAGTGCACACGATTGTAAACGCACCCCTTAGCTCCTTGTGGTGATACTGTTACCATTACGGCACTGTTTCTTGCTCGCATCCAACCCCAAGGAACTACGACAAATGAACGACTAGGTATGGGGCTGAGGTAGCTCATATTGAGATTCTATAGGAACGACCCTGATGTCCATCATCCATTGTGATAACACCTACGATCAGCCCTACTGCTTCGCACTGGCCATGACGCTGAGCCCGCCATCCTTGGTGACACGTTGTCGGATGCGGACTTTGAGCACACCCCGACCTAGCTGTTCCATCGCGTACTCACTCACGCCGGACAAGGAACCTGACTCACTCCTAGCGACTCCCCCGCTCCCAGAGGACCCCCTTCTGCTTGCACCAATGACTGCACTGGGGGAAAATAGAAGGGCCTCGCCGGGATGGAGATGAACAATCTGGTGAAACAACTCGCTTCCAATCCTCGTCTCATCAAGCTGCAGAGGTTGTACCCCTGCTATACGAGACGTGTCGCGCTCATCAGCATCCAAGTCATCAATGCCGGCAGTAGTATTGTTAGCCGCTCCCATTTTACGGACTTGACCAGACCATGACGACGCGCCAGCCAAGTGTTTCTTCAGAGCCTCGAGCCAGTCGGGCGAGGTGAATCTGTGGACGAGCGTAGTAGAGCACAAGTCCAGCAGGCGAGGGGAGATGGTGGGCTCCTGTGTCGAAATGACAACCCTGGCACCCAGGTGGCGCTGGAGGCGGATGGTCGCGAGCAGGGACTCGGTCAACGATTTGCACTCGGCACTGTCAGTCATATATTTGTGTGCCTCGTCGAGGGCGATAATGCGGCCAATGTCGGATTTCTGCTCGAGGAACAGGCTTAGGCAGATACCGAAGAGAGAGCAGGCCATTTCAGCCGTAACGCATGGGCAAGATAGGTCAACAATGGTAAGTTGGCCGGCCTAGTAGTGGTATTAGTACTTTACTAATAGCGTACTTGGTAATGAAGAGAAACAGAGCGAGACAGGAAACAAGAAATCTTTTTGGGCCTTTTGACCCTATTATTTGTATGAAATATAACTTGCCTTGGGCTTCCAAATGTTGCCAGCAGCCTTCGACTTCTTGCTTGGTATGGCTTTGTTGACCTTTATATCGGATAGTTTATAAGATGAAGCATGTCTCTGATTCATAAAGGACTCGAGGGTCGCAAGGCGCTGTTGAAGTGGTGCGAGCTGGCCCTCCTTGAGGGCCTCGGCATCGACCATCCTCTTGAACTCGCCGTAGTTGAATGTGGCTCCAGTCTTCTGCTGGTGAATGCGGAGGTCCCGGAGGATACGCATGATGACGTGTAGGTAAAGGGGGAGACCCTCGCCGTTAGGGTTGACGGCCATGAGATCAAGCATCCTGCGCGTGTTGAGGTCAGATTCATTAATGCGAAGTTCTTCGATTACCACGTTGGGAAGAGGCGAATAAATTCGCTGTGATGTGTCAGTCTCTTCAAAATCTCCGGAACATATGGCCGAAATAACAGCTTACCCGAATCTGTGCAATGCTTGTGGGAGCACAGAGAACCCTGACAAACACGTTTTCGGAAGATGAGATGAATGCCGCCTCGCAGGGGGAACCACCCGTATCGGAAATGAAAGCATCGTAGTGAAAAACAATGCCAGTGAGAGGATCGGGTAGAACATTGGCGACAGATGGCAGCAGAGCATTCTCGAGGATGCAGCTGAGTGAGTGGCTTTTCCCAGATCCCTGGCTGCCGCAGATGAAGACACTAGATGGAACGGCGATGTTGTAAAAGATACGGGGGTCGCTCCCGTGACGTTCATAAGCTTCCATGTCACCAGCCAGAAGGCCATACTGGCTGAAGGGATCGTCGATGGGGCCATCTCCCGAGCGAGAAAGCCCGGATGCGACCTCGAGGGCTTGCTGAGTAAAGATTGGGGCATTGAGGGCGGCAGAATTGGTGTCACTATGGCCATTCGCCCTTTTCAGGAGGTCGAGATGGGCGCCCAGGCTCATGAATTTTGAGCTGAAGTTGAAGTTTTCACCTGGAGATGATGGGCAAGTGGTTTCCCCGGATGACGGGTTTGGAGTATATTTCAAGACACTTGCAAACTGGGTGAGTGAATGGGAAGACATGATGATTGTTCTCAAGTGGAATATGACGCCCAGACTGTTGAACAAGTCAGTGATCAGAGCAAAGAGATGATTAAGAGAGATTTTAAGAAGAGATCAGAATAAAGGGATGAATAAGACGAGCGCAAAGAGTAGGAAAAATGTTGAACGGGTGCTCATCCTCGGTAGTGTATTGTTATAGGCCATGGCTAAATAAGGATGAAAAATCATAAAGCATAGTAAGACATAAAATCCCTTGTCACTGTTAGAAAAGCAACAAGTTTGCTAGATTGTTGTTTGCCCATGTAAAGTGAAAGCAAGGTGAATTCTCAAAGGAGATCGTGGTTGAATGAGGGGTAGGCAGACAAGTAGGCGGACAGGCAGAAAAGCAGGGCGGTGCAGATCAACAAAGCTGAGACTTGTTCTGCGGCCTATGTTGCGGTCACATTTGTGTGTGCCCTGAGAGGCTGATTTTGAGGTTGGGGCTCTGCATGTTTCTTCTGTTGTTGTTATCGATGTTGTTGAAGAAAGGAGAAACAGAATGCGGTCAAGATACTTGGTAATATTTTTTAAGTAATAATATCAAGTGGCAAGTGCGGGAACCAGTGTCGACTGTTCTTTCCAAAAAAGGCAATCCACTCGTCCCCTGTATTTTGATTGCTTTCACTTTCAATTATTACCCTGCCCTTGGAAATCGGTGATATCAGCGTAGCATCACGTCATTGCATTTACTCCTCTTCTCCTCATCTCCTCATCTTCCTCTTCTTCTCATCTTGGCTAACCAACCGTGAATCATTCCACTTTGTTTATACGCTTATCCTTATTATCTATTCCTTCTCCTATCATAATCTCTTTTCAAGCGTTCAATATCAAACAAGTGAGACGAGGAAACGTGAAAATAAGCCAAAATGGCAAACGTTGATACTTCTCTCCCTCCCGAGCCAAGCGGCGCAGCCAGCCAACTGGCATCCAAGCACTCAGCCGAGCATCCCCTCAAGCTCTACGGCGGTTGGTTCTGCCCGTTTGTCCAGCGGTCATGGATCACGCTGGTGGAGAAGGGTATCCCGCACCAGTACATCGAGATCAACCCATATCTCAAGGAGGCGTCGTTCCTAGCCCTCAACCCACGCGGTCTGGTACCTACACTTGGTGTCCCTGCTCCGGACGGCTCGCAGCGCGCACTCTACGAAAGCAACATTGTGTGCGAGTATCTAGACGAAGAATACTCTGATGAGTCCCAATACGGACCACCTCTTCTTCCCAGGGATGATGCTTATGCTCGTGCCCGTGCACGTCTGTGGATCGACCATGTTGGCAGTAGAATCATCCCTGCCTTCTATCGTCTTCTGCAGCACACACCAGACAAGGACTACACGCTCGACCAGGCGCGGGCCACGCTGCACGAGCACATCCTCACGTTTGTGCGGCAGATGGACGAGGGGACGTGGTTCCTGGGCGACAGCTTCAGTCTTGTCGATGTTGTGCTTGCGCCGTGGGCGAAGCGCCTGTGGCTGATTGACCATTACAAGCCCGGGGGTACCGGAATCCCAGATGGTACTGCCAGCAAGGAATGGGCTCGTTGGAAGGTCTGGTATGATGCTATTGTGCAGAGACCCAGTGTGAGGGATACGTGGAGTGATGATGAGCGTTACCTCATCTCGTATAAGCGGTATGCTGAGGATACGACCAACAGTCTTGTCGGACAGGCCACGAGGGAGGGGAAGAGGTTGCCATGATATTTCTGGAGCTTGATCTCTTGTATTATACCAATAGCAAATGCACTAGTAGTACTATCTCCAGATTGTGAGCCATAATGAGAGAATGACACTATACGCACTGTACAGACTCCACATATACACATACTCCATGGCAGTGTGCTACAGTGCCAATTGCGCCATCCAACCAGCCAGAAAACATGGATAATCGTCCTCCTCCCTTGATTCCCAGCAACATCCAACATCGCCCACCACATGCACACAGCAGCGGCGCATCAGCACCGTGGCACAGAAGCAGCAGCACAATGTCAGAAGATCGCTTCACCCCGCAGAACAAATCCACTCACGAGCGCCTCACAACAAACACAGTCGGCCTGGTGGCCTTTTCCGATTTCCGCAAACGACGCGCCCAGGTGATTGAGGAGCAGGAGCGCGAATCCCGCGGAGCTGCCAGCGCGACGGCCACTACCACGGCTTCTGCAGCAACAAGTGACACGGAGGCCAAAGAGTCGTCGGCCAATCCACCCAATAAAAAGGCCAAGACGGCAGCCAACAGCAAGAAAAATGTCGAGAATAGGACAGAGAAGAAGAAGAAGAAGAATCTTCTATCCTTTGACGACGAGGACGACAACGACGATGCCAAACCGACACCCAACGATGATAACGACGGCGATAAAAGCCAGAAGATTGACGAAAAGAAAGAGGCCTCGGCCGGCACCAGCAAATTCAAACCAAACGCATCGGTGGACCTGGTGCCCAAGCCCATGACCAAGGCCGCACTGCGGAGGGAAGCGGCGGAACGGGAGGCGCTGCGCAAGGAGTTTCTCGCCCTCAAGGAAGCGGTCAAGGCCACCGAGATTGCGATCCCGTTTGTCTTTTACGACGGGACCAACATTCCCGGCGGTATAGTGCGCCTGAAGAAGGGCGACTTCTCGTGGCTGTTCCTGGACAAGAGCAGGAAGGTCGGTGCGCAGCTGGGTGTTGGTGAGAAGAGGATTGCCAATGCGAGGAAGAATTGGGCTCGTGTCGGTGTCGATGACCTGATGCTTGTCAGGGGAACCATTATTATTCCCCATGTACGTTTTTTTCTTTCTCCTCTTTTTCACCATCATCGTCATTCTCCTTTTCGTCCATTCTTGATTTCTCTTGATTCTAAAAAATTTCTTGGGTGGTATCTTGTCTATGCTACGCTATGCTACTTATCAAAGGAAGATGAAAAAAAAGAAGAATAAAAGACTGACAACCTATTCCCAGCACTACGACTTTTATTACTTCATCGTCAACAAGTCCCTCGGCCCAGACGGACATCGAATCTTTGGCTACTCCAACCAAGCCCCCGAAAAGCCCACCCCCCTAGGAGGAGCCTTGGCCCCCAACGACCTCCCTGACATCACCACCCTTGAGGGCGCAGACGATGACCCGACCCTGACGAAGGTGGTCGATCGGAGATGGTACCAGCGGAACAAGCACATTTACCCGGCCAGCACTTGGCAGGAATTCGAGGCTGAAAAGGACTACATGTCCGAGGTGCGACGCGACACGGGCGGCAACACCTTTTTCTTCTCCGGTTGAGACGGGTCCAGAAACAAGGAAGAAGCGGGGTTGGCAGTCATGGGCTTGTGGTTTGTAGTTCATGATTTGTGGGTTGTCGTCTTACATCTGATGTGCTCAAGTCCAAAAGTACCATATAGTACTGGCGGTAGCGGCCAACACCCACCATCCAGGCCAGAACAGAGCCAGGATGACGGCGTAACCGCTCCCGAGGACAAAGACGGCAAACTCGTAAAAGACCAGTCTGCGCAGCCTCCTGACGGGCTTCGACTCCCACGTCCCGTGTACCAACCTCCCCGACATGATGGCACCCCAGTACGTGGCGACGAGAGCGTAAAAACCGGCGATGCCACCGATCTGAAGAGCCAACGTGGTGGCGAAGTGGGCTCTGATGCTCAAGAAGACGGATGCCGCTTGCACGGCGCGCCGGACGTCTCCTATTCTGGCGAAAGCTGGACTGAGCTGAAGAGCAATGTTTTTGGCGGCGATGACCTGCTCTGTCGGGCGACCTTGGCTCGCGGTCAAGATGGTTCCGTTGTCCATGGTTTCGGAAGAGAAAGCGGAAGCGGAAGAAGAAGAAGAAGAAGAAGAAGAAGAAGAAGAAGAAGAAGAAGAAGAAGAAGAAGAAGAAGAAGAAGAAGAAGGAGAAGAAGAAGAAGGAGAAGAGAAGGAGAAGAGAACCCCCTGGAAATTTCTCCTGCAATGGATCGGACTTCTGCAATGGATCGGCTATCCTCTAGAGGCAAATTAGATAGAAAAAAAATTGGCTTAGGACCCGCCCAGCATTCACCCCCTCACCCCACGCTGTCACAAAGCATGAGGAGATGTTGCATCCTATTATATAGGGGAAACGATTAGGTTACCTCTCATCTATTTTGACAATTAATCACTAGGCATCTTTTCACGGTCGACCATCGAAAGGGGATTGCAGCCCAAGAGAGACAACAACAACAACAACAACAACAACAACAACAACAACAACATCAACAACAGGAATGCACCCCGCCGTAACCCTGCGATACACCAGAGGCCAAACGCGATGCGCGACTATAGTAGATGTTGCGCCGTGAGGCAGGGGAGGGAACCCAGTCTAGACGCCAGACCAGAGGAAAATGAAGGATCGTGTTTGCTGGCATGTGATAGCAGCAGAAAAATCCCATGCCATATTTTAACCTATCTGTCCGACCCATCAAGGCGATTTTCCCACATGTCTGTACGTGGGGCAGTTGATTCGTCCGGTGCGGGACCGATAGTTCGGTGGGGGCTGCTCGCAGCCCCGAAAGCGTTTGACCATGAATGGTGGCCGGTTGCCGTTCGTTCGTTGACTCGTCCTCTGTGGCGCTCTCTACGATTCAGAGACAAATGAGAATATCGTCCCCCCTCCCCCCCCTCACTTTACACACCAACTTGCAAAAAAACAGAGCACGCGCACTCTCCATCCCGGCCCTGATCCCGGCCCTGGGATCAACGTGGGAGCCATCTGCCGAGACGCCCGAGTCGTAAAGTCCCGGGACGTTTCCGATGCTCCGTTGTCTCTCTCGCCATCTCTTTTGCATGTTCCGGATGTCTGCGGGTTCTCTTCAGTGTTCGATAGTTCTTTGCCCATTGGGTGTCAACAGTCTGCGCTGCGCTGCTTGAATCCCATGACATTCCGACAGCCCCTCGGTTCCATCATATAATATGACCCACGTGGGAGGTCATTGCAGCGAGTAGCGGTCGTTGCATTATTACGAAATAGTCTTTTGTGCGCTCGGGGTCGAATGCGGGGTCTATCGTGGGAAGGTGTGGGCTCACAGTTGACAGCAAAGACGATGAGAATATGTCCATGGCCAGTCTTCGTCACTCGCAGTGATTTGACCACTGCATGCGGCCTTTTTTTTTTTTCACTCTTCCCCGGAGAGCAGTGGTGATAGTTATGGGAGGGTGCATCATTAGAGCATGGTACAGTCATCGTCCGAGACTGTTCATTTTGTGTTTGAGATGCTATTCTCCTCATCATGTGTGCCCCCCTGGCACTCCTTCCCTCTCTGCCCTCCCCGCTTCTTCCACCACGATCGCTGTATGATTCGATTATGCGTACCGCCAGGGAAAGAGCAAGATGACCACCTGCTTCACAAGCCAGGAGTCGCGATACGCTCACGTGCGCACTGAGAGTCTGCGATGTGACTCCTTTCCAATTCTCGATTGTTCTACTCGTACGGCTCTAGCCGTCAGGGGAAGTTTCAGCGTCGACGCCATCCTCGACTGTTTGGATAGTGACGGGGACTCTACCAATGCAACGGTAACCTTTTGCGAATCCAGAGGCTGTCTCTCTCTTTTCTTGGAGAGAAATACTCAGAGTGGCCAATGGCCGGGTGTACAGATTGGAAAGGGGATGACCCATGTACGGGTACCTCTCTACTCGATATGGAAAGTAATAAATTACTCCTCATACTCAACTACTCGCATCCATAGACGGCATGCTTGTATCGATACACCTTTCGAACACCAGCTATACCTGATATACGAAACATTTCCATGTAGCAATATGCAATCTGCCGATGCAGTTGTGCTGACGCACGCCTGCGTAGACCGGGGCATACGGAGTGACTGCGCCCGTGGCCTCATCCGTCCTCGTCGTTATCACCGTATCGAAAATGACCCTTGGGACCTCTCAAGAGAGACCAAGTCATGTAACGGTGACGTCTCCTAAGGGGCTGAAATGTTTCCACGAAGGTTATCCATCACTTAAGTCCGTAGGGGTATGCCAGATACCCGTAACGTGTGGCGTTGTGGCGCTGTGGTTTTATGGGGCCCCTATACCTATAGGTATTGTGACATAAGGGTGTGACACTTATCGCCTATATATCGATCGGCCTTATCGCTTTACTCGCTTTACTCGCTTTACTCTATTACTGACTAATTAGTTATATGCTAGCATGATTCTGAGTAAGCGAATTACTCAAGGCCCTTGAGTCTGAGTAAAGAAAAGTGGGTCTTTCTCTCATTATTCCACTCAATTTTAGTACTCATAGTCTTAGTCTTAGTCACCTTGCTCAAATTCGCCACCCCGGACCAAAGAGAGACCATCCATACTTGTACATGTACAACGAGGTTATGACTGACAAGTCTTGCAACGTACTGATATCCAAAAATACTCCTACGGCTACTGATGACAGGTCAAGTTCGATTACAGAGCACCATAAGCACTTGTCTACTTGGCAAGGCGGCAGTTAGAACAAGACGGCAATATTCAGGGTGCGTTAACTTTTAAGTGCCGACAACAAACCGTCATCACCCTGCCGGCTGTGCGGGGCTGGGCAATGCAAAGCGAACCAGACTGTCCTTGGAGAGACGAGATTCAGCCTAGAACCATTGCCGTTGTACGGAATACGAAGTACAGATAATAGTATTGGCAACATATCAGTGATTAGTACACCATATCTGTACGGGGTATTAATATTGGTAGCATTGCAGGTATCATTACTCCGTACAGCAGGGATCTGACGTCCAGACTCCGGACTTTTAGAATGAGAAACCTCCAAGAACTAGTGATATTAAATAATACATGGTAGAAATACGGGCGCACCGGCCAACTTCCCCGTCTATCGAGGGCCATATGTGCCGTGCGTGCTGATTGATGTACGCTGCACGCACCATGCCGATGCACCATACATGATGCAGCGACCGGGAATGATTGCAGAGTTACAGATTGGCCAGCAAGGCAGATATATTCGAGGTTAGGAGCACCCATGATCCAGCTGAAGCCAGAGCAGTCGTGCCGCGGCTGTGTATGTCGTCAGCCGGTCAGGCCGGGCTAGATGCGGCCAACGGCAAACAGCCAGCATAACGGCCAGCTGCGAGTAGGGCGAAGAGAGTGAAGAAAAAGAATGTTTGTACTCTGCGAGTCAGAAGAGGGCGAGCAGCGAAAGAAGAGAGATGATCCCGTTTATGTATAACATGGATAGGGACTATGAGGCATCGTGGTTGCCTTATTCCTCCGCATGCCGTGCCTTGTGATGAAGCGGGGGGGATTCGTCGTGCGCTGCCTTACTGATCAATATGAAGCATACCGGTATGGAGTATGGATCGTACTACTCGTATGGAGCAAAGGAGTGTTCGGTTCGGAGTCGCGAACCACCCACCACTGTACCTGTACTCATACTCGAACCATCTTGTTGCCACGTGGGACAATTTGCGGTTTAAAGGCCCCGGTGACTCGTGAGACATTGAGAGGGAGACAGAGACACTTGTGCGGGCGTGTGTGTGCATCGTCGGGCCGCTGCACAGATGCATACGCGTGCGAGTGGGAGTACGAGTACAACATGTACGGTTATGATGCACGAGCGTCGAATGGTGCGAATCACTCTGGGAGGGTTCTGCGTTGAAACGGGAGAGGATCCAGGGGGGTCAGGGTGTCTGTAATCTGGACTGTTGGCAGTCAATTGTCGAGATCAACTGTTGTCTGTCGATTCTCAAAATACGATCCCTGTATTGCTACTGCTTATAACTAGCGTCCATGTTGATAGCAATGTCGCATTTCGTTCAAGGGCCATCGTATTCCCGTCGACTCAGGACTGGCAAAACTTGAGAGGAGAGAAAAGAAAGGAAAACACGGCGCAGGTTTTCTTCCCTATTACCCATGCCAACTAGTGGCAAGGCTCCGGTGTCCTGAGTAGCCAACAGAGCTGCAGCTGAGAGCGGAATAACCCACCGGTCCTTGCCCGCGGATTACTCGTAATGGTGCGTCTGACTCCACTGGTGGCCCTTTGTACAATGCACATGTTGTGCGTATACGAGTATGTACGGGCTAATGTTAGTCATCGACGTTGGACGTATATACGTATATGTGTAGCATTCCGTCAACCAGACAGTGCCAAACGACAGCGGGACCGATGGGCAGCCAAGACGTGAGATGCTGTTGGCGGAGAGGGAAAACTAGTCGAGGAAGAGGGGGAAGGGGGAAGAGAATAACCAGAAGACAGTTACAGCCAACGCCACTGCTGTAGTATGAACCGTTGACGCGGAAGGGACAACCGGCGCTACTGTCGCTAATGAAACAAGTTTGCGATAATACTGCATAAGCAGAACGGCCCTACGGATACCGTATAATACCACTTTGAAGCTATTATGGGACACATGGCGTTGAAATCATCACGATGGTTTCATTACAGCGTAGTATTCGTCCATTCTCTTGTACCCCTAAGCTTACAGTAATAATGCATCCGATGCGTAAGCTGACATGATACCCTGACGTTTTGATACTTGTAGGATGACGCTGTTAATCTTTCTTCTTTCTCGGTATACGAGTATCACACCTGTACTCGAAATTGGTTCTGACAAGCCTTGCCGCGGCGTTTCCCGTGTACGAGTACACGGATGAGTTTCCCTAAAGGAGTAGTGGACATTGCCGAAATGGGACCCTATTGGGTGAACAACTGACCAGTATCGGTGCGCTAGAGAGCTGGATATAGGGCTTTTTTGATGTAGCTACAGGGGTCATGCAGGTACCTAGCAATCCTAGTACAGAGGAGTATACCGTAGGTACGGAGTATTACACAATACTAGCAGTAGCAGCTTCAGGGGCTGAGGATAACCGGCTAGTGCCTAACCTGATTTGACAATCTCACCATGCATGCCGTGCTCGGATAGAGCCACCTCGAAGAAAACTCATACTTCTTGTTCCAGCAACTACGGGATACTACATCATCTATGGCACCATGTCAGACGAGTAATAGCAATGAGAGTAGGAGTTGGAGATATCCAATACATACGTACAGGTATTTTTTATATATTTACTATGCGATGAACCATGGCTCCGTACAGTTACTTGCCCGCACTCAACGGACAGCCCGAGACCCCGATGCACGCCATCTCACGGACCCCCAGAAAGCGACGGCCTAGCTGGTTTTGATGGTCAGCTTGCGTACTCCACCTTCGTTTCCATGTCAGACGTACTGGACCTCGAGAAACAGACGACAGACGGGGGGAGGGAGAGGTATTAATACGTGTAGAATAATCGAGGCTCTCTTAGTGAGTAAATGGGTGTGCATGTGTGTGCGTCTGTGCGGGAGTACTTAATACAGATAAATAATATCATTCATTGATCGATTGGTGAATAGAGTATTAATGCTGCAGTGTCAACACTACAGGTGCCATCATCTTCTCCGGGTCTGAGTATTGCTGTACTCAGTACCCGGGAATCATCCGACCCACAGGTATTCCTCGCTCACTGACTGGACAAAATCTCTCACTAACCGCTTTGGAAGGGGTACCCCATCTCACGTACTTATCAAAGTACCAGATACTTGACTCAGTACGGGAGTATCGTAGAACCACAATGCTCAGCAACAAGGCAAGAGCGACTGCCAAGTGCCCACCCACCCAATCTTTCCTTCCAACGCTCCTTCCATCTCTCCCCTGGCGGCAGCTACGGATTGACGCACCAACATCAAATTATTACCAGGCTGTCGTCACTCCTCTCCCACTCCCTTCCTCTTCTCTTTCTCCCTCTCTCCTCTTTCACATGTCATTACAGCCAGCATTGTTGGTTGTTACTTCTTACATTGTGCGTCCTGCAGCTCAAGGCTGCATTACATGACCACCAACCATTGACGTCTTAACAATCAGCTCCATCTTCATCATCCCGGCCACCTTCCTTTTTTATTGGTCCTCTCTTCTCTCGACTAGCATTCTTTGCTCTTGATCAAACTCCCATTACATCGTCGTCCATCTCTTATTACTTATTAGTCCAGTATCAGTATTGTCCACCTTGCCTGTGATCTACATTCTCGTCTCACTCGCATACGGCACTATACAAAAAAGGGCCCCTAATGTTTTAATAATCCGTCGTCTCGCCTTTTTCCTCCGGGGGGTTCTCGCTCCTTCTCACCTATTTCTCCTATGGGTCTCATCTGATCCATACAGGCAACAAAACGTTACACGCACAACGTCACCAGCATTTAGCCAGAAACCATGTTGGCCGACGCCCTGAAAGCCGTCTGGGAACGGTACTCTAATCATCTCTCCCACCCCGACTTTGCTGCCATCCGGCACTCATCTGGCCTCATCCTTCTCGGTTCCGTGGGGCTCGCTATCTTGGCCATTGTCCTCCGCTTATTTGCTGCTTCATCTACCTCGGACCCTGGCAGCTTGCCCCTCGCTCTCGAGAAGCAGGGTGCTCGCACATTTGGTTTCCTCTCCCGCATGTCCTTCTATCTCAACTGCTCTGATCTGTACGCGGATGCCTGGCACAGGGTTAGTTCCTTTTCTCCCTACCTCATCCTCTATGTCTCTCCTCTCGCCTTCCTTCTCTTCTCCATACGGACCAGCATGCTCATCCCATCACCTCACAGTTTAACAAACATGGTCTACCCGTCCTCGTCCCCACCCTAGGAGCTCGCAAGGAAATCTTCCTACCTCACTCCTCCCTCAAGTGGGCCATTTCTCAGCCTTCTCGTGTCCTCGGCATGTGGGATGCTTTCAGTGAAATGTTTCAACTGGGGCACAGTTTGGGGGATGAAAAGTACATGCTCGACATCTGGCCCCATATGCTGTCCAGGCAGGTCTTGACTAGGGAGCTCGATGACCACCTCATGGATGTTCACGATGAGCTGCACTACGCCATGGAGACCCGTCTCGGCGGTGACACCCAGTCTTGGTCTGAGCGTGAGCTTCTTGATACCATACGCCTCATTATTACTCAGGTTGGCAGCCGCTTCACCGTGGGCAAGACATTGTGTAAGTAGAACTCGTGCCTAGAATCCTGGCATCATGGCACTGCTCAGGTCGAGTACCTGGACTGACTCCCCCCACGCACACAGGCCGCAACGATGAGTACCTACGCCTCATCATGGACACCGTCGACAACGTCGTCACCACTGCCGGTGCTTTGGGATTCATCCCCGAGACCATCCGCCCTCTTTTCGCCAAGCTCATCTGCCTGCCCACGTTCCTCAAGCTTCGCAGGCTGGAGAACCGCTATTACAAAGCCGAGTTCAAGACACGCCTTGCAGCCCTTGCCGCCGGCGACCCGGACCAGCCCGTCGACCTTCTCCAAAAAATGCTGCGCTTTGCCAGCAAGCATCGCAAGGAAGAGCTTGCCACGAGTCAGATGACGCGCCGCATCTGCATGTCCAGCCTTGCCTTCGTCTACCTCGCCAGCTTCACCACGACCAATATTGTCAACAAGATGATGACTTCCGACGCCGAACATGACACCTTGTCCATACTGCGCGACGAGGCCGAACGCTTCCTTTCCGAGAACCCTGACCCACGCAAGCTGTGGACCCGTTCCAAGACGAAGGACATGATCTACGCCGACAGCGTCATGCGCGAGTCCCTCCGCCTGTACACAGTTCCAACCCGCGCCGTCGTCCGCAAGGTCATGGTTGATGGTGTCGTCAGCGACACAGGGCTACCGTTGCCCAAAGGCGCCCTCATATCGTTCGTCTCCCAGCCCATGCACACCGACCCGGATCGCTGGGACGACCCGATGCGCTACGACCCCTTCCGCTTTGTCCGCCTGCGCCAGATGACCGACAAGAGCATGTTCAGTGACGAAAACCACGTCCGCGACGCTGTTTCCGATGATGTCAGCGACAACTTCAACCCCAACAGCTTCCTTTCCACATCGGGTCTGCTTGTCTTTGGTCGGGGCAAAAATTCGTGTCCCGGTCGTCTCCTCATGGAGATTCAACTCAAGATGCTCATCTCCAATCTCGTCCGCAACTACGACATCAGACTGGCCGATCATGACTCTAAAACCCCTAGGCCAGCCGCGAACAGCTGGGTTCTTGAGTTTATCTTTCCTAGTTCGCGTACACGGTTTCAGTTCAAGAGGCGCACAGCACGTGTAGCCTCTGTACCGGCTGTCAAGGCATAGGCCTCGTCGTCATTGCTCTCTTGCACTCCCTTTACGCTTTCCTTTCTTGTCACCCTTCTGCAACATGATCATACAGCAGTTTCTTATATACAACACGCCTACACCGGTTTGATTTCTCCTTCTCTTTTCATTATCTATATACCCCCGTCATTTATTTATATACGTCTTTTTGGGTCTCTTGGTTTCAATCCCTTTGTTTTTTGTTTTTGCATCAAATTTTTTCTACGAATGGGATGAGGATATATAGCGAATACTGTTTCGGGACGCTGCTTTTGGAATAGCAATGTTGATCTTGACTGTCCTGACGAGTTACTTTCCATTCTTGTGATGAACGCTGGCCAAACAGACAATGTTTAATGCACTGCCGATAGTAGATAACAATGCCAAGCTCAAAACACAATTCCACCCCCGTCAACAACGATATCAGCCCCATTGATGTAAGACCCGGCCCGACTGACGAGCATAACCACGACACCGGCCAACTCCTCGGGCAGACCAATCCTCCCCATGGGATTTCTACTACACCAAGAATGCCTCGCATCAGCGAGACCATCACCCTCGTTGAGCACAGTATCCATGTATCCGGGGCTGATGGAGTTAACGGTGATGCCGTATCTGGCCCACTCAGCAGCCAGACTCATCCTCACGCCGGCAAGGGCAGCCTTGCTGGTATTGTACGCCACCTGGGGCTGGGGGAAGTTGACCCTGTGAGCGGAGATGCTGGACGTGAGGACTATTCTGCCGCCTCTGCCCTGACGGACCATTTGGTTCGCACAGGCGCGTGAGACCAGAAAGGATCCCGTGGTGTTGACCTCTATCACGCGTCTGAACTCTGCGGCGGACATGTCCAGGGCGTGACCGACCTGGACGACACCGGCAAAGCAGATCAGGGCATCCACACCGCCCAGAAGCTGGACCGTGTGCGCCACGGCGGCCTCGACATCCTCCTCAGAAGTGACGTTGCATTCACGCGCCTCGATGCGCGTATCGGGAAAATCGGCTCTCAGGGAAAATAGGGTGGACTGGGATGCCTCGCTGGATATGCCAATGTCCAGCAGCATGAGGGCGGAGATGCCGTGCTGCACCAGCGCGCGAGAGCATACGCTCGCTATGTTGCCCGTTCCGCCCGTCACGACGGCTACGCCCGATACGGCGAAGCGGCCGGCCGCGGTGTCGCGGGGCGCGGGGTAGGACGACGATGGAAGCTGGGGGGTTGAGGTCACGGTCGATGTTGGTGGGCAGAGGGTCATGTAGGGTATTATTCTCTCACGGAGGGCTTCGCGGGAAGTCATTGTGTTTTTTTTTCTTCTCTTGGTTGTCAAAGAGGGGTATTAGTTGTGTGTGTTGTTTTATTAAGACACTTGTTAATTGTCGGTTATGGAAGGAAGTCGAGGGCATCCTTATACTTGGGGAACAGAGGTCAACTTGAATCTGACGACTTACACGATGCCAACACCACACGACCCCGCATCCCAACCCCCCCCCTCCACGTAGGACAATATACATATACTCGACAGCACGGAGCTCTGTGAGCCGGACCTTTGGACCTCGGTGGCTCAGTACTCTCTCTATGAGATACTACGACGTATCATGTAGCGTCAACCACGCGGGGCATGCTCCGAACGCTTCCGTCTGCGTCTCGGGCATGATGCCGCACATTGGCGCTAGGCATAAAGGCGAAAATGGAGGGAAACAGTGACCTAGAAAAAAAAAGGAAGAAATTAGGCATTACAAGACAAATCACATCAATTCTACTCTCGTTTTTCTTCTTCTTCTCCAAAACATTCTTCCTAATCAATTTTTTTAAACTCCCCTTCCCCAACACGCCTACACAATTCCTTCAACACCCCGCCAGCCCACTCATAGTCCTCCAACTCGAGGTACACCTGGGCGCTCAGCCTGACCCAGAAGCGATCCCACCTGACACTCACAGCCATGAACGTGTGGAACTCGTCAAACATGGTGTCGTTGATCCAGTGAAAGGCAACGGGCGCGTCCTCCTCGGATACGACGATATCCCCCGGCCCGGCCCTGACCCTCCCCTTCTCGCCTACCCATATGGGCAGGGCCACATTGGCCATGGCGCAGTCGGTCATCGTGCCGGCCTTATTATCGAGGTAGTCCGTTCCGAGGGCGTCGGCGACGACCCTGATGCCCCTCCTGCTCAGGTCGGTCATGTAGGCCATGATCCTGTCCTCGCCGCCGAGGACGTGCTTCCGCCAGGCGATGGCGTCCCTGACGGACAGGTAGGGCGAGTCGTCTCGGGTGCCGACCCACTCGAAGTTGCGCTCGAAGTGGCTCTTGCCGTCGTGCGGAATCAGAAGCGGCTGCGTGCGCCTGCCGCCGTTGTCCCGGCGGGGCGCGTACCCGCGGGCCGTGGCCAGCGTGCTGGGCAGCAGGTGCTGGTTGCGCAGCGGCACGTAGAAGAGGGCGCACCCGCGCGGCGTGTGCAGCCACTTGTGGCAGTTTGACACGAAGAAGTCCGGGTCCGCAGCCGAGAGGTCCAGCGGCACCATGCCCACACCATGCGCACCGTCGACGAGCGACGTCACACCCAGCTCGCGACACGCCGCCACCATCTGCACCCAGGGGAACCGCACGCCCGGATTAGAGGAGACCACGTCGAACAGCGCCACCCGCGCCCTCCTGTGGTCCTCTTCCTGCAACCTGCGCACCTCGTCCCGGAACAACGTGATGATCTCCCCGTCCTCGAGTGGGTAGTCGAGCTGGATCTCCCGAACGCCTACTCTGCCAGAGTAGTCCGACACGAAGTCCTCTGCGCGCGCGCACGCGTCGTACACGGTGCTGAAGTGGACGATGGTGTCCTTGCCGTCGCTGTTCCACTCCAGGTTGCGCAGCACCGTGTTGACCCCCTCGGTCGCATTGTTCACAAACACCACCTCCGACACTGGAGCGTTGACCAGCTCGGCCACCGCCGCACGCGACTCATCCAGCAGCTCAGGCAGTCGCACCCTGATGAAGTGGTCTGGCTTCGCCTCGTACATGTTCATGTAGTGATGTCTTCTGGCCTGGATGGCGTGCGGCACCGTTCCGTAAGATCCTAGGTGCCATGGTCCACGTTAGCCAAGGCTTCGAAAGAGTACGGGACCCCAAAAGAAGAGGGGTGGGGGGCCACAGGACGACAAGGCAAACCGTGGTTGAGATTCCTCCATCCGGGCTCAAAGGCAAAGTCGGCCCTGATTCCATGTCCCAGTTCTTTAGGTCCACCGTTGTCTCGAATCGAGGTGAGTTCCTGTTTACCAGCGTCTATGACCATGTTGGTTGGCTTTGCTGTAGATGACAATTTGGCTGGCTTCTTAAAGACCGTACTTTCTGTTGCCGTATTCAGGAATAAATAAGAAAAGAAGGAGAAAAAAAGAATCGATTTGATGTCGTACACGCCCTTCGATGAATGTCACCATCAGCTCCGATCGGCCGCAACAGTCGAATGAGAGTCAGAGCGGGGACGCCATCGTTACTCATAAGCTCTGCCTTGATTTCCCCGCTCAGCCAATATAGGAAGGAGGATGTAGACGACTGATACCGATTCAATCTTCTACTATTGTCTTTTAATCGTCTTCACATAGCAGTTGGCTATAATCTTCACCAATATCTCTTGATTGACCCTCTCGATACCAATATATACAAGTAGTAGTATAGTAGTCCTAGTATTATATACATCAAAGTCAGACTATAAAAAAAACCATGGTATCTTCTCGGAGTCATGCGATATAACCATGCTAAACAGCAAACAGCATACAACAAGCATCATCCCCCGTAAATCACCGCTGAACACCCATCTGCGCCAAGGTAACCGCCGCGTCCGTTTCCAAGTCTCCGTAGCCTAGTCTATGCTGCTGTCTCGTCGCCACACTGTTATCCCTCCGCTGCTGCTGCTGCTGCTGCTGAGCTAGCACCTGTGCCTGCTGCTGCCGCGTGTGGTGATACTGCGTCCATAGCCAAGGAGACCCATCTGATGATGACCAGTGATTCTTGAAAAATTCCGTTGTAGCCTGCTGGCCGAACTGCCATACGTTGCTTATGCTCGCGGTTATTCGCGAGACGGGTCCCGCCGGTGGGCTGATGGGTTCCATGGGTGGTGGGATCCCCGATACTTGTCGGGGAGTCGGGGTTGACACAGCATTCATTGGTGCGAGCGTCATCGAGAAGGGCTCTTCCTGATGCTGCTGCTGCTGCTGCTGCTGCTGATCCTCTGGCTTTGCCGGATCCGGTCTGCGCATCTTACTCCCTGGAAGAACAACTTCTACTCCATCAATCTTCTTGCGCTTCCGCGTCCGAGCATTGCCCTTGACAGAATCGACAATCGAGCTGTTCAGTATAGAACCCATGGATGCCATCCCGCTCTGCACCGGCGCCGATATTTGTCCGTGTCCCTGCACCGTCTTCTCCACCGCGGGCGTTAGCGGCTGCGGCTTCCTCGCTCGCCCGTGGTGTGGGTTTAGCGTGGACGAGGGTGCCTTGTTAATGTTGCTGTTGGGCCTGTCTATCGCTCCGACGCCCGACTTGCTTGATCGTCTTGGCTTTGGTTTTGTAGCCCGCTGGGCCATCACACTTGGCTTATCCATGGCCATAATGGTGCCACCCACCGGTGGTGGTGACGGTGCAATCTGCTGCCGCTGCTGCTGCCGCACTTTCGTCTCCACCATCTGCACTACCTCCCTTTTCAATGCTATGGTTGCTGTTTTAATAGCGGTTACACTGGTCTCGATCGAGGCCGGCAGCATCGGCACAGATGGTTCAGGACTTGTATCTCGCGATTCCAGAGTCTCTCTCCTCTTCGCACGACTTCCCGATGGGGCTTTTGGGGGCACCTCTGACGCTCTCAACTGAAGCGATGGTGTCCCCGTGATCCGAAAGAGCTCGTCCCGAATCTTCAACGACCAGTACGCGGCTGACTGCTTGTTATCCCGCATAGCAGCCGGGTTAACTGGCGGTGGACGCTCCCTTCTCTCCCTTTCCTTTTCCTGCCTCTCTCTCTCCTTCTCCTCCTCTGTCTTCTTCTTCTTCTTGGGCGGCGCCGTCTCGTCGTCCATCCACAGCTTCGGCACACGGGTCTGCAGATCCGACACCCATGCATCGCAGTCCCACTGCACCCAGTAGTCGATGACGTCCCCCCACGAGCTCTCAGAGGGTTTGGTGAAGTTCACAAAGACGACTTTCCCGTCGCGGCTGTGGATGGCCTTAGCAAACTCTCGCACCAGTACCTTCAGGCCGTGCACGCGGAGGCTGGTGCCCAGAATCAGGAGCATATCTGGGCAGATGGAGATGTCGTGCGTAACAATAGGGCTGATAAGGTGTGCGTTGGGGTGCTCCTCGCCGTACAGGACAATGTCGGGTCGCAGTTTGCCCACGCCTAGAGCGCGTTTACCCCGCTCCTGTCGCGCCGTGGTCGCACCTATGCAGTGCGGACACTCCGGTTGCTGGCCAGATAACGTCTCCGATTCCAGCGTGTCATCCCACGAAGAGATGCGTCCGCAGAGAAAACAGCGAAGGGATTCGAGGGAGCCATGGAGAAAGACGCATTCGACGCCTGACCTGGATCGTTCCAGTTTCGGTGGTGCCTTGGGTTGCTGCTGCTGTTGCTGCTGCTGCGACTGCGGCTTCTCTGTCGATGGCTCATCCTCAGCACTCCCTGACACGTCGTGGGACCTTTCTTCTGTTTTGGGTTCTTCTCCTCCCTTCTTCACCACCTCATTTTGATCCTGTGTACCCTCCTGCTTATCCTCGGCCTCCTCCACCATCTTGCTTAGCTGGGAAGCATTCGTTGTGGACCTTCTTGAGAACCTCCCACGACTTCCAGGCCCATCCTCGAGCGATGTTGACAGCCCTACCTTCTCCTCGATCTGGTCAATGTTCTGCGTATAGCAGCGCACGAGCTTCCCCCGATCCCTCAGATGGCTGATGAACCGATGGGATCCCGTAGGTTCGCAATCTTGTATTTTTTTCCGCAGAGACGTGGCAAACGTGTAGAAGACAGACGTACGGAGGGGATCAGCCCAGATTGACGCGTCAAAGAGGTCTTTCCCTTTCATGTTGGGCAGAGTAGTTTTCCCGCCCTGGTTGGCCGACGGCTGTGTGTTGAATGAGTCGTCCACATCGGCGCCAACATCAACGTCTGACTGCGACGTGCTGCTGCGGCGGCTGGGACTCGATTCCGAGGGTGTGCTCGATGACTCATACGGGTCGAAAAGGACAGGAGGAGGTGACGAGAGAGGGGATGAGCTCGCAGGTATATCTAGGTCAAGAAATCGACGCTGGGTGCAGCTACGGAAGGCCGAAGGAGGCAGAACCAGATGCGCCGGCGGTGACGTGCGGGGCGTTGTGGGTAGACCGACCCGTAATGTTTCGGGGTTCACATCGTCGTCGTCATGCTCGCTAGCGTCGACGGATATTGTGTTCTTGGCTTCTTCGTCCTTGGTCTCGTTCATGACCACTATGCTGCCATCGGCCGACACGCATCGTCTCTTAGGCCCCCTCTCGTCCTCCGTACCGTCGTCGTCGTCATCCGTGTCGCGGTAAGGCTGTAGTGGTGGCTGCTGCTGATCCTGATGCGCAGCGGCATCGAATTGTGCCTGAATGAGTGAGTACAGTCCATTCTCGGAGCGAAAGTCCTAACAAGACATCGAAAAGTCAGCCCAACGTGAGCAGCACCTGGGGAGGTGCAAGCATACAGGAATCCCCGAGTTGGTACTGATGCCAGCTCCAGTCATGACAACGACCTTACGAGCCTTGAGCAGAGAGCTCGCCACCTCTTGCAGGAGCTCATGGCACTCTGGGCCAACCCGCTGCGTAGGCATGGCGAGCGCGTCTGTGTTTCTCCCTTTGTATACTTTCTTCGTATATCCGGTTTTTTTGTGTAAGTTTTTTTTTTTTTCAACTGCAAAGAAAAAAAGAAGAAGAAGAAGAGAGAAGAGCACGCGATTCTAGCTCTGGTAGACTGTCGGCATGGTGTTTGTGGATTGTTGGACTGTGGACCTGCCCGCCGTGGTTGTTTTGGGGAAACACCGCGTCGTTGTAGATAGAACGGAGCCGGAGAGTACCTCGAAGAGTGGGGTGAGGATGATTGCCGCGTTCAGGTGTGAATGTCAATGGAGCATTGAAACAAGGTTTGACGAGAAAAAAAAAGCAAAAGGAAGAAGCGAGAGTTGGAGGAGCAATAGCCAAAGAAGAGAGTTGAAGAGGAGCAAATATATTGTATCATTACGAGTAAGAGCAAAAAGAAGGTAAAGTCGAGATGAGCGGGACGTTGGGTGGATCACATTCACACCTTCGGGTTGCAAGCAGCTACTCCATACATGGGACGCGCCTTCCTCTAGCAGGCTTGTTGTTGTTCGTTGAGGGAAGGAGCCACCACGTTATCTTAGCGTTATCTGGGCTCTCCACCTTTCACACATTTGCATCTCATACTTGCAGACAAAGGCACGAATACGAATAATAATCCATCACAATTCATCCACACAGCTCGGTCTGGTGAATTGACAGCAGTAATATCTGGCAGCAGCAGCAGAAGAAGAAGAATACTACTAGCAGGGAAATATTAGGTATCATAATCGGACAAGACTAATAATGCTATTAGCAAAAAAAGGAAACAGTGAAGAAGCACCCCCACAAGTCCATCAGTCCTGGTCCACCAGGGCCTGCATGAACTTGGCATAGTTGTTGGGCACTCCCAACCCGGTGATGGCATCCCATCCCTGGGCAGCGGGCCAACCACCGGGCATTCCGATACCGGCAATGGTGCAAGACTGACTGACACCTCCTTTGACATCCTGGAGCGTCTCGGCGATCTCGGGGCGGTAGAGCCTCCCGTTGAGCCAACCTAGAGGCTTCTTGCCAGCCTCGAACCTTGCCTCATCGATGAGGGCGACGATGGCAGCCAGGACAGGGGTGCTGGCGCTGGTTCCGGCTATGGAGACGACCTGCTGGGCAAGGACAATCTGGAAATCGGTTCCCACGGCCGAGATGTCAGGCAGGGCGCGCATGGAGCTGTTGTAAAGGCCACGGAGACGACCACCAAGGGCCGTCTCGTAGCTAGACACGGAAGAGTCCTGCCACGTCTCGCGTTTGAAGTACTGGGAGAAGCCACCGCCGGAGAATTCGGCGCCGGTGGGAGGGTTGTTGATATTGGACACGGCACCCACGGCAGTGACCCAGGGGCAAGAAGCGGGGAAAACGGCCATGGCGACGGGGCTTCCATCGTACCTGACGCACGTCGAGTTGCGCGATCCGGCAGCGCCACCGTCACCAGATCCGGCGACGACGGTGGTTCCGCGGCTGGCGAGAAGGCCAAACATGGAGCACACGCGCTCGGCGTAGGGCTTCGGCACCGACAGCTCGTTGTCAGCGTAGGAGAAGGACAAAACGTGGGGAAGCTCGTCGTCGGGCTTGGCAAGCAGGTGCTCGAGCAGCTCCAGGTACGGCTCATTGTCGACAAACTCCTCGGGCGTGGCGCCTCCCGAGTCGTTGAGCTGCGCGCCCCTACCACCGGTAGAGTAATAGGTCACATCAGCAGGGTACCCTAGGGCCATGGTGTACTGCACGTCCAGCGCGGCCTCGGCACCGGCCTGGGCAGGGCTCTGGATGTTCTGGCCTCCATGGACGAGCTCGACGGCGAAGGACGACTTGCTCTTTGTTCCGGGGGAAAACCTGGAGACGAAAGTCGACACGTCGTGGTAGTTGGCGTACTCCTCAAGGAAGCCGGCAACGCCCAGACGGACGCCATTGGAAGGCTTCGTGGTCGCATTGGCAGCAGCAGGCTGGGGCATGTTGTACATCCGGCGGATGCAGTCGGGCGTGGTCATCTGGGCGCAAGGGTTGGCACGCGACACGACGGACCTGGCCTTGGTGATGGTCGAGAGCTCCTTCTTGGGAGCCATGAAGTTGGCAATGGGGTGGACGAAGCTGACGGCGTCCTCAAGCTCGTCAGGCACCGAGTATGCCGTGGTTCGGAGGACGGCCCCCTTTCCCTCAAAGTCGTAGCGGTGCATCTTCATATCGAGGAGAGACTCAGCCTTGCCGACGGTGGTGTGGACGTGGACCCAGTCGTTTTCGCGGACACCGTCAGCGATGCCATTCTTGTTGAGCCAACCGTTGACGGCCTCGACATCGGCCTGGTCGGGGGCGCGCAGCTCGAGAGCTTGCTCGCGTGTGAGGTGTGGCGCAGAAGGGTCATCGAGGGTGTTGCGGATCTCGTCGATGCTGGGCTCCCTCAGGGCAAATGAGAGACGAAGAGGCTGTTCGGGATCGACGTCTTTCTCCAACAAGGTCCAACCATCTGGTGACTGTTGCAATTGCTCGATAATGCCACAGCTGCCCAGGCCAGCCAGGGCCAGCAGGGCCATGGAAGTGAAGCTAGTGTAGGCCACCATGCTGTCTGCTCCTTCTTCCTCTTCTGATCTTTCTTTTACGTCCTTCTGCACTGGAAACGGGGGAAAGAATATAATAATAACGAATGGATGAATGAAATGGAATGAAATGAAATGAATGAATGAATGAAGAGAAGAAAGAAGAAGAAAAGAAGGAAGAGCAGAAGAAGAGGAGGAGGAGGAACTCTCGAGAATTCAACCAGGGAAAGGAGAGAGCGGAAAGAAGGGAAGGTGAGAAGGTGGGGGAGCAAGATGTGGGTTGTTTATATTAAAAAGTAGGAAGGCACCAAAAGAAAGCAAAACAAGAACAGGAAGCAAATAGTTAATACAGGGACCAGAGAAGACGCCGACAAACTCACGTCGCGGTCTCAAACAGTTTCAATGCTACTCTAATTATCAGGCACTTGGCAGCAGTCGTACAAATGTTTACCATACCAGTAAAACACTGTTTCATGGATGAATTGACCCTGTCAACCATTTCGTCATAGCTTGAAAAAAAAAGAGTATGAAGGCAAAAGGGAGAAGAGTAACACACCTTGCCCCATGCGCAAGCCCCCCCCCCCCCCCCCCCCGTTCTATGCAATTCATGCAAAGCCTACAAGTCCTTTTCATACCTGACGAGTACTATCATCATTTGTTCAAGTTTGTTTTCTTCCGTCGTAGGGATGTGTGTGTTTGACTAAGATCTAAACAAGCTGTATGGGTATGAGCTCTAATACTGGTGTTGGTGTTGGTATTATTATATTCATCTATGACATTGTCACGTCGTACTACTATTACTATTAATATTACAATCACAACCCTCTCGTCCATACTCGTACACGCAATTGCGTACATGTACTCGTATATTAAAGGGAAATGGTAGGCACTCGTATAAGGTCAGACCAGTTATAGTGGTTCTCCTGGACGATCTGATGATACACGATACCCACATTCTTGTACATCGTCATTTTAAATGCCGACAGGATACGACCGAGGGACGCACACACACACGCGCTCGCACAGAAAAAAGAAGGGAAGGGAATTAAAACGTCAATGGTTGATAGATTGCTAAAACACACGCACAACAAGGCATAAGTGAAGTTCCTTCTCATTACTCTATGAGTCTGGATGACTACAAATAGTAGTACTGGGTAATATATTGTCAATACGAACGATACTTGATATATATTATGTCGTACAACTTAAACCCAATGCATCTCCCATCAATAATTTAGCCAACATGCATGTACGTTCCCTTTCATGTAATTAACGCGTTAACAAGAAAGAAAAGCAATGATCCCAGAACTCCATTTCCTGTGCCGATATACGAGAGATGTAAATGGAAGGCAAAATAAATAAAAGCCATTTACCACATCTTCTCATCATGCCATCCCATTCAAAAGAGACGAACCGCCGAGAAAACAGAAAAACAATAAGTTTAGAATGGGGGAAAGATGATTAAAAAGAGAAATATGCACCAAAAAAAAAAAACGTGGGGGTTACCAAGCTCCAGTAGCATCCCTCCACATGCCAGTCTATGAGCCAAAGAGAGGGAAGGGGGTATCACAAAGTAGGAACCAGAGCTAAGCAGGAGCTGGAAGAAGAGCTGGAAAAGGAGAAGAAAGCCATGAACATCTTTCTGCCAAGGTAGCAGATGGGAATGTAGAGAGCCGTCGAGGAGAAGCCAAATAGCAGTAAGAGGCTCACGCCCGAATCGCCCGGTTCTGACGCGGTGGTATCTGGATCTCCTCGTTATCCGAACTGTCAAAGCTCTCATCTTCACGATCCAACATCTGGTCAATGTCCTTGTCCGTCATGCGCTGGCGGTGTGCAACGTGGCTGATGCCCAGGGCGCTCGGAAGCGAAAGTGCACCCCGCATATGAGATGACCCGGCTTGGTTGGTCCGTCTCCGCGGGGTGTCCCGAATCGGCGTGTGCTGCGGCGTGTCCAGGTCCATGGGGGAGTCAGGTAAGGGGGCCATGGTCGGCATGACACTAAAGTCGACCCTCTTAGAGGCCGACGCCGATGCCGACGCGGAAGGCCGCTGACTTGGTAGGGCTTTGCGAGCGCCTGGTAGGGCATGTCTGGCTGCACTGCGAGTTAGTGCGGGTTGGGACGAGCTCGGGTCTGGCGACGTCGTAGGAGAGAAGGAGTGCTTGACGTTGGCCGAGTTGTTGGGGCTGCTCATGAACAGCAGAGACTCGATGGCGTCCTGCTCCCTGACATTCTGATGTGGTGAGTGCAATAGGTTCTCTGGCGGCCCTCGTTGATGCAAGTGGTTTCCGGGTGTTGAGTTGGAGGCGGACTGTGAGCGCGAGAGCAGAGTAGGCGTGTAGGTCGGGTTCGAGTTGCGGCGTGCATTGGACTTCGGAGCAGTGGCCCCGAGACCCGCAGATGGTCGAATAGGAGCAGGAGGCGCAAGAGTTGGCCGGCCGGCTAAGGAAGAAGCAGAAGCGGGCGGCGAGTTGGACACAGTACGTGCAGCGGCTAGGCCGTTGGACAAGGCAGCATGGGCCAATGAGCCACCTGACAGTTGGGGACTGACAGAGGAAGAGCGTTTGCTGTGGCGCGTGGTTGTCGATGCGCTGGACGTCGGGGAGGCGGCCTGCGACGCGAGTTCCTCTACCTGGTCTAGGTTGTGGGATTGCCATCCATTGTTGACCTTGACCATGGCGTAGGACAAGCGCGTTCGAAGATCATGGGAAAGCTGGGGTGTGCAAGTTAGACAGGGGTACACACACACATACGTATATATATATATATATATATATATATATAGTGCTGAACAGGTTCAAACCCCGAGGGCAGATCGTGGCGTCGTAGGCTTTAAACTCACGTCTCCAATGGTGCTGGTGGTAGAGGCCATGCTCATGGTACTCGTGTTCCTCGAGTGTGTTCTGACAGGGCTCTTGACCTCGCCGTCGGCCATCCGTTTCCGCGACGCGGTAGGCACATCGGCCGCGTCCGTCTTCATCCTGTCCTGGGCGGCAGCAATGGCCGACAGCTGTCGCAGCTGGCTGTACTGGCCAGTCATGGCATAGCTGCTGTGCTGCAGAGTATCGTTGTAGTCGTGGTCGTGGTCGTGGTCGCTGAGGGCGGGCGTGAAGACTTGGTCAGACACGCTAGTGGCGTTAGAGGCCTGGGATCCCTCGGCGGATCGTGGGTCGCTCTGGGAGAATCGCTCATCCGTGGCTGTAGACAGGAACAGTGCATGTGCGTTCTTGTCATGCTGTTGGTCGGCGGCGTGGTGCGCACGCGACTTTGTCGCGACTGGTGGCGGCGCGGTAGCAGCGACCCCACCGACGAGGTTGGACCATGTCTCAGGACCGCGGCTATCTAGATGGGCTCGCGACGACGATGAGACCATTATGGAAGGATGAGTAGGAGAGGAACGTGTCGGCGCGACCGCAGCGAAGCGGCCGTAGACCGTAGGTTCCATGATTTATTCGCTCTTCCACGCCTGGTTGAGCGGCAGCAGCACAAAGGCGTCGTCTGAAATGGGGCGACCGGTCGGGGGCGAGCGAGAGAGGCACAGCAGGATAAGTGAATGAGAAAAACGAGTCAGTCAGTCAAGTCGCGTGTTGGCAAGAGAAGCGAGGGCGTAACGATGGACAAGTGGGAAAAAATGCATGCAGGCGTGTGTGTGTGTGTTGGTCGCGGTGAGGATGCGTCGAGTTGGTAGAGTGTGAGAGAAAAAAGTGGAAGAGAGAGAGGGATTAGACAGGATTAGACAGGATTAGGACAGGGAAGCCGCCACTTGTTAGAGTCCCTCCCCGGTTGCGTTGCTGGTTTACGCGGTCAGGCGCGCGACGGATGCGGGAGGCGCCACCCAATGGTACTTTCCCCTCGAGTATTATTACAATTTATAGTACATAGTATTAGGATAATAGCAGGTAATGGAATTTAGGATATAATATTATTCATAATACGTATAAGAAGAAGAAACTGTATCCCGTTTTGCAGCTTAACAAAGTCTCTCGTTCTTTCCAATCTATACAACTATCTATACTTTATTCACTTCCTCCCTCTTGCATCTATTCAGTCATTCATACATGTAATATAAAGAGCTTGGACGGCTGTAGAACCAGAGAAACGGCCCATGCCACATGTAAACTCAAGACTCAAAAGCCACCAAAATACCATACATATGAACATGTACAGCACCATCAGCCCCCAAGACACGCGTCGATGCCTAAAAGGTCTTTAAATGCTGTCCTTTTTCTCTTTCTATTTCTTCGAGGGCTTTCTGGTAAGTGCTCACTGGTGTACCCTTCTTTTTTTTTCTCTTCTCTTCCTATTCCCCAGCCACTTTCGCACGTAATACCGGAAACCGCGCAAGCGCAAGCGTGAGTAATGGGGGGTTGCCCCATCCGAGACTTTAATAGCCATACTAAAACAGAATCTCAATGTCTAGTATTGACTCGTATTTTCAGCGGCGGTCTTTCTCGCCTTTCTCTCCCTCTTTTCCCCTCTTATATTTCTTTAATCTATTTATCTCTTTATTTCCAAAGGAAATAAAAAAAATAAAGGAAAAAATTAAAAGAAAAAGAATGGTCATGAAAGTATAGACTGATGTAAAGAATCCCTTCCCCTCCCGGTTGTGACGTTTACGTGTAAAATCATCGTCCCCCTCCTCTTTATGTGTCCCCCGCTCCGCTTACAGGGGTCCTGCGGGTATGCGTAGTAATAGAGTAGCAAAACGAGCCCACGGGACCCCCTCTATATTAATTTTTTTTTCCGCATATGAGGAACACACACGATACAATGAGTTCATGTCGCAGAGTGACAACTGTTGGCGGTGATTATATGCTCCCAAGGTTAACGGAACACGCCATACAGGAAGAGAAAACAAATGACGACGAACGCGGCTCGGACTCGCCGCCGCCGGCCACTTGCATTGGCGTGTGCTTGGCCCACTCGAGACCGCGACACGAAGTCACGTGAGGAGCTAGTTTGTGCTGCACGTGATGTCATTGACCTCATGATCATCTTCATTTCTTGTCCATCGTTGTCCACTTTTAATTGCTTTGCTCTGTTCATTCGGCATTTGTTGTTTTCCTTCTATTAATGGCTGCGCTCTGTTCGTTTTTTTGCCAGAAAGCATGTAAGCTATCAGTAAACGTCATGAGAGAAAAAAAGCACTGAAAAAGGGTATAATATTGGCACCTCATCCACGTTCCGGCTCATCACTCGCACCACCACCGTAGACACCCCCATCCAAGATGACATGTTCGTTATTCTCCAGGTCGTCTTGTACTCTCCGCCAGCCCTTCTTCTGCGGCCGTCCCTCGGCGTCCGCGCCCTTTCCCTTGGCATCAAAGACGGGCTTGATCAGTGCACCGAGCAAGGGATTACTGCTAAAAGCTCCGCCACTCCTATTCCCCGTAGACTCGGACAATACAACGCCGCCGCCTTGAGCAACAGTGCTGTCGTCATCTTCTTCATCAGGAGTGGACGGTCGTTCCTTGTTGGCCATTCGGCGCACCACTTTCCCGCCCACGAGGTCAATGCTGACCACCTGCTGGCGCTTCTCGTAGTCCGGCCGAGCATTCCACTCCATCTCACGCATCATCTTCTGCTGCCTCTTGAGCTCGCGAGCCCTGTCTTCGGGCGTAGCCCACATGCTGCCCGTTCCGGGGGTGCCCACGTCGAAATCGGCAGCCTCGTCATGTACAGTCGTACGCTGGGCGTTCTGCGCCTGGAACCCCAGAAGCCTGTCGCGGTGCTCGCGCGCCTTGGCCTCCGCCTCAGATAGGGACGCATCCATCGGGCCCTCGCGTCGCTTGGTGAATGGCGCGGGAGCCTTGGATACCTCGGGCCGTCGGTGGGCCTTGGCGTCGGCGGCCATCTTCTCCCGTCCCCGCTCCTCTTTGAGTTCTCTCATCATGGACTGCACCTCGTCTCGGCTGAGTAGTGGTGTTCCGCAGAATGTGCACGGCCCCAAACCCTCCTTGAGGCATATCACCTTTCCACACGACAGGCAGTTGGGCGCTGCACCCTGGAGGGGGTGACGAGTCGCCACACAGTTGCATCGGCGTGCGTCGGGGCTGTCTAACTTCGGGTTGGTAGTGATTTCTAGCGCTCGGATGGCTGCTTCCAGGTCTGCCAGCGCCGTCGACTGTCCTGCCATTGGTGTACCGCCAGAGATGGACACCTTGGCTGGTTTAGGCGCCGAACCCTTGGGGGCGAGTGCTGATTTAGACTTTGATTTTGAAGCCACATCAGATATCAGGTATCCTGCCGATGCAGGCTGTTGTTTGGGCGCTGGCGGCGGTGCTGCTGCCGACGGCGCTGCGGGCTTGGGTGTGCCAGGTCTGGATGCATTGTTGCTGGAGGGCGTGCTAGACTGGTTATGCTGCTGTGTCGTCCGCGGTATGTACTCGAGATCTGTCTGCTTCTTGCTATACACGGTTCCCGAAGGCGCACCGTAGTCATTTACCTGCCGCGCCTCGGGCGTATGTATCTGCGCCTGCTTCTTCTTCTTGCCGGACTGGCGGTTCAACTTCGGCACACGGTCCGACGAGGGGCCGGCTGTTGAGAGAGCTGCAGTCGTCCGCGAGGCAGTGGCAGGCTCGCTCTGGTACGGATCCTTGCGCCGCGAATTGAAGGTAGCGATAAAGGTGGCCACTTCGGGTGAGTCGCCGAGCAGGTTGCTAAAGTGGGAGACGGCCTCGGACTTGGACAGGGTGGCGGCGTAGTCTAGGACCTGTTGTAATTCCGAGTCCTGGAGGGGCAGAAGCTGCGAGAGCTGTGCTAGAGACATGGTAGGAAGATTGGTGTCGAGGAACCCTGTGTTGGAGTTGAGAAAGGGTTGTTGAGTGATGATGTATGCGGTAGTAGCTTGATGGTATGGAGGGGCAGTTAGCTTTATCCATTTCAAAAACCACATACCCTATAGTAAGCTTTTGGAAATTAGCGGCGTGAGTCACTGGCCGGTACTACAGCCGCAAGATGCAGGTGTATCGAGATATATATCGTTCTACATTTTTTTCTGTATACTACAAGTTTTGTTTTGTGGCGTCTAGAACGGAGGGGACGGCAAAATAGTATTCCTTTCGAGATGTGTTGCGTTGGTGGTATCACAGCTGTCATAACCATAGAGGTGTAGGAAGACCAAGACTAAATTGAGACACCACTACAAAAGCCCAGCAAGTTCATACTGACTTTTCTCTTCGAATAAGGTAATTTCTCATCAATCCAAACACTACACTGATATTCACATGACCCATTTGATACCAACAGATCATGTTTAAGCAGTCAAACATCTCAGATACTTCGTTCATAACTCACAGCTTACAGTGTGTAACAGCTAATACTACTAGTCAACAACGTCCCATCCCGGACGTCCGAGAGAGATCCGAAGATTCCGGTAGAACAGGAAGAGAGAAGCGTACTGAGTACAGTTGTTAACAACTGCTATACAACCTTCTTGACCGTAGTATCGTATGTACGAGATCAAACGCTGTTGGACACATTAAGGTACACTGTACTCTGTACAGCATTGTTGAATACCCGGACCATGTAATGCCGAGCTAATTCCGTATAGCGACTCATCATTGGCTCCATGATTGCCGGCTTGGCCTGTTGTTGGCTCGTTGGGGGAAGGAGTAATACATAGGCGGGCAGTAGTTGTCTCGCATGCCCCAGAAGGATAGACACTCCGACACTCCCCTCCCCGCTAAGAGGCCCAGAGAAAGGACCTCTGGGGGGCCACCCAGGTGGCAGGCAGATGTAATCCAGTGTAACGACGGTCCATAGAAGGGGACCTCAAGGGGACCTCAAGGGGGGCTCCTCCGAAATCACTTGTATCGCGCACTAGGACACCTGATTACCCCGGGTAACCCAGCCCCAGCCCAGTCGCTGGCCTTGTATTACCTACTGTTACGGGGTAATAAGTAGGCCCTGCTAACCAGGCCCTGTTTAGTTTAGTTCTGTTTTTTTCCTTTCCACAGCGGGAGGCAGCGTCCATACCTAAAATTCCATATTTTTCGGCAATAGCAGCCATTATTTCTGCACCTGCCCTGCTACCGTTAGCCGACCCCTTCCTTCCCTCTTTCTCTTTCTTGCACCGGGGTAAAAACCACGCAAACGTAGCTTCCTTCAACATCACCGACTACAGCTTCATCACACCTACGACCTTTTCAAAACTCCCCTCCACATCAATTCAAAATGCTGGGCTCTACCTTTCAGCGCCGGGCCTTCTCCGCCTCGGCTCGTCAGGTTAGTCAGGTTTCTTTTTCTTTGTCTCTTACATCAACTTGATTGATCTGAATGTTGACGACATCTTCCCCAACAGCTCTCCAAGGTTGCCGTCCTCGGTGCCGGCGGTGGCATTGGCCAGCCTCTTTCCCTTCTCATGAAGCTCAACCCCCGTGTCACTGAACTCGCTCTGTACGACATCCGCGGTGGACCCGGTATGTTCTTCTCCTCTGACCTTCGAGAGTTCATAGCCCTATACCGAGCTCCCTGAGGTGCACTGCACCCAACGAATAGCCGAGCTAACAGTGCTGGCCCAGGTGTCGCCGCTGATCTCTCCCACATCAACACTAAGTCGACCGTCACCGGCTTCGACCCTACCCCTGCCGGTCTCGCCGCTGCCGTCAAGGGCGCCGAGGTTGTCCTGATCCCCGCCGGTGTCCCCCGCAAGCCCGGCATGACGCGCGACGACCTGTTCAACACCAACGCCTCTATCGTCCGCGACCTCGCCAAGGCCGTTGCCGAGTCGGCCCCCGAGGCCAAGCTCCTCGTCATCTCCAACCCTGTCAACTCGACGGTCCCCATCTGCGCCGAGGTCTTCAAGGCCCGCGGTGTGTACAACCCCAAGACGCTCTTCGGTGTCACCACACTCGACGTCGTCCGCGCCAGCCGCTTCGTCTCACAGCTCAAGGGCACAGACCCTGCTGACGAGAACATCACTGTCGTCGGTGGCCACTCTGGCGTCACCATTGTTCCTCTCTTCTCTCAGAGCAACCACCCCGACCTCTCCTCCAACGCCGAGCTCGTCAAGCGCGTTCAGTTTGGTGGCGATGAGGTCGTCAAGGCCAAGGACGGTGCCGGCTCTGCCACGCTCTCTATGGCCATGGCAGGTGCCCGCATGGCCGAGTCTATCCTCCGCGCTGCCGCCGGTGAGAAGGTCATCGAGCCCGCCTTTGTCGACTCGCCCCTCTACAAGGACCAGGGCATCGATTTCTTTAGCTCCAAGGTCGAGCTCGGCCCCGAGGGAGTCTCCAAGGTCCTGCCCCTCGGCGCCCTTGACTCCAACGAGGAGGCCCTCCTCGAGGCTTGCCTCAGCGACCTTAAGAAGAACATTGCTAAGGGTGTCTCCTTCGCCACCGAGAACCCCGGTAACTAGGAGTCTTCCGCCGCCATTTTGATGCGAATGTATTAGATCTGTGGTATGCGCCTTTTTTCCTGTATTAAAGCTAGTCTGGATACTGTGATGTGTTTTCATCTCTCATCCAGATTCCTGCCATAGACATAAAATTCAAGTCTCTGTATCATAGCCCATGTTGTAACAGCCTCTATTTTGTTGCAATATAAAATTCACAGTGCACGCACGCATCAACCACATGTTCTGAATCACAGCATACGTTTTAAATCTGTTCCAATGAAAGGTACAGCTACTCTCCAGTATCCCAATCATGTAATAGTTTCATCCTCTAATGCGTCTAACATGGAACTCATGCGTGCATCTACTACTTTTACATCCCGTGCCTTGTCATCTTGTCGTACATCTCATCTCCAGAGATTTGAAAGCGGTCACAGACGACTTTAACGCCTTCCGGCCCGCCACTCCTCAATCTTCCTCCTGCGCTCCTCAACCTTGCGCTCGAATTCCTCATTCTTGAGGCGCTGCTTTTCCTCCTCCTCCTGCACCTTCTTCGCATCTGCAACAGCCTTACGGACAGCCTCACGCTCCAGCTGGTCGGGACGACGCTCGGCAATGTCGCGCGGGCGGTAGTCACTAAAGAAGTGCTTGAGACCAAACTCAATGACGTAGCACAGGCCATAGTCGAGGACCATGGACGTCGTCATCTTCATCTTGAACTCTTCGGTGAAAGGCACGAGCTTCATGCCCTCGTTGATCTCGGGGATGAGCTCTAGGGCGCAGATGAAGGCCAGGGCGGAGACGCCGACGATTCCGTAGTACATGCCTTTGTTTTCCGAGAGTGACTCGCGGAAGGGGCGGCCCTGATAGTTGATGGCAAAAGTGGAGATCTGCTGGATCAGCTGAAGGAGGTAGACGGCTGAGTTTAGAAGGGACGGAGTGAACTCGGCCTCGAGGTCGATGTCGTCAGAGCGGCTATGAGTGGGAAAGTAAGGGTCAGTCTCGACTTCTCTTCTCCTTCTACTCCTCCTCTTCCTCCTCCTTCTTGCATTTTTTAAATGGCAACACTCGGGTTTTGGGAGAACTCACGGATCGATCTTGTCACAGAGACGAGCCACATAGATAAGCGTAGCAATGTGCACAGCAAACTGTCCGAGAATAGACCCGATAATGTAGACGTTGAAGATGTTGGGCTGAGGCCTCTCCTTGCTGAGCCCCTCGACGACGCGAGCGCGAGAGATGCTGAGGAAGCAGACAGACATGAGCATACCACTGATCGTGTACTGCGTGTCACCAAACTTGATGCCCTCGAGGTAGAGAACAGACAGGGAGTAAGCGCTGATGAGGCAGTTGAGCGCCAGGATCTTGTACATCTGAATCGTGGCGACCAGCGTGCATCGGCCCTGGCGGATGATGTTGGGGATGGCGATAACGTTGCGAAGCTTGGACGTGAAGGGGGCGGCGACCGAGGCGTCTCCTAGCTTGAGGGTCGGGGGTTCGTCATCGCCCAATTCATTCTCCAGCATGCTGGTCGTGAACTTGTCAGCCAACCCGGCAGCCTGCTGCGAGGCATTCTGCTGGCGAAGGGACCGACTGCTGTTGATAAGCTCCTGGGCGGCAGGGGAGGTAACAGTCTCGGCGGGGTGGCCCAGGGACTTGATGTACTCCTCGACGGGCATCTTCTTGTTGTTGGCCTCGCGCTCGCACGCCTTGGCGAAGCTGGGGTTCGTGGGTCCGGGAGGGTACAGGTGAGCGATCAGGACGGGAGGAGGAGGTGCGGGCTGGTTGAAGCGCTTCATCATGTCAACCTGCTTCTGGTACATGTCCTTAATCCTCGTGTTGCGAGCGTGCTCGGCGATGCGCGTCAGGTCATCAGCCGTGCCGTTGAGAAGGGCGATACCGATGTGGGCCTGCTTGAGAGCACCGACATCGTTGGTTCCGTCACCAGCCATGAGGGTGTAGTATCCCATGTCCTTGAGGCCGAGAAGGATCTCCTCTTTTTGCTTGGGCGACACACGGGCGTACACCCACGTGTTGCGCAGCAGCGAATTCCATCCCTGCTGATCCTTGAACTTGGCGAGGGCGTAGCCGGTGACACAAATATCCTTGGTCTTGATGATCTCGGGGTCAATGGGCTTGGTCGGGTCGACGGGGATGCTAATCTTGTCGTCGACACTCTTCCATACGAGCTTGTCGCTGCTCTTGTCGTCCTCAGGGGCGTCCAGGATGAGGGCCTCACGGTCTACAATCTCGACCTCGCGGGCCACGTGCACGGCAGTCAGGGGGTTATCTCCGGTAATCATGACGACGCGATGGCTGCTCTCGTTGAGCATCTGGACAGCCTCCTTGGCGTCGTCCTTGAGCGGGCAGTGGAGCACGAGGAAGCCGGCAAAGATGAGGTCTGATTCGACCTTGTCTCGCTTGAGGTCATTGATCTTGCTGGCACCGAGTTCGGAGTCGACAGTGAGTTGCTTGTAGGCCAGCGCCAGGACACGAGAGCCCTTGCGGGTGAAGTACTTGTACGTCTCCTCGTAGTCGGCAGGGACCTCGACGAGCATCCTCATGATAGTCTCGGGGGCTCCCTTGACACCGGCAAAGGTTCCCTTAAGCTTCTTTCCAGTCTTGGAGTCGGTGCCGTGAACCATAGCGATGGAGCTCTGGCGCTTCAGGGCCGAGGAGAACTGGAAGCGGCGCTTGATCTGGACGTTTCCGTGGGCGCCACCGGCCTTGCTGGTGCTGAACAGGGTGTCGTTCTTGCCAAGAGTCCATCCGAGAGAGCCGAGGGTAGCCTTTTCCATGGGGTCACCGACGATCTCGCCCTCGTCAAGCTTGACCAGAGCGTGGGCAGTAGCTAGGACTAGCTGGGTCTCCATGCTAGCGTTGTGAACAGCGATGATAGTCGAGTGTGCGCCATCGGCATCCTTCTTGTCATGGATCTCCCTGTGGGCGAGTCCGAGTCCGGCGATACCCTCGACGACGAGATCCTCGCCGGTCAGGGTACCTGTTTTGTCAAAGCAAGCAATGTCAATGCGGCCGGCAAAGGGGATTCGGAAGGGCTCGGTGCAGAAGATGGCCAGCTTCGCGAGGGCAGCCAGACTAGTGTTGACGGCCAAGCTCAGCTCCATAGGCAGCTCGGGGGGAACGACGCTGGTGATGATCAAGACGCAGTCAAGCATGAGCTTAGAACGCTTGCGGTCCTTGCGGACACCCTCGTCCCAGACGTACCATGAGGCGGCGATGGCGAACACCAAAAGGAACAGAATGAAGAACAGGGCCTCGACGTTTCCAGCACCGACACGCTCGGTGGAGTATATCATGGTACGGACCAGGCTGCCCTGGGACGTCTCAAAGCCAGTCTTCATGACAATGGCCATGGCACCATCGTCAGGGGGAGTGGGGACACCAGAAGTGAGCTTGGGCTTCTCCACCTCGGGGTTACCGTGGCTGACCTGGAGAACTTTGGTACCACCCCAGAGGAAGGCGTTCTTGTCCAGACCCTCGGTGTCGATGGGCGCGTCGGCAGGGCGGAGCTGAACGGAGTCCTTGAGCAGAGGCGTACTCTCGCCCGAAAGCATGGCTTCGTTGACAATAGCGGTACCCTCTACCAGGAGCATATCGCAGGCAACACCGCTGTCCTCCTTTGTGCGGCCAACAGAGACGAGGTCGCCAGGGAGAAGAGCGTCGCTCTGAACCTCGACCCACTTGCCGAGGCGGAAGACCCAGATGTCGTAAGGCTTGATACTCATACCCCGGAACTCGTTGAGGGTGCGCTGGCGCTGCCACACCACGGTACTCTCAAAAGTGACCAGCATGAAGAGGGTGAAGAGGGAATAGTACCAGTACTCGTCGAGCAGCCACAGACCAACACAGAAGATCTGGAAGACGAAGAAGGGAGCAACAGCGTGCTCCTTGAACAGCTCAGAAAATGATGGGACGGGGATGTCGAACGTGTTGGATCCATAGTGCTGCTCGAGACGGGACAGCTCAACCTGGTTGTCGATGCCGCGCGACGACTGGAAGTGGCCGATGGTGGGCTTGGGCTCGAGGTCAATATCGTACTTGAGCGTGTCAAAGGTCTTGGTCTCGGGGTCGTAGAGGAAGCGGCGCTTCTGGAAGAGGAAAGAGAGGTTGGATTTGCCGCCAGACTAGTCATAGATGTACGATGTCAGTTTTTTTGGTATTGCTACGAGCCCTAATGAGAGGACACAAACCCTATCTCTGGTCAGGCTGCAGATCTCTGGTGAACCAGCGTTGACAATGGGATGGACTTTGATGAGCTGAGCTTCCTCTATAGACTTGACGCGAGAAGCCGTGAAGCGGGCGGCCAAGTCAACACTCCAGTGAGTGCTGAGCCAGAAGAGAGACTGGATGGTGATGATGGAGGCGCACCAGACAAAGGTCCACTCCTCACCACCGATGTGCTTGTCATAGAGTTCCGGGGTAAGATAGTATCGCAGGAAGACGGGCCAGATGAATGCGAAGGGCCAGATGTAGGTGTGCAGATAAAAGGGGAGAGGTCGAAGAAGCTCGGCATGCTTGATCTGCGCGTTGGCGACGATGGGCGATATCGACGCCATCTTTCTGGTGGGTGGACGAATGTGGGGAGACAGACTGGGTAGAGACTGAGAGGAGGTATAACTCGAGGGCCTAGGCCCAGGGAAAGATGGTGGTTTGCACCCAGGTCGAGTGATGAGAAGAAAGGCGGTTGAAGACGGAATCAAAGGAAACCCGTCAGATGCGTCGCAAATAATGTAGCGACGGTCGCAGAGTTGGAGACGCTCTTGTCGGGGTCTCGGGATGGAACTCAGGACCCTGTTTGTCTGTGGTCGGTGATCACTGATCTGTGATCTGTACTTTTCGCGCAGCGTCCATACGGTTCCCCCAAAAGTGGGATTTAAAAGTGGCGTTTGTGATATTGTGGCGTAAACTTGGGACCTGAATTAATCATGTGGCTACTAATAAACTTCCATCCACTATCTTATCGGAATAGATGCCCGCTTATCTTATCTTGCCACTAGCGCCACGAAAAAAAAAAAAGAAGAAAAAAACTTGGCCAAGCCAGCTTTCTTTGTCTTTTCTCGTACTACTCCGTACAGATTACTTCGTAATATTAATGCTCCGTATCATGGAGCACGACGTAACTTGAAGACGGCGGCCCGTTTGGCAGGCATTAACAAAACGATTCGATTTGGTCCACAAAGTTTCCACTATCTTGGAACTTGTCGTCGTTTAAACGGAAACGCAAGGACTGAGGGGACATTCTGCCACTTGTTACGTCGTACGTTGTTATCAAGACCGGCGAGGAGTTGCTCCACAGGCAGCCCATACGAGATACTCTAGTTGATCCGAGGCCCAATGTATGAGACATCACAAGAGTGGTATTAGCTGCATTGGAAAGAAAGAAATAAGAAAAAAGAAAAACAATGGAGATATTACACGTCTCCCTCATCATACCAATGGCCCAGTAGCCTCCATGGGTAGAAGCACGACTGCTGTATACTTGCTGCACCTAGCCTCGACCACGCATACAATGGCTGCATCTCATGTAGCCATTCTGTACTCTGTACAGCCTCTTCTGTACCACCTTGTACTATTCTACTGCTGCTATTACTGGAAACAGCAGCGATGGCTACGAATATTATGGATGTATTATGTAGTAGTAACTGTATATAGTAGTAACTGTACAGCAGTAGTAATAAGATACTAATAAGAACTATGCCAGGCAGCAGGGAATTGGAATTCACCGCTTTCCCACTCTCTTTTCGTGGGGGCAAAGCTGCCCCACCAAAAAACTCCTATGAAGTGTGACCAGGCGTCATGGACAGCTCACCTAGCTGTCTCAATGCATTTATTAGAAGTGCTGCCAGTAAGGGTAGCTAGTACATGTAGCTGTCCCTTGTTCTTTCCCCCATCCCTCCTGTTCCTTTTTCTTCTCTGCTTCACCTCCTCTTCCTTTCTGTCCCCCTTAATCCTTGTCGTTTCTCTCTTAGCTTTCTGACTTCCTTTCCTTATCATCAACCCTTCTCTCCCCAGCCTACGTCCTACTCTACACACCGCATCATGGCTGCCGTCAAGGTCAACAACGACACCCTGAAGGAGATCTCCCACCACGCCCAGAGCAGCAACCATGTCATCGAGACACCTACCTATGACCGCTCCGGCATTAAGGAGAGCATCGTCCACATCGGAGTGGGCGGCTTCCACAGGGCTCACCTGGCCGTGTACGTCGACGAGCTTATAGGCAAGCATGGCGTCCGCGACTGGGGGATTGGCGGCATCGGTCTGCAGCCGTTTGACGCGGCCATGCGTGACGCCCTCACCCCACAGGACTACCTGTACACGGTACTCGAGCGCTCCGAGGCGGGCAGCAAGGCCCGCATCATCGGCAGCATCAACTCCTTCCTCTTTGCCCCCGACTCCCCTGAGGCCGTCCTGGCTAAGCTTGCCCACCCGGACACCCGCATCGTGTCCATGACCATCACCGAGAGCGGCTACTTCTACAACGAGAACACGCACGAGATGGAGACACACCACCCGGACATCGTGGCCGACCTGGCCAGCGATCTCTCTGCCCCCCGCACCACGTTTGGCTACCTGTTTGCCGCCCTGTCCCGACGTAAGGCCGCCGGTCTTCGTCCCTTTACCGTCCTCTCCTGCGACAACATGCAGAAGAATGGGTCGATTACGCGCCACATGCTCGTGACCTTCGCCCGCCTCCGCGACCCCGAGGTGGCGGCCTGGATCGACAAGGAGGGCGGCTTCCCCAACAGCATGGTGGACCGCATCACACCGCGCACCTCGGACGCCGACAAGGCCAGCCTGGCCGAGTCGTTTGGGATCCAGGACAACTGGCCCGTCGTGACCGAGCCCTTTATGCAGTGGGTCGTCGAGGACCACTTTGCCGATGGACGCCCGCCCTTTGAGAAGGTTGGCGTTCAGGTCGTCAAGGATGTGAGCGACGTTGAGAAGTTCGAGTGCCACAAGCTGCGTCTGCTCAACGCCTCGCACACCTCCATCTCGTATGCCGCCTACCTCGGCGGCTTCACCTACGTCCACGAGGTCTTTGCCAACCCCCTCTTTCACAAGTACATCTACAACATGATGCACAGCGAGGTCAAGCCCTTGCTTCCGGCCATCCCAGGCGTCGACATCGACAAGTACTGCGACACCCTCCTATCTCGTTTCTCCAACCCTGCCATCATGGACCAGGTCGGTCGCCTCACCCTCAACGGTTCTGGCAAGCTTCCCCAGTTCATCATGCCCTCGGTCGCCGAGCAGATCATGGCCGGCACCCACAACTTCCGCCGTCTCATCTTCTGCGTCGCCTCGTGGTTCCGTTACCTCAATGGCACGGACGAGAAGGGCAACGCCTACGAGATTGACGATCCCATGGCTGAGGACCTCAAGGCTCGTGCCCTCGCCGGTGGCTCCAGCCCCTACCCTCTTCTCGACGTCAAGAGTCTTTTCGGTGACGATCTGCGTGGCGACAAGGTCTTTGTCGACGAGATCACCAAGGCTCTGGAAAGCCTCTACAGCGAGGGTGCCATGGCTACTCTTGCCAAGTACGTCGACTAGAGGGGTGGAGAGCAGGACTGATGTGATAGCCAGAGTACACACTCCACCACCTGCCCTTTTAAACAATTAAACGGATAGAGATGATTTTACGTACGTATCTTAGACGGGACACAACTGCGAAAAAAAAACAAGAAAGAGAAAAAAGGTATGGAACGATATGGAACCGATGGTGGGACACGAAGACGAACAGAAAAGGCACCAAACGGAACAAGAAACGAAGCCGAATGATTTCTTCTCTCCATCTCTCCCATTCTGATTTTTCTTTTTGTGGCAAGAGCGCTCCGCGTTATTTCTTACAGAACGAAGGTGGGGGAGCGAGCCAATGCTCCTACTAATTAAATGTAGTATGACGAATGATGAAGAAAATAAAAACATATTTTTTCTCACCTCTTTCCTCTAGTCTCCTGTTGGTATTTTGCCCAACATGTGAATTCGAGCCGTGATTACATCACCATAATCGTTAGCTCCTCTCTCTACATGGACCATGGAAATACCCCATCGCTCCATTGTATTTGCGTGGTTCATCTGTACCCGTCCATGATTTCGCCAAACATGCAATGCAGTGCATACATACAGTGGCGAGCGCCACTCCTCCGGCAGCGCTCGCGCCATGTACTACTATCAAATGCGTGGTGAGGACAAGGCGAGATGACGTCAGCGAATGAATGCATCCTACCCTCCCAGATAGAAACACGATGGACAGGTATCGAAGCTGTGTGCGACGCTGCTCAGGGTCCTGTTTTCTCGAGAGCCAGAGGCGACAGATTCCAGCGCCGTACGTGTGCCCCCCCCTCTTTTCTCGTACATGTCATTGCCAGCACAGAATATGATGAGTGCCAGAATGGAGGTGACCAGACGATCACTCCATGTCTGCCCATCTAAGCTTGACATTAGAGCGTTCGAGTATTCATTGATTAGGCCGGGTAGAAGGTGACTTAGAAATGACTGTAACGACTCGTGCATATTTCGATTGTTGAGCTTGCCGTGCTAACTCGTGATGTCCGTACCACCGACGTTTTCTTGAACTCGGTCCCGGTTCATGATTAGAGCTTCTAGTTCGAACACTCGGGGCGGGGGTGGGACGAATGCGTGCCTGGGACGGCTTTACTCCTCAGACGTCAGGCCCGAATCATCATTGGACCTCCTAGCCTAGTGGCCCGGAGTGGAAATAGACAATAGTGATGTATAATATAGGTGATCCTGGCGAGCTCAGGCTAACCCGTCACGATACTTCTAGTGTTCACCTAACGCGGCGATACACCCGATTTGATAGTGTCAAGGGCGGCTAAGATAGCAATAACCCTAGAATAGGCAGGCATTACTAATAAGGACTGTTTGTTCTCTAGGCTGACAATCAACGAGTTGCGCGAGAAATTGTGAGGAGAGGGATGTGCTAGTTTGGAATCTTGAAGGATCAGGCAAGCGATCGGTTGGTGGGTGGGTCGATTGATGTGTTCGCGGCATCACCAAGAGTGGGGACAGAATCCGCTTCCATGGTCGATCTATGGACCATGACATACGAGTAATCAGTACGGAGTATTCCTCCCGGATGATTTCCCGAAGCTAGCCAAGACCTGAGGGGCAATGAGTGCCGTAGACTTAGTTTCATGGACGTCCGCCGCCTTTGAGGCTTATACAGGGCGTCTTGCAAGGTTCTAGAGACCGGTGACATGCAGGTTCATTTTCTTTTCTTACTTTACCACATTATCCTGTGTCTTGAACGTCTTTTCAATACTGGCATTGAGAACTTGTCCTCTTAGTGCTTGTGAAGAAACTGCTGTGATGATGAACTTGCGAGACATCATTCTTCTTCATCTCTTCTCATCTTCAACTATCTATCCATCCACCCGAGGCTTGAAGCCCCATCAATACGACGCCATCATACGACCCAATTACATTGCAGATAATCTGTAGTTGGACCCGAGTTTTCCTTATCGTTCACCACCCTGGGCCAGTGCTCTTTAACTTTTGTGCTGGCATGCTTGCTCGTACAATACGAGTACGGTACTGATGTTGCCGATCCCCCTGACTCGCCCTCTTTGCCCTAGTGCCGTTATCTGCGGAAACAAAACGACAATAACCCCTAGTTCGTATTCTATAGCAGCAGCTGTACGAGTAAGTGGTATTGCCCTGAATCCCATTTACAAGCAGTACAAAGCTTCTTCTAAGCGTTACTGATACCAAATACCATAACTATTGTAATCTGTAATATAGGTACAGTCTACTCCGCTTGAGTCTGCAGACTGGTGTAATACGACACGGCACGACACATACCCAACCACGGACTTCTGTTCTGGAACCGATCCACTCATCCGCGAAATTACGGACCATCAGACCTGCCCTTTACGTCCCTGACTCTCCCGCTGAGGGAGCACGGTAGTACCAGGGGCCGTTGGAGTCATTGGACCCTCGAGAAATCAGGCGTGATGCACGGTGAGGTTCCCGGCCTTCCCAGGGTAACATCGATGGTGACATCTCTTGATTCCCCACGCGATGGACGGAAAGCCCTGTACACTACGGCCGCGATGGAGGCAGCAGGGGTAAGGCTGGTCCTGTCCATTGGGCTCTTGACCCTCAATGAGTGAATTTCACTAGACTTGACTTGAACCCATGGGAAGTTGGCAAGTGCAAGTCTGCTAATGCTACCAAAGATATTCGCCCTTTGGGGGGGGGGGCTAATGATTTGGACTTTCTTGCCGACTTCCGTCTTCGTGCTTGGAGCATGCATGGGAACGGCCTCGCGCCTCTCTATCTCTGTTGATCATCTAAAGTCGCGTCGTCGCCGTTTTCAACAGTCGAGTTGGTTTTATATGCTTCAGTGCTCGGGAGAGTGAAGGAGTCCAAAAGCCGAGGGCGTTCACACTCGTCGTCTCTCGTTATTTCACTCATCTTTCTCCCCTTCAATCTTCTCCAACTCTTCTTCTTTTCAAGCATCCAATACGAGGCAGTTCAAGATGCGCCCCAACCTCGTCATCTGTACCGCACTCCTGGCCGGAGCTGTGGATCTTGTCGCAGGTGCCGCCACAGCTGCTCAGAAGGGATCAAATACGACTGAGCCGTGTGGCCAAGTGAGCGCCTACTTGGCCACTACCCGTACGTTCAACGGACTATTCGATTGCAATATTCCTCTTCTTCTCCTCTTCTTCTTCAAAGAGAGAGAGAGAGAGAGAAGAGAGAAGAGAGACTGTGTGCTGATCATCTTTCACACTCCTCAGAGGCCAAGACGGTTTCCGCCCACCTCGCTCACGAGTGTCTCAAGTCCGTGCCCCTCGGCAAGCAAGCCGCCCTCGACCTTGTCGACGCCATTGAGCCCTACCTCGAGTGGCAGAGCGATGCCGCCTACTTGAAGAACCCTCCTCAGGACTACTTCTACCCTGGCTTTGACCTGTTTGAGAACCTCTCCAAGGTCCGCGCCAACCTCGAGGCCGACAAGTACGATGGCGAGTATGACTTCATGACGGACCTCTACGAGACCGTCTTCCTCCCCGGTCACGACGGTCACTACCTCTTCTACCCCGACATCCTGTCGCGCGCTTTCAAGTGGAGTCGCCAGCGCTCTCTCGTGTCCATCAGTGAGGATGGAACCTCGCTTCCCGTCATCAAGCTCTACGGTATGTCAATGCCGTGCGTGACCAGAACGTGGAATCGATGCTGATACCAACTACAGAGGACATCATTACCGACCCCGCCACTGCCCCGGAAGTCACCAAGATCAATGGTGTCGACGCCAGCAGGTACGTCGAGGAGACCATCAACAAGGGTACCTACAACCAGGATGTCGACTCGGCCTACAACTCCATGTTCTACTCAAAGGCCGGAGAAGCCTCAGCTGGCATCACCGGCTACTTTGCCGGTTCCGGTCGCATCAGTATGATCTACCAAGGTCCCACGACGACCTTCACCTTCTCCAATGGCACTGACCTCACTCTCGAGAACGAGGCCCAGGTCATCGGAGACATGACCGGCGTTGTCGATGGCACCTCCTTCTACGAGAAATTCTGCACGCCCCAGCAGACTGCCGAGTCCAAAGTCCAATCTTACGGCGACGCCCAGCCTTCGGGGTACCCAAAGCCCGTCATCTCCACGAGCGACAGCATCGTGTCAGGCTACTACCTTGAGGGTGAGGGTCTTGAGGATGTCGCCGTCATCGCTCTGCTTGCCTTTGAGAGCGCTAGCCCTGTCGAGTTCCAGGCCGTGACGCGCGACTTCCTCGCCGAAGCCAAGGCTGCTGGCAAGACGAAGCTCGTTGTCGACTTCCAGTACAACGGCGGCGGCTACATCCTGCTGGGCTACGACTTTTTCCGCCAGCTCTTCCCTCACATCCTCGAGGACGGCTTCTCGCGCTGGAAGGAGAACGGGGCCTTCGACGCCATCTCGGACATTGTCAGCAAGGTGTCCGAGGGCGTCGATCCTTACACGTCCGACGACTCCACGTTGATCGCTCTATACCAGTCGTGGTTCAACTACCGCTACGACCTCAACGAGACATATCAGCCCTTTGAGACGTTTGACGACAAGTTTTCCCCCCACATCTACGAAAACACTCCCTACACGAACCTGATGCGCTGGAACCTGAGCGACCCCTTGACGACCAGGAACGCCACCTACGGCCTCGGCACCGACATCTCTGGCTACGGGGTCTTCCAGAACCTGACCCAACCCTTCGCTGCCGAGGACATTGTGCTCCTGTACGACGGTGTGTGCGCCTCTACCTGCAGCATTGCTTCGGAGATGCTCCGTATCCAGGGCAAGGTCAAGTCTGTTGCCTTTGGCGGCCGCCCCAAGGAGGGTGCCATCCAGGGCGCCGGTGGAGTCAAGGGCTCGCAGGTTCTTCAATTTGGCGACATCCTCGAGTACGCACGGGTGGCCGCCAACCTAACGACCGACGAGGAGCATCTTGCCGAACTGGAGCGCTATACGGAACTTCCCATTCAGCGCGCCACGGCCGCCAACGTCAACGTGCGTGACCAGATTCTGCGCGACAACCTCGACGACGGCGTGCCCGCCCAGTTCGTCACCGAGGAGGCCGACTGTCGCCTGTACTGGACCGCCGACATGATTGCCGACGTGAGCAAGATCTGGGAGGCTGCTGCCAACTCGGCCTTCAACGGCGCCAAGTGTGCCCACGGTGCTATCTCCCGGCCACTGTCTTCTGGTTCCGCTACCGTGTCTGCCTCGTCGGGGTCGGGTGTCTCCTACAGGCCTCCTGTCAGCAGGTTGTCAGACAGCGTGGACAAGACGCCCTTCAAGCCTACCAAGGAGTGGGCTGCTTTCCACCAGCAAAAGGTCGAAGTAGCCTAGACTAGTGGCTAGGCGTTTCCGATATCTCTCTTCTTCTAGTATATAACTTCTCATATATGAACGTCATCATATGTTATGTTTTATGACCTCTGATCCATTGACTTTCCCTCTGGGGGCCGTGCCGGTGGCTCTTTTTCTCGCTACGCTCGCCGCGTCGTTTGCAATTAATCCCTCTTGACTGATGCTGACTGGAAGGAAGTGCTGTTCAATCAAATGCTTGCCGATTCCTAGAAACCAGAAATCGACTTCTGCAGTTCAGCCACCTCGGCGAGAATGCTGTTTCTAGTCTTCTCCTGTAGCTGAAACGCCGCACGTAATTCATCAACCATAAAAGAAGGCAAGTTGGCCTTCCCACCCCGCTTATAGTCGTAGACGACAATGTCCTCAAAGCACCGTGCTGCCGGTCGCTGATGCGCATGCGATATGATGACTGCTTCCATGAAAATATCTGTTGAGGAGCTGGTGGGTGGCTCAACCAATTTATGGAGAACAGTTATTTGGTCGGGGAAGATGAGGGGCTATGTCTTGTCAGCCTGTTCTCTCCCTTTCTATCCTCTCCATCTCAAACAGGAGATAGAAAAAGAGATCGGGGAGGAAGGGTAGGGGGAGAGAAGAGAAAATCACCATCTTATAGTCTGTTCGTATACTCTTGAGTATCAACCCTATCCCCCGCGGGGTCAACAGATCAACCCACGCCTGCTTATGTTCCACCGGAACTGCATCGGCAAATTTCAGGAACCAGTTAATGCGTGACGACTCGGCGAAGCGATTGTATACCACGTTGTTTACGTGACCTGCCAACTCCTATGTTAGCTTCATCCATCACCGTACATCATCATCATGCAAACATACCCTAGAATTGATTAGAATACCGTAGTGTGGTAGCAAGCGCCTAAACGAGACTCACCATGCTGTCCTGTAATGATGGTTAGACCATGGAGATTCGTATTGAACTCAGATGTCGCCGTCGACCCACCATATCTCCCCAGGCAATCTGGTGACAATCCAGCCCGGTCCATCGCGGGCCGGTGAGAAAACCTTCTGTACCGGCAGACATCTCCAGCCATCGACTGTCTAATTGATCAATCACAGCCTGCGGCTTGTCCGATGTAGGGTCATCGGAGAGTGACATTGCTGCATCTCTTCGGAGGTCTGACAGCCATCGGGAACTCAACTTGCCTGCGTCCTGGACAGGGCGAGTTGTGTGTAGTTGGCGTGGTGCCGGGAGCGATGATGCCGCGCGGACCAAGAGTCTGGCGTACGATGGGATCTGCCTATTCATGATGGGTGTTTGGTCTTGTACAAATCCGACCATGTATGTGGTTCGCCAAGATTGAACTTCTCAAGGTGAATATAGTCGGCGGCTATTGTCACTTTATGAGCTGCTACTGCTATTAGTCATTTTTCGTGGTTGCTCTCATTGGTTGTCTCGGGTATTGGGCTCACTTGCGGATGAAGTCGATAGAAAGACACTATGGGGCTTAACGAAAGTTAAAGGAGAGATTTCCAATGAAAATTTGGTAAAGTTGAGTGTAAAAATGTATTCCCCGCTGTTCATGAGTAGACGGAGGAGTGCTTGCGGAACAGGTCCGTCAAACCCCCAGAGTCGAGGGTGACAATCCTAGACGACAGCTTGGTCTGGGCTTTGTGTGGTTTGGACATGCGCGCTTGTCAGGACCCATTAGCGAACTAGACGAAAGTAGGACAGAAGGGATCTGAAGAGTTACATACATAGCCGTCTTCCTTACACGGAATCGAGGGAGAGATCAGCAGTCAATACACATACTCTCGTCGCTGGCCCCTTCACTACCGTACTGCAGCGGCCTCTATCTTACTGCTACTCAGAAGACCTTGTCACTTAGTAATGACACTGCTTCTGCCATATATTATGGTTTCGGAAAACCTCTTGAGCAGCTAATTCTACTCAACTCAAGCTAGCTTCGTGTCCCACTCTTGTATCCGCAGACATACTATCTACCGAGAGATGTAAAACTCTTAGATCTACACCCCTCATTCTTATCTCAAGGACTTTGACTCGCATAAGTTGGCGCATTGTGGCAGAATTTGGAGGGGGATCCACTTTGATCCCTCATGTAACGAAAGAAGCGGCCTACAACGCCAAGGAAGTACACCCATTTATCCCCGCCTGCCACGCGACTGTCTGTTCCCTGTATATCTATCATTTTTCTAATGTGAGAGTTCTCAGATGACGATACAGGGTTATTTGGTCAGTCAGGCATACCTCGGGGAGGCTTGCCACCGTGAGAGTATTACATACTGCATATTGGTCAGGAAAGTCAAAACGTCCAAGGTCAAGCAAGTCCTAGGAATACATGCAGTCAATGATGGTCTAAAGCAGAAATCTGGGTATATTCTAGAAGTTACGTTTCTCTCTTTGGAGTCATTCCCCTATACGCCAACTGTTTCAATCGGTTTTTTTTGTTCATTATTGAGTTTGTTGTTGTGTGATCATGTTTTCATATGACGACGGCCATCATCATAATAGACATAGCCCTCCCAGCGCCACTTATACGGCGGCGGAATGATCCTTGTTGGCGTAGCTGGCTCTTCGGCTCGCAGCGGGGGTGTGGCGAGGGGTGGCGCGAGGGGTGGCACGACGACTCTCACCAAAGAATCGCTGCTGGTTGCTGTAACTGCCGGGGGTGCCTGAAGAAGAATTATTAGTTTTGTTCTGTTTCTGGTCCGCTGATACTGTGCATCATCATGGCATGATGGGGACTCAACGAGAAAGACGGTAAAAAACTCGAGGGAGAAATGAGAAGAACTTACTTGCGCGCCTAGCCTCAGCCAGAGAGCTAACACGGCGGGCCTGTCCATCAGCAGTGTTGGCCTGGGCATCGGCAAGATGCTGGGCAAAGGGAGATCTCTTGCGAAGCTCGGGGCCCTTCCAGTAGATGACGTAGATGGCAGCGACGAGAACGGCTGAGATGCAGAAGAGGATGGTGCAGGCGTATTCGAGGTTCTTGCCACTCGAGGCGCCAATGTTCTGGAAAAAGGGGATGGCAGGGACGGTCAGGACACCGGCGAGGAAGTCTCGGGCCCATCCGTTACCGCCGGTGGCCGAAGCCGAGTAAGGACCGTAGGCGCAGATCATGTAGTCGACGGTGGCCATGTATATCGCGTAGTTGGCAATACCGACAATGGCAGCAAAGATCATGGACCCGATCCAGTGGATGGGGGGGCCCTGAATGGTCCAGGCGAAGCCGATGAGACCGATGGGCAGGCAGGGAGCCGTGTAGAGCAGAAACCACAGGCGCGACTCGTACTGGGCACGCTCGTCTTCCGGCCTCTGCTCCCTCTCCTTGATGTTACGTTGGATGGCGGGGATGAAGATGATCCAGGCGATGACGTAGCCAATGCCGATGGACAGGAAGGAGAGACCGACTTGGACGGTGGTGAAGCCCCACTGTTTGTACACCAGGGCAAAGGACTGGATGAACATGAATATGAGGGCGTCGGAGAATCCAGACAGCAGAGAAAGGACGAGGACAATAGGCTCGGTGAGGAACATCTTGAAGGGGCGGATCCAAGTTACGATGACCTCCTTGAAGGAGAAGCGCTCCCTGAAGGGGACTAGCTCATCGGGACCCCAGAAGTTGCCCTTGCCTTCCTGGCGGCGCTTCTTGGCGATCCTATTCATCATGATGGTGGTACGCGTCTCGGGGACAGTCAGGAGGTGAATGAGCTGGACAGCACCGCCGAGGATGAGCTGGACCCAGATGGACCACCTCCAGTCGAGGTACGACTCGGTGAAACCACCGACGATGGGACCGAGGACGGAACCGCCGACGGACGAGAAGACGACATAGGCGACGGCGTACTGCTGGTCATCGGACTCCCACATGTCGGCAATCATGCCGAGGGTGACGGAGCCACCGGCGGTGGACAGACCTCCCAGGGCACGGAAGGCGAGGACGACTCCAAAGTTGGGAGCCAGAGCAACGGGGATCTGGAAGACGTTGACGAGGAACATGGAGGCCTGCAGGATGGGCTTGCGGCCAAACTCCTCGGACCAGGGGGCCCAGAGCTCGCAGCCAAAGGCGTAGAAGACGAGGAAGATCATAGCTCCGCAGCGGGCGGCCTGCTCGCTGACGCTGAACTCCTCGGCAATGCCAGGGATGGCGTTGGAGTAGAGCGACGTGTTGAAGTTCATCGACACCTGCACCCAGAAGATGACGGTCAGGATGTACCATTTCTTCCACCACGAGAAGCCGAAGCCCAGCTCGTCATAGCAGTCGTCCTCGGTGATCTCGTTCTTGTCGTGGGTTCCCAACTTGTTGAGGTCAGCACCATTGTTTCCATTCTCTGACGAGTCCTTCTCTTCAAGCTGTTCGTCGCCAGGCGGTGCGGCGTTCTCCACCTGATCCTGTCGAAGCTTGCTGTTGGCCAGTGCCAGATCATTGTGACCCATGATCTGGTCTGGCTCATCGGTGAAATGAGTCTTGGGAGGCATCTTGATACCTGTGCGGGCAAATATATATATGTGTGTGTGTGTGTGCGTGTGTGTAGAATGTATGATGTAAAAGGAAGGATAAGTAGAAACAACAATGACAAGGTGCAGCTCGTGTAAGTTTGAGTGTCCCCTCCCGTTTTTCTTTTTTTTCTTCCCCTGCAAATTAGAGAAAGAAACACTCTCTCAAAAGCCGAAGAGATAGGTGGGTGGGTTGTATACGGGAAAATCTAAAAGGCTCTGGGGGTGGGGAGAGGTCTTGTACTTTATCGAAGTATGTGTATGTGTGTGTAAGGTGCCGGTCCCCTCCTCCTCCTCCTCCTCCTTCTCCCCACTCCAACTTTGTTTGGGGAGACTGGAGAAAAAAAAAAGTATCCGACCCACGGGGTCTCTGGAAGCAACCCATCGGGGGTCGGTGGAGTAAGATTTGCTATGGTAACATCCATAGGGTCTACAGGGAAGTGGCCACCGCCTGGAGGAGGAAGAACTGGACTGCATGATCTAGATGGAGTAGTGCGGATGATGACGGAGAGTGTACGCCGGAAAAGAGGGATGTAGGAGGGCGTGAAAGTACGCCTACACCCTTGTACCATAGGTACTCTCTCGATGCTGCTAGTACCGGTACTGCTACTACTCGTACCACTTAAACATTGTCCCTGTACCGGTTATAACATTGCTGCTTTGTACTCTTGTCCATTGGCAGGAAGAGACTAGACACTGTCTCATTCCTGTCTGAAAGAGGGGGCCAGATCAAGATGTAAGCGGGAGTCCAGATTTTGTGCCATGAAATAAGCATCCTGACCTAAGACATATTCGAAGAAGAGAGACCCGCGAGCGGAAATTTGCAGACACCTATATGCGAAGAACAGGTCTCTCCTCCTCTTCTCTCCTCGAGCTTCTTTCCCTCTCCTTTAGTCTATTTCCCTCAAAACGATGTGATCATCTATCTCTCTGACTGTTCTCTTCTTCTTTACTGCTGCCTAGAGGTGGGTCGCGCCATGGGCTGGGGGAACAAAACTCCTTACGGCAATAATCGAGTAGGTCACGCAGACAAGTTTGCTTCTTCCTCCTTCTCGGGGCCTGCGAATCTAAGAGGGGAGGAGTGGAGAGAAAGGGAAGGGAGGTGACGGGGGTCGCTTTCAGAAGTCAGACCACCTTGCGTACATGTAGTAATGCTAATCAAAGAGATAGTCAACCACACTCCGCTCGTTGAGGCTCGAATATGGATGCCTGGAAGCAATGCCGGTCGCGGCTCCGTCAATGGTGGGTCCCCTTTTGCCGCACGCCCCTGCCGAGCTTTGCACCGCAGTAATCCCGTATCGACGTGAAATAATACTCGTAGACTACAGTCACGATTCCACAACTGTCAAGTTGCCTATTTCGTTGCACCGAATTCATCAGTTTGATCTTTTCTAGCTATCCGGAAGGTTGTCGTCCAACTCCTAAATAATGTCTCGTAGGGCCAAGTCATCTCCTTATGATCCTCTGTTTGCAACTAACACTGTTTTCTTCAATGTCTGATCTCCTTAAATGGATGGTCCCCCAGTGTTCGGACAGAGCGGGAAGAGAAGGAGGGGGCAAGTATCAGTGTACCTGTCTGAATGTACCTGCTGGACAAAAGTTGGTCTCTGTGGAGATGCGTAGTGCGAGTAGGTGACGCTGGTTTCTAGCAAAGTAATACCACCTCGTGGCCGTCCTTACAACATGGCTGCTGCCCTCGCATGTCATTGAATGGTTAAAGCGGGTCGGAGCCTCTCTTCTTCTCGAGAACGCCAACGACGTCATACTTGTTCGATCATGGCCGATTGTTGTCCGTAATGCCCCCCCAACGTAGTATGATGCTTGCTTCTAGTTGCGGTTGTTGTGGTCAGAATAGACAAGGAAATGTTTGTCTTACGATGTGATTATTGCAACTCCTCCTCTCAATTGGTTTCTTTGCCTTTCTTATCTTTTCTTCCCTTCCTCGACTCTTCGTGGTGCACTATCCCTGGCAACTTGTTCTTGGCATTGAACTCGGGATCTTACCATCGTACTATTACCGGCAACCACCACACAATTTCTCTTGGCACACACACACGCTCGGATCATGGAGCCCGAGCACACCATCCCCGGGCCACACGACGTCAGTCGACTCATCAGGATCATGAAGGGAGTAGAATCCGGGGATTCTGGGGCAGCTGACGTGATACGCAAACAACTTCTGACTATTCTCTGTGCGTATCTCTCAACCTCCTCCTTCGTCTGGCTTCGTCTGGCTTTGTCTGACTATGTACTGAGAAACAGAGAGAAAGAGAAGGCACATTTTCAATAGGCTTTGTCGGGGAATGACGTCTCCACATACTGTACGGAGTATGTAGTTTCTCGTTGCAGGCAACAGTTTAGGAAAATTCCGGATTGACTGCTATGGTAAGTATTACTGACTTGGTTATTGTCGTGTGCTACTAGTATTATCATGTAGGCTTGCTCGTACAGAGAAATTTAGCAAATATCTTTTTTGTTTTGTTTTTGTTTTCCCAGATCTCTCCTAGTCATGGGAATATGAATTAGGCCGGTGCTATGCTACTCATACAAGGAAAGCCATTCATGATGACCAACCGGGACGCAATACCCAGCACCTACGTGACAGCTTCTCAGTTCACAGGCCCGATGCATGCACAGCAGACAAGGGTCAACTACGGTTTGCCTGTAGTGAAGGGGTGTGTACATACATGTATGCAGAGTGAGGGGGGAAAAAAGACTCGACTTTCCACGATGGCTTGCAGCCTAGAGACTTAAAAGACGCCTTCCAAAAATCTCATGTCCGAGGTATGCCCTACTCTCACACCCGAGTCCTAATGTGGCGGTGGCCCTCACGACAGGGGCGCCACAGCTACGTCGCAGCCATAGGAGGGATTCGGGCAGTCGAGTTAAGCGCATTGGAATGCATATGGTAAGAAATGGATATATCAGCATTGCCTACAATTGGTGGTGCGATTTGTCCCTTTTGCTTCGACTTCTTGTTTTGTTTCCTTGTTCTTGTTTGCTAAGGTTGTCCCCAGTGATGCAGATCGGCTTGGTAGTAGAAAGCCATGTTCGAGCCTGGAATGCGCGTGTTGCCTAGCTTGTCACATGTAATACTAATACTGTGCAAGCAGACCATGATTTAATGTTTCCTGCTCCAAGGAACGCATCGACGAGCATCTCCTTAACCACCACCAAGGGCAGTACCGGTTACTGACACCGTCCGACCTGCACTCAACCAACACTAGACTGACGATATCCTGTCATGCCACGTAATTCGAACTTCAACCAGTCATGGCGACACGCCTCTAGAGATCGGCCGCCGCCTGCTTGGCACTTGGCATTCAGGGGTTGCCCACGGGTACCCAGGGGATTCATTGAGCCATTGGACGCCCTGTCATGCTGTGTGTGGGAGGGAGGACAGAGGGTATGTAAACAAGAATGTAATGTTGACTGGCAGGACCTGCCAAGATTCAGAGTCAGTATCACTCCGTATCAGATGATGACGCTCCGGGGAGCAGAAGATAGAGTAGCGATAATTGCCATTATCAATCATTGATCTGATATTGGACTTGATGGATATGCCGAGGCAGTGGGAGAATAAAAAGATAAGAGAAGACCAGATTCAGGGAAAGTGGAGGAGGCGGGGACATGGACAATGAAATCAGACAAAATAACGGTTTTACCTTTTTTCCACGGTTTATCCGATCAGACGGTCCAGTAATATCTATCCAATCGTCTCCGTCAGATACAGGAACACTGCTGGGCAGCCCAAGGTCCCTTTAGGTATCCTTTAGTGCACCGTGAAGTGCCTCAATCGCTGTAACACCACTGGACTGCACCACGAAAGGTCCTACCCAGGTAGGCACTCCATAGCACCTTCCGTATGGACAGTTAATCCAGCGCCTAAAGACACTGAATAGTCCGCACTAAACGCTGCTAAACACCGCTAAACATCCACTGGACTTCTCCCGGCAGGAGCAAAAGGCCGATGCCGCCAATTTTACAGTCGATTGCTCGATTGGATGCATCCGCGCGCCGCGGGTCCGTGGGAAATGCGAAAGAGAGAATCTCCGTCCTAGTCTTGAATCTCCATCCGACCATGCCGTAAAATCGCCAGCCACTCGTCAACGTCAACACCGATCTATAGCTACTGAGTCCCCCATCTATGCATCCACTACATGCCTGCTATCATCACCATCACCTTCCATTGCAGTATTGGTAATAATTGTCCTTGACGACCTCTGAATCCCTCCCCCCCCCCGCTCGCGAGCACCATCTCACCGCGGCCAAGTCCCCGCCGACGCCGCCGACACCGCCGTCCCACAATTCGCCTCTTATATTTTTTTTCTCTCCGACCGGCTTGCACGACGATAGCAACAACTCGACAGCAGCTGCACGAGCGTAGAGTTAGTTGGTAGGAACAGACGGGACGGGAATAAACGACGCACATCCCATACACTTGGCACCCGGCCATGTCGGAAGACGACCTTGACAATCTCGGTACGGGTCCAGCGGTCGATCCAGCACGCGCCGAGCGCGACAGGCGAGCTCCCAGATTCAGCTGGACCCCGGCCTACGAGGCCACCTTCTTCCGCAGCCTGTGCGATAGCGTAGGCCTGGGTCTTCGTGAGAATAGCAGCTTCAAGGCTGAGGCCTGGGAACGCGCCGCCGTATCCCTCCAGGCCACCCACGGTGCCTTTCCCACCAAGAGCCACCTCATCAACAAGAGCGACAATGCGCGCAAACGCTTTCGTCTGTGGAGGGGGCTGCGTGAGGACCCCGAGTTCCTGTACAACCCCGCTACAAGGACCGTGACGGCCACCGAGGAGGCCTGGAAACAACACATTGAGGTACGTCCGACCCTTTGCAGACTTTCCTCCCTCCTGTTTGCTTCTCATCTCCCCGTGGCTGAGCGCTGATTTTCAAACAAAACAAAAAAAGCGCGAACCTCTCTCACGCGCACTACGCGGACGTCCATTCGAACATGAAGACTACATGGAGATCCTCTATCCCGATGTCATTGGATCAGGCGGCGCACCAAAACGCATCGTCAAGCCCAGACGGAAGACGGACGGCTCTATCGTTGACGATTCGGACATGCCGGGAGCATACATCATGCCCATCCCGACAAATCTGCAGATGGGCATGTCCAGCCCCAACCCCAGCCAAAACCCACGACCGACCCTCGGGAGCACACCCACAGGACCATCTACAGGTTCCGTACCGGTCCACCAGCAGCACCAGCACCAGCAGCCGGTCCCACCAGTGCCTTCAACTCTGGCCCCTCCGCCACCCTCCATGGCAACCACCAGCTCCAGCGCCCTGACACCACCCGACGAGACGGTGTCACACCAACGGCGGAAGCGGCGGCAAGGCGCGAGCGATCCGTCTGGTGTAGACCTCGATCTGTCACCACCACTGACAGGCGCGGCAGTCCCATCGACAACACCCTCCACGACCGGACTGTCCCCCAACAACAAGCGACGGCGTACCTCGTCGCGTCCTGGCGTCGGCTGGCCAACCTCGACACCTCTGCTCGCATCATCCACGGAGACTCCAAACCCGGCAGCGGCAGCGGGCCAGTCGCGCGACAACTCAGCCCCCTTGGTTCAGGCGCCTCTCCTGGAGGAGATACTCGAGGCGATACGTAGTCATGCTGTACCCCGGTGGCGCGAGCAGGCCCTCGACATATTCTTCCGCGACTTTTCGGCAGAGGAGCTCGATCTCCAGGTTAAGATCTCAGAGAATGTCCTCAGCAACGAGAACAAGGCCATGGTATTTTGCAAGATGCCAGACCCCGTGCGGCAGCATTGGGTTGGCAAATTCCGAGAGATGCATCAACACAATAAGACGTCGTGAAATCTCGTGAAGCAAACCCTAAGCTTGTTAAAGCCCGAAGGACGATGTACATGTAGGGGAATGAGAGGTAGAGCAGGGATGAGATACCCAAAAGGCCAGTTGGCGTTGGAAGGATGGTTTTTTCTTCTTTTCATCTTCTTGCATTATTCGAAGATTTCTTTTTCACAGAGCGACTTGCGAAGAAACAAACATGACTTATCAGCAATAATACAATCCATTCCAACCAGGAATGTTGTTAATCTTTCCATTATGATATACGCGTAGTAGTGACTGTTCTGTCGCTTTCACCGATGGCCATCAATATGGGTCCGTAAGAGTACAGTTTATGGCTCGCAGGGTTTGTGCTCGCAATCACATGGATCCATGTCGAATCGACGATGCGTACCCACAGTTATTTTTCAACTACACTTGCACACGTGCATGGATGATATCTTGGTACTGAATAGATGACGACGAGGGGCTGTCTAGTTGATTCTGCTGGAGAGCCTTAGCAAGGATGCTGAGGGAAGAAGGGAAGTTGATAACAACACAGGAACAGCAGGGTTAAGCAGGTTGCAACACGATGAAGTGATAGAAGATGAATATAGAATGATGGAGAGTCCCCCCAGGAATGATGCAATCTAAGCATTATAGCCAACTTGGATTAGTTGGTGTTCACAGCTGAGAAGCTTTAGTCTAAGATCTAGTACGAGTACAGCTAACAGTCGCTATTACTGCTTTACCGAGGAGCTACAGGTCGACTGTCTCAATACGTCATCACATGGGCTCTCGGGCGCCAAGAGTACAAGTATGAACCTGTTTGCGTCACAGTCTGCCCACCGTCCACCCTCTGCCAGCCTTAACAGAAAGCTGCCCATCTTGTCCTGTCATCTGACTAAATCCCATCGCTTCTTCTCTTAGTTTCTCCTTTTCTTCCTTCATCCTTATCTACATAATTTCCACATTTCCATAATTTCATCGTCCGTTTACATCATCAACCAATACTTCACACCCGACCATCACGAACAAGCAAGCCATCACCAGTAAGTGCATACTCCCCGGAGCGTTGAGTTGACCAACATCAAAGTCAACCTCAAAACTAATCACGTCGCAGTGTCATACGCCGACGTTGCTGCCAGTGGACCTCGTCAGCCTCCTGCCGAGGTACGTGACTCTTTCATCTTCTCTTCTCCCTTATACCACTGACAACATGACAGGCTGCCGCCCCCCAGCCTCCGGAGATCGTCTCCAACGACTCAACATCCACAGCTTCCCTCATCGACGTGGACGCCCCCAGCGTCCGCACCGTGAACCCCGACTTCTTCGACCAGGAAGTGCAGACGGACACACAATCGGCCCGTCTGGAGCGCGAGGCCGCCGTCGAATTCGAAGCCAAGAAGGCTGAGGCTAAGAAGAAGGCCCGCAAAGCTGACAGCTGGCTCACGACGCAATTCTCCAAGCTATCCGACTCGGGCGCCGGTGCTCTCGCCCTTACCAACCTTGCTGCCGTCGTCGGCCTGAGCTCCTTCCTCGGATACAAGGCCTGGGGTCTGTATGACCGAGGGCGTCTGTCCTGGGACAACATTGGTGTTGGCATCGGCATCATTGCTGGTGTGGGTGCCCTCCAGTCGGTTGTGGGAAGATATCTCTACAAGACCAAGGGAGATAAGAGTTCTTAAAGTCGTCATAGGCGCTTTTATGCTTTGCCTGTTTGTTTTAATCTATGCCGGGTATGGTTAGGGATTGGCAGGGACTATAGCCAAGAACTCTCATCGATGCGAGACACCACCATGTACCTTATTCCTCCTCAATACTCACTTGGACCCAATCTTCTTTGCTCTGCGTCTCTCACCGTCGTGATGGTTGCCGTCGTAAACAGATGGAGAGTGAAATTTCTAGTGGTTATGCTTTTTGGTATACCCCCGCTCCCAACCAATAGTACATTGTCTAATCAAGTGTACAGGGCTAAGGGAATAATAGCCTTCTCCTCGCCGTTTGATGTTATACAACAAGAGTCCATCTCTTTGAATTAGAACGGTACATGCTTTCCTCGACGCACCGTTCTCTCAACGCCTTCTTCTTTTCTCCCTCCCCCCCTTCACTGGTTGATCCTGTTCTTATCCTCGTTGGCGGCAGTAGCGTCCACCCACATCTTGGGCTTGCCCTCCTTAATGGGCGTGGCACTGTGCTTCTTGCCGTCGGCAGATCCACCCACGGGGGTTGCGTCAAGACGGACCTCGGGGGTCTCGGGCTTAGCGGCAGGGGCCTGGAAGGCAGCCTCGGGCTTAGCCTCGGTGGTGGTGGCGGGAGCAGTAGAAGCATCGGAAGCCAGGGCAATGGGCGCGTCAGAGGCGGGGGCGGGGGCGGGTGCGTCACTCGACCCATCGTCATCGGTCAGCTCTCCGCCGTAGATATCAGGATACTTCCTAAAACAGTCTTGCATGCCCCTGTGAGTCGATTGTCAGCATTTATCGAATCGTCTTTTCCTGCCCAAGTAACGACCTGCAATACTCACTGGAACTTTTCGATGCAGTCCATTCCCTTGGGGTCAGCCTCGGAGTAGACAAAGCAGCTGAAAGCCGTCTTGAAATCCTCCCCGCAAGGGCCGTGGGCCATGCCACCAAGGCACGGGCAGTCCCAATTGATCTCTCCCGTCTCGGGGTTGAAAGCGCCCTGCTGGTCCGCCTCTCCCTCGAGAGCCTGGACACCAGCGGCAGCGGCAACATCACCAGAGCCCTCAATACCGGGGGTTTCCGTCTTTGGCGCCTCAGCAGGAGGCAGCTGCTTCTGCTTCGTCTCGGCAGCAGGCTTGGGCGCGGCCTTTTCGCTCGTCTCCTTCACCAGCTTTCGCTTCTCCTCGAGGAGAGAGTCAACGGTCGGGAGGTCAGAGTCTGTAAAGGATGGAGGCGGTGCGATAGTTTGAGCTAAACAAACAGGTCCAACGTTAGCAGGAAATAAGAAAGGATAGAGGGAAGGGTGAATAGGAGCAAGGGTGTCGCACAGGCGGCATCGTCGGCAAATACGTTGCTTGTGCTGTAGTAGTACAGGATTCCACCGGCCAATCCCCAACGGAGGACAGAGCCCTTCCATGTCCGTGGCTTGTTTGCCGGCGAAGACGAGGTCGAGGCGAAGCGACGGAAGGAGGATGCTGGCTGCTGAGCTCGCAGACTTCGGAGAGCTGTCGACCTCGAGGCCGCGCGGAATGTGGTACGAAACATGATATGTGCCGTAGACCAGAGCAATAGATTCGTCGAGCGCTCTTGGATGTCGTCCGAGGGTTGCGGAGGGAACACACTCAGTGAAGGAGCAATTTGTCAGATACAAGCAGAGAAAGATGCTTAAAGAGCATGGTAATCTTGGTAATCAATCGCCGTGACACCCCCAGTTCTGGGGATATTTTTCTGCCGTCATGTTCCGATGGCCGGTAATATTTAGCCGTAGTTTACCCTTGAAGCTGCCCACCCTGGACTTGAAATCTCCATAATTTAGCAGATGTTAGATTTGTTCGTGACTCGATTAATTTTTGTCTTCACCGTGAATCTAAAGATTTAATATAAGAGTAGATATAACAGTGAATGGATCTGCAATGGGGGCATAAATATCTTCTACAAGGATGCGTGTATTTGGCGGTGACAGGGTGTAGCTAAGGGGAGTACGAAAAAAAAAAAGCAAATATGCATGCCATTCCTTTTCTCGAGGTATTTTACATATGAATCTTTCCTTCCTTCTTCTCCTCAAAGTGCTTCAAATTGGAAAAACTGTATTCACAGGATTCATCTCTTTTCAACTCCTGGCCGTTGGGGGAGAAGAAACAACTGATAAAAACATACCCCACCAAGAAACCGACAGACCGCCCCTCTAATACATTGCAGCATATAGCATAGACAGGACGCCAAAACCAACAGTATGACTGTCGCAGATGAACACGTTATTGAGTGGCACCCCGCCCGGCTGCTGCAGATTCGGGACAATGTCCCCGAGTTTGCCTTGCTCATCCTGAATCAGCCATTGCGAAATGGCACGAGTCTGCGCAGCCTTTGGAAGAATTGTACGTTTCTCACGGCCGGGACAATAGACAAAGGCAAGAACGGAAAACTGACCAGCCCATGACATTTAGCGTCGTTGAGGATCGCAGCCGACGGAGGAGCCAACCGTCTTCATGAGTTGTCGTCGTTTCGGGGCAAGTTTGTAAGTCTCGACCCTACAAAGCACACATATTCTTGGGGGTCGGAAAGAGGCATGCCGGCTAACTGCGACACAGGCCAACCTTCAGGCCATTATTGGCGATCTAGACTCACTGACCCCCTCGGTCCGTGAGTTCTACACCTCGCAGCCCACTCCCGCCCAGGTTGTCCATGACAAGGACCAGCACTCGACGGACTTCGGCAAGGCCATCACTTGGATCCGCAAGAAGCACCCAGAGGGCATCGACATTGTTGCTATGGGCGGCATTGGAGGCCGCCTGGATCAGGGTCTCAGCCAACTTCACCACCTGTACCTGTTCCAGCAGGATGACAACTACGCTAGTGGGCGCATCTTCCTCCTCTCTGGGTCGAGCCTCACTTTTCTCCTCAAGTCGGGATCTCATCGTATCCACATAAGGGGGGAGGACGACGACAGCAGCATCAGCCAAAATGACGTGTTTGGAAAGTACGTTGGCATCATCCCCCTCAAGGAGCCCAGCCGCATTACCACTAGAGGTCTCCAGTGGGATGTCGTCGACTGGGAGACGCAGATGGGCGGCAGGATAAGTACTAGTAACCATATCTTGCCCGAATCTCGCGTCGTAGAGGTCGAGACTACAAAGGATGTTTTATTTACCATCGCCCTGGGTAGAAGCGAGGGCGAGGATGATGCTTAGGGCCGCCAGGATGGACAGGCAGAATTGACAGTTGCAATGAGAATCTCATGAAGAACTTATGATGAGTACAGGCTATTATGGTGGACTTAGGAATTGCGTACAATATACACCTCTTCATTGCTACTACTACTGCCATAACACCCAGCCAGGAACGTATTCCAGTCGACACGGCGGGATGTAAGAAAACTCGTACTTTTCGCTAATGATTCTCCCTCCCCAATATGCTATTTTGAAAATTTGAAAAAAAAAGGAACCGAAAGGAACCGAACGCCACGCTTCCCTAACCACCGACAGGAAAATAACGATGCCCTGAACATAACAACTCATCGCCTCGGATAAAACATCACCGCAGATAGTGAAGAACCAGCCAGCAAAACAGGATGAAGACAATCACGCCGGCAGCAAAGATCCACTTGTCCTCTCTCGCACGCCTCTCCACCATACGAATAGTGTCACTGCTGACCCCCAGCGTGTTGGCTACACTGTACAGTCGCTTCTGCGTCGACTTGAGCATCTCGCGCTGCTGTCCCAGATCGCCCAGTACAGCCTGACCGCGCGCAATGTAATCGTCGAGAGCCTGGTTGGTGCTGGAGAAGAAGTTTTGTTCACGGAGAGCGTGGGCTTCGCGCACGTCGTCCCCGGAGCCCATGTGCTGCTGGTACTGCTGCTGCTGCTGCTGAGGTTGGAAAGCCGACGTCGCCTGCTGCTGCTGTTGCTGGCGAGAGATGTTTGCGTAGGGGTTCTCCGGGGCGGCGTTGTACGGTCGTCGCTGGCCGAGCAGCTCGGACCGGTTTGTCTGGTATTGCACGTCGTCGCGGACCTTTTTCAGGGCGTCCACATCCGATCGGAACGTCGTCAAGTCCTCGCGAAACCGCCGGATGCGCTCGTGCGCCTCGTCCTGCTTCTTGGGGACAATCTCCTGTCGTGCCAGGGCATTGTACTCGTCGATCGTCTTCGTGAAGGTGGCCAGTGACGCGGAGATATTGCCAATCTCGGCTGGCGTGGGCGTCTGCTTGGCTGTCAAGGTTGACAGCTCATTGCGGATGGCTTTGCTCTGCCGCAGGGCAGAGTTGTATGAAACGTTCTATGGGACCAAAAGATACTCGTTAGCTTTGGTAGACAATATATTGTTTCGATTCCGCATCTCAAGAGTTAGCTTACCATGATTGCAGACGTATCGAGGCTGCAAACTGGAGGTCGCTGTCTCTCTCATTTTGACCCTGGTAACGTGTCCTTCACATGCGATATTAGCTCCTCTTTTGGCGGATTGGTTATCGGAAAAACATTATCGCTGTCCCGCGCCATCCCTGGCTCTTATCGTTGCTGATTATCTCTTATCGACCACGACGCTCACTGTTACCTCTCTAGCCTTTCATCTTCAACAGGGTCGTAGGGACATGTGTGCTCCATGGTTTTTATTCTCTCTAGAAGGAAACGATACAGGTTTACTCTAGACAGGGTACGATGAATAGATCTATGCGGAACAATGGCTGTTAGCAAATGTCCACGGACCACAGCATTCAGCCCCACACGAGACCAAGAGTTTTGCATTCTGTATCATGGCCGGAATAGGCAATCGGTTTTGTCTGTGTTATTGCCGGCCCTCTGTAGCACTTACCATAGCTTAATCGCGGAGACTAAAAGCACAAGCATGAAAGTACGCTCAGAACAAAAGAACCACAAGCTCGTGTGCTGTACGCCCCTGAAGGGTGACACATATTGAAACTGCCCAGTAATCACTACTTCGTTGATGTCGTTCGCTTCCCAAATGGGATATAACCATTCACTACTATTGGAAGGTCCCTTTGGTGATAACCGTGCAGGAATCTGACGTACAAGTTCCATCGGCCCGGTTGTGCATCTTTAACTCTATTCGCATTCTTGTAATGCGGTCTTTCTGGGGACTTTGCGGGTGCCGTAGCTTGTAAGAGCAATGTATCTTGACAGCTTAGATCTACTTGGAATATCTACATGTATATGTATGCAGTCGCGCTCGAGGAAAACGGGGAGACTAAACACAAATTGCTGAAACAATGGCCAGGAGAAGCCGGAGGTGCATGTTCACAGCGTAAAGGCTATGGTAATTGAGGAGCACAAATATATTGTCATAATAGCTTCTAACTCTTTTTCAAGGTATCTCGTGTCTTTTCCCGGCTACGTTAGTGAAAAACAACAAACATCCTGTCCTACACTTCTACGCACATCTTCTCCATCAGACCTCTTTGGTGTCCTTCTCCAGGGGCTTGTTAGTGCCAATGAATTCCGTCTTCTTGAGCATGTTCCACTTATCCTCCTCGGAATCGAGATGCCGGAAGCAGAACCAGAATCCGGCGCCACCGAGGAACGCAATGATGGCTACCGTAGTGTAGTTCCAGACCAGGTAAGGGTCACCGGAAAGAGGGGTGAAGGCCTGACCGATAGCGGCAGAGATGGCGCTCATAAAGAGATTGACACTCATGACGAGGGACTTCATGTTCTCGGGGGCCTTGGAGAAGGCATACTCGTACGAGGTGACATTGGTGAAGATCTCGGACAGGCCGACTAGGATGTAGGGCAGGCACTGAGCCCAGACGTTGATAGGAGAAGGCGCGCAGTCCTTGCCGTCGTTGATATGCCAGCCGCAGTCGGGGTTCGTCTTGTAGATGTAGTACTGCATGACGGCGGCGGCCACCATGGAGGCGGCGGAGAAGAAGAAACCGGCGGCCATACGCTTGATGGGAGTGAAGGCAATGCCGGCCTTGCGGAGACCGGGGTAAAGAAGGTAGTCGATGATGGGGATCATGATGACAATGGAGATGGGGTTCAGGTTCTGCAGAATGTCGTTGGGAGTGCCGTGACGAGTCATGGTCGAAGCCTGTATGGTAAGGTTTCCCGTCATCTGGTTGTAGGCCAGAAAAAATATGGGCAGGAAGAGGAAGACGCGACAGGCCATGAGGCCACGGCGGACCTCGTCGACCCAGGCGTCGTCGAACGTCATCCACACAGGGCGTTGAGAGACGGCGATGTTAGAGGGTTTACCAAGCTCCCAGTCGGGCTTCCAGAAGCTGGAGCGCGTCTGAACGTAGCGGAAGAGGCGGAGGAACTTGGACAACAGGGAGCCCGTGGGGGGAGTGAGCTTGTATTTCTTCTTGTTTGACCAGAGGACAAACGGTGCGATAAGGAACAAGGCTGTGGGGATCAGGAAGGCCTGCCAGAAACCATGAAGGTTCTCGACCCAAACCATGCCAATCTGGCCAGACAGCGAGCCAATGTTGATGCACATGTAGAAGTACAGGAAGACGCGCGTGTTGGTCACGGCCGGGTCGACAATGACACGCTCGCCAGTCTTGAGTGTGGTAACGTGCATGTGAGTGTCCTCGCCCTGCTCAGCTAGAAGGGGAGACACGTTGGCCTTGAAGAAACCCGTTCCCACGCAAAGAGTGAGAAGGCCAATGATAAAGGCCGCGAATGAAGAGTCAGGCTTGACGATGACGCTGGGGGAAGCAGCGGCGACGAGAATAACGTGTGCAATAGTGGAGATTCCAATAGCAAAATGAATGGTCCAAAAACGACCCATGCGAGCGTCGGCAATATAAGCGCTATTGTCATGAAAATGTTAGCAGCATAGTCGAAGAAGAAGAAGAAGAAGAAAGAAAGAAAGGACGAAAAAGAAAGAAAGAAAGAAAGAAAGCAAGCAAATATGCTATCTTTGTTTCCGCCCTTCGTTTCCACTCTTCGATTTATCCTGCGTGTGGGATAACAGGCCAACTTACCCAAGTAGGGGAGTCAGGTAGGCGACGAATTGGTTGGTCAGGCTGAGGCCCTGAGCAGCTTTGCTGCCCATGTTGAGGGCACCAGGCTGACCGCTCAGGTCGGCAGGGGAGCCCGTCGTCGAGCCTTCGGGAAGAGGATTATTGACGAAGTTGGTGTAGAGGACGGCAGAACCGTAGTAGGAGAAACGTTCGCAGAGTTCAACAAAGGCAATGGTCCACATGCTCCACTTGATCTTTCCCGATATACGGCGGAGCGTGCGCAGCTCCTCGTCAGTGGGATAATTGGACACGTCGCTATCTGTAGCGGACGTGACCGCGTGCGCAGGAGCCTCCTTGCTCAGGTCGATTGAGCCCTTGGCCTGGTTGACAGGGAGTCCCTTGTTCTCAGGGTCAACCAGCCCAGACTGGGCAATGGCATCGTTGTCGAGGTTTACCGTGGTCGTCATCTTTGGTAGTCTCGTTTTTCTGGATTGTCCCAAGAGGAGGACAGCCGCAGGGGTACAAGGTCAAGGATACGAGAGGAAGAGGTTGGAGGATCGATAGCGGGAGGAAAGGAGAAAACAAGTGCAGGGCATGTGACACGGGTAGGGTCTAGCAGGATATAATATACTCGGGCTGTTCATTGCGGCGCACAATTACACCACGAGAGCCTCTCGAACAAAAAGTAATCTGCTTTCTCATATCATCTCGGCAGCCGTCCCTTGGCTTTCTTTGGCCGTTAGAAGTCCCACCCAAACCACACATACGCTGACGCTTACGGTCTATGGAGTACAAGTAGTAATATGTGCGAGTAATATAGTCGTAGTATAAAAAAAGCACAAGAGCAACATGCAATAAGAAGGAAGGGCAAGACCACCATTGGGAGGGGCAAACGCCAAGAGTTGCAAGCCGGAGGAGGGTGGGTTGAGTCTGCGTTAGGAAGGTGGCTCTGGAGCAAAAGAACCCTTGCCCAATAAACGTCCATAGCCTGTCTTACCTATGGGGTACGGGGCAAAGAAGATTGAAGAGTCAAGGCTCCTAAGAGCGTTATCCTAATCTTGCCTCCCATCCCATGATGGTGTTATCAGACTTTCGTGAGTGCGGCCAGCTGGTTGGGTGACCATGAGAGGCAAAAACCAGAAACGGTAGACAACATGATCGAGGAATGGTGTGCTTCCTCATCAGCTACTACCGCCATGTTGTTGGCTGTGTGCTGTCTTGATTGAGACCCCTTCCTTCCACTGGTTGGATCCAGTTCCAGCCCCGGTCGCCACCTTCGGGACAGCCGTGCGTAACTTGAAGATCAGCATGTCGGTCGGCCGCCAAGGCTGGAGAGAAATCCTGGAGAGTCTTGGCTCACTTTCACTTATCAGGAACTTCTACAGCCAAAACCCCTTCAAGTTCAATGGTGTTGCGGTACAGGTCAGGGGAAGAAACAGAACCGCGATACGGTGGCACCGTTCTCGAAACAACATGTGACGGGGCCCCATTGTATTGAATTTTAGAGGCCAAAGTTATCGGATATGCTTCAATTTCTTGAACCTACCAACAGGGTGGCGTTACAGAAACAGAAGCTTGCGTGCCATTGGATGCGACAAAAGTTCGTCTATGTCTCGACCCGACCACCCTCCTCCCATGCTCTATTGCTCTCGCTCCCTCGTCCACATACTAGTCAAGACATGGCTTACTGCCAAGAATAATACGTTGGTTCATGAGGGCTCCCTCTTTCAAGGCGAGAGATTTCTACTATATTACTAACTCCTACAACTGCGATACACAGCCAAAGAAACTTGAAGCGTTACTCATCTGCTGCAGCCCGTCAGCAGACTATTTGACCGTACAGATGCAGGCTCGGCAAGCGTTGATAAGAATCAACGTAGGAAACGCAGCTGAATGATCTGGCGCAAGAAATTTGCGCTCGGTCGCATTGCTCCTAGCGTGTGCGATTTCGCCATTGCCGGTGATACGCTGCCATTGGATCCAGGGAATAATAAGAGTGTCTCGTGAAGCGGGGCCATCCTCCAGATGAGACGTCAATCACGGTAGATGTTTTCTCGTGAAGAGCGCGAGAGAAACCTTACGAGTATTGCAGAGGCTTCCACTCGAAGGACTCGCACGAATTTGCATTTCCAATACTCCACGTAATAATGCAAACTGTTTTAACTCTGTGCGGACATTGCTGTAGCTTCCCCTAAGACTCGTGGACTTTCGTCAACGTGTAATTCCATGATAATACTATTAATCATACTACCTTACTACCTTGGTGTTCGGCAGCCGAATCTGGGGAAGATGTTGTACTAATATTACTCACACACTAGGGTAAAAAGTACCAGAGCCCCTTTGCCCAAATGGTTTAGCATGGGAGATAACCGTTCTGATATCAACGCCTTATTGTTACCATCCCTTGGGATAGGAAATACCCGTATTTGCATCACGGGAAACGTCGGGTACAGAAGGTTCGACACGGATCCAGTAAGATCACGGCCCGATACGATTGATCACCTAAATCTTTCATATCATATCATGGTGCCACAAGACCTACAACGTAACATCCGGATAATGCCCGCCTCTCTCTCCTCTATCTAAATGGTTGGGAAGGCATGGTGGGACAACTGTCACGGCCAGGTCTCGCCCCCTTTTTGAGCACCGCACGCAGATCGGGCCCTCCTTCACCTCGGGTCAATGAAGTGGGTACACAATGCTGTAGTAGTAATCCTTGATCAGAGCAGACACTTGAGTAGGTTGAATGTTCGCGACCGGGGGGTGGGCCGCCAAGAGAAAGACGGCTCAATGAACCGATTTCGCAATGTCATGTCAACTGTCATATCTCACTCCCTAAGGCATGACCCAGATACTGCTATTATTACTGTGTAGAAAAGGTGATGACGAGACACCCCGCTTCGTGGAAGCCTCTATGGAAGAAACTGTGTGCACCTGGTGGCGCAAAGTTGGGTGTCACACCCTGATTGTCCTTCTGTTACTGCGTCTTGATAACGCGCTATTCTCGTCCTATTCCCTCAGGGAGTTACCGAGACGTAATAACAGAAGGACAATCAGGGTGTGACACCCAACTTTGCGCCACCAGGTGCACATAGATGCAGAATGATACCATGGTTGTTCCTGGTGTCCTCATGGCCTTGGCCTCTCCGCATTCGGGTTTAATGGAAATCAAACCCAAATAACATGCTGCTGCTCACCCACCCCAGTCTATGGAAGTGCACAACATGGGATATCCTGTACTGCCGTACGTTGATTTAGTGATGGCTTCTATCATCCGAAATATGAGCAATCATGGCATTGGAGGACCATTTTGCAGATATCGCGGCTATTTCCGTCGCATACGTCTTGAAGCCCAGTGGGCCTGTCAGCGAGCTCCGGAGCCTCTTATTCGATCAATGGTCATCTGTAATTGATTTGGCGCATATTGAGTTGGCAAATTCAGGTATTCGGAGTCCAAAGATTGATCAAACTCGGACAACCGGCTCTCGCTGGCTCTATGTAATAGGCCAGAACCCTGGGATGCTCCGAATAGTTGCATATGCTTCTGGGTACAGACATGTTATGTCCACCACTGTGTACATGGCATTCGCAACCCTTGAATCATCGGTAATGCGTATGCGCCGACAATGTGCGTTCCGGGGTGGGCTGTTTATATTGTCCAGGCGAGCTTGATAAAGAGGCCATACTAAGTGTGGTGCCAGTCGTGGGCCGTGACTGGCACGCCCCAGGCCACCGGTATGGCCTTCTCCGACAGCCACGTACCGTAGACTCTGGACGGGAGTTTAGCCACCGCATCTTTCCAGGATAGAGGCATCTCGGTTGAGGAAGCTCATCCCTGGTCTTTCCTCTTGGGAAGAAAGCGAACACTGACGCCCGTCATGATGGACAGGAAGTAAGATGGCATCTCCTGGAAATCAGGCATGTGGACCTCCAACTCAAACTCCTCGGTCATTCTGGATATGACCTTCTGGACAATCATCTCGGCCAATTGTCTCCCCGGGCATGTTCTCGCCCCGCCACCCCAGCTTAGACTGAACTGCTCCATATCCCTTGCGCAGTCCAGGCTGTCTAACCATCGTTCGGGGGAAAAGACGTCGGGATCTGGCCCACAGATATCCTCGTTTCTATGTAGGGCAATTGGGTTGCATCCGACGGTGGTCCCCGCAGGCACGAAGACACCATCGATATGGAGCCCTTCACGGGGTACCCTACGTGGTAAGGCCGTGGCAATGACAGGATGAAGACGCTTTGTCTCTTTGATGACAGCCTCCAGGTAATGCATCGTGATAGAGTCAGAACTGCGGAGCTCCTCAGACAGCTTACGGGGAACCTCATCGTGGGTTCCAATCATGGCCATGACGGAGGTCAGAGTAGAGGCCAATGTTTCATGACCTGCACCAAAATTTGTCATGATCATCTTTCGAAGATAGGGCTCACTAAAGGCCGGTTTCTCTTGATGTATGCGCATGAGGTCAGCAGCAAGATCGTCATGATCCTGCTTGCTGCCTCTGTTCATGGCCTTGATTCGTTTAGAGATACGCCTGCCGATAGGCTTAAATTTCGTACCGTCAGCCAGACGCGTCCAAGAAGGAGTTATGTAACCCATTAGACTTACCGGGAAAAAGGGGCGGAAATTGGGCGGAGGTATAAAGGTCAGATCCCATACGTGACTGAATACGCGACCAATGATTTTGTAGCACATTTCCAACTTGGCGACAGTTGGAAATAGGCCCATGACACTCTTGCGCCTCCATGCACGGTAGCTGTGTGTGCTGGTGCCCCAATCTGTGCCTTGCTTCAAAAGCCCTGGTGACCACGAGAGGACGACGGCCCCGAGGCACTCGACGGAAATGATGTGCATCCACTCCTTTAGGTCAACCTTGGCGCCTTGGAGAGAGTGGATTTTAGTGACGGCCGAGTCCAAGACTTTGTCGATTGCCTTGCGGTACCGGGCGACATTTTCAGCCCGATACACAGGTCCAATCAGGCGTCTTTGAAGTCGGTATCGGCTCATGTCCCTCTCCGACAACAGGTCGAGGGTGTCAACGGGATGGACCTTTAGGCGCCAGTCTATGTGCGGACGCTGAAGAGCCGTGGCAACTGCATACATCATACATCAGACGCATCAGTTTCCCACGTCATCATTATTGGAATAGATTTGAAGGCCCAGTGGATGGTACTGACGATAGTAATCCGACTTTTCAAAGCCACTTCCAGGGCCTGGATATATTTGGTGAGAAAGCTGTCGAGGTGCATCGTGATGGGGGACTACAGGACGTACGATAGATGGCCTTGAAGGCAGCCCTGCTGTTGAACCATACTTGATCCGGGGCGACTCGGACAGCCGGTCCGTATTGACTATGCAGCGTACGCCCCAATTCGCCCAGGCGCCCGTTCTTTGCGTGAGAAGCGAGCCAGGTACTAGAGATCGCAGCTAACCTGGGACCCGGAACGTCTGCGAGGGGATGAAAAGTTATGTTGTACGCAAAGGTGACCAGAAGCAATAACAGGACCAGAAGAAGCACTGCGCTGCACATAATAACAGCATCACGACTGATAGACGTTTCGTATTTGACAGCAAGTGCCATGTACTCTTTGAAGAGCCATGTCATGATGGGAAGTAGGGATCACCGTAGAGTTGACGCTCTCAGGTAACGGTTCATGCCGACGACGCACCTTCGGGGCCAGCTGATATAGGGCCAAAATGGATAGTGTACCGTAGTTTCGACGTTTGAGGTACTATCATTGATCTTCAATAGTGCGCGAAGACAGCGGTAACCCGAGTCGATGATGATGTCTAGTTTTTGTATGAGACGAAGTGCAGGGTGGGCTCAAATTTCTTTGGGTTTTTTTTTTCAAGAGCAGAGACATTTTACATTAACCCCGCCATCATTGGGCAACTGGTGTATTCGAACCCCCACCTCACCCTCCAATACCGAGACAGGACAATACGTGTAATCCTTGTAAGTTGTTGTTTTAGAGCATCGAAGTCATGTCATTGAGGATAAAGATGGTCGTCATATACAAATATACAATGGAGTTATGTATGGGCTATAATATATGTATTGGATATATCGTGGGGTCAGGCCAACATTGCCTTTCGCTGTCATTTTCTACATATTCCAAGCTTCAAATTATATATGTGTGCACTCGGCGACTTCCAGATGGGCGGCAAGTAGTGTATTGCTCAAGGGTCACTCTCCAATGGCTTAGTGACCACGGAAGAGAGAGGTGATAAGTCCCAAGACAGGGGACACGAGAGGAAGAATGTCGCCATCCTTGAGACTTGGAACGATGGAGGTCAAGAGGTCAACGAGAGGAGAGGCGACAACATCCAGAAGGCCGACAAGGGTGCTGAGGATGCTAGCCAAGAGGGCGAAGACGGAGTCAAGCAGAGCAGTCAGGGGGGCGGCCTGGCCCGGGGCGGAAGCGATAGACTTGGCGGTGTTGACGAGCTCAACGAGGAGAGCCTTGACAAGGGAAACAACCTGGGTGACTTCATCCTGAGAGGCAGTGATGCCACTCGTAGGGTTGGCGTTCAGGCCGCTGACAAGCTTGGTCAGGTCGGACTTGAGGCCGTCAATGGGGGCAGCCAGCTGGCTGCTGCCGTCCTCCTGGCTGATGGCGTTGCTGTTGACCTGGGAAAGGGTTGAGTCTGGGGTGCAGGAACAGTTAGAAAACGGATCATGCTGTAGTCTGTGCTCCAAGTCTTACTGATAGCGCCAGTATGTCCCTGAATGCTGTTGAGGGCACCCTCGAGGAGGGTGACAAGATCTCCACCGCTGACGAGACCGTTGACCTGCTCAAGGGCCTCATCGATGCTGGTCGGAGCGGCACGGGCGACAAGAGGAGAGGCAGCGGCCGAGACGGCCAGCGTGACCATGGAGAGAATGGTGAACTTCATTGTGGAGATGTGTGTGTATGGATGAGTGTTCTTGGTAATAGCAATGAGAGTATAATGGGTATCTGAGAGAGAGAGACTTGCCGAGAATGTCTGCACCGTTGGTAGCGAGTAACAGAGAAACACCGTGTGCTTTTGGCGAGGAAGAAAGGGGGGGGGGGTTAGGTATTATATATTCTATGGCCACATCGTCATTTCCGGTGGCTCTTACGTATACCTTTCTCGTTTTCGAACTAAACCAGAAAAAAGGAGAGGAATTGTCCCGTTCGTACACTAGCAAGTCGGTAATTACACACCCTCCTTCGTGATATCCCGGTCTCTTCAGGTAGAGGATGTTGGCAGTCACTAGGAAAACACGCCATCCTTGTAGAGAGAAATTGGAGCGGAATACAATGTTAGCGCCAGCCGGGAGATTCCCAGGTCCGTCCAAGAGCTGATTTGCTGTGTCCGATCATTTAACAAATTGGGAGTAGGGCTGATTGTTTGCTGCGCGTCGTGGAAAGGACCTCCAGCGTATCGAAGATCACATGTAGAGATGTATGAGTAGAACCGAGTGCGGCGACGAATCATGGTTTCCACTCCGCTAAGAATACAACCAATGCGGATACTAGCAGTTCAAAAACTCGTGCGTACCAGTATAGTTGCATTGACCCTCCTGGGGCTGAGAATGATAACATTGTCTATCTTGGAAACGATATATTTGCCGAGTACATCTAGACCTTGTGATACGCGGCAGTTCATAGGCCATGGCTCCCCCCATCATTTTCTCTCCTATGTCGTGGCCCGTGGGCCCCTCAACTGGACGTAGAGCAGCAATTGCAGAGTCAACAAGCACCATCACGGAAAGTAGTATGAAGCTGCGGGACTAGAAGGATGAGTATAAACGAAGCTGTCTGCTCTCCTAACGGCCAGTATGAGCAGCCTGGATTCCATGGTTTGATTAACAGTGGATCTAGTCTGTATCCGATCATGATGTGCTTGGTGGTGGTTGGTGCAGGTTACAACAATGACGACATCTGACCTTCATTTTCGACATCTACAGGATTTTGCGATCTGCAGTCATAATAACCACACTAAGCGGACTTGAAGTAGGAGTACATTGAGAACCCGCGCTATCTGCCGCAATAACATGAGAATTCTCACCTGGTATGATCCTCTGTCCATTCCGTCTCCAAGCAGATGGAAGATAGAGATGTGATAAGGCGGAAGCGTATGCAACAGCGTCGCCCAAGGCTTAGCGGTTGGTTCCCTTTTGCCCGAGTTTCACATTTTCGCTGAGTCCGTCTGCCTCCCCCTCGATATTTACGCGTACCGGTTCTATATAACTTTTACCATCCGTGGAGCTTAGTCTTATTCTGGCAGACCGGATGAACGGAGATAATCTTGGAACATCGGAAGTATATGAGGGGAACGCTTACTATACGTATAGTCGCAATATCTAGGTAGTATTATGTACTGTCCGTGCTTCTTTTTTCTTTTCTTTTTTTCAACTGCTAGTCTACTTTATGCTTCGTAGTCACATGTGATCTCCCATTTACGAAGCTAAGTTCCTGGCTAGAGAATAAAGAGAAAAGCGGCTGCCATTGTTATGAAAAGAATGATATCGACTAGGTCTTGACCCCAACCCCAAAGTCCGCACTAGCCGTAATCTCCCCGGCAGAGCGTGAGGTACCCGACAAATCATAAGAAATGGGTTAAGCGATTAATCCGAGAGCTTTTTCATAGTCTTCAGGTCCGTAACGAAACGCAAATTTGAGGACTGCTTCCTTTTCGGACATGACCGAGCCTGGCATCCCTTGATCAGGCCTTTCCATCCCAATTTGTTAAACCCTGAAAGCTGTTGCGGTAGCGGTAGCGAGCAACCCGATTATATTAAAACCTTGAATCGGTACTGTCTGACCGGTCGTCAGCTCCGCCAGACGGGCACCATGTATGTAGTACCGCAACGCTCAACGGTTCGACTAGAACAGCTTCTTGTAGACTGATAGACTTCGGTATCCTGCAGACGAAATCTGCGGGGATATTGTATAAACGGCTGAGAGCATCGTCGGCCTTTGGGGGATCTGCTGCAAATTTCATGTTGGAGCAAAGATTATATCTGCCTCGTTTGCAGACCTTGCACCGCCGGCATTGGGACCCCGGGCTCGATGGCAACGTGGTCTCCAACAGCAACAGCTGTTACCGCTGGACCGATGGAATGAATGTACGACACCAGACTTTGTGTCCCATAACAATGGGCCCAAGGCCTTGAACCTTTTCCAGGACCTCACCGTGCTGCCAGAAATGTACCTGCACAGAAATGCCAATATAGAGTGTGATCAATTGGTGAAGGTATATTTCTTTTTACATCGCTTCCACAGACTCTGGTGTATGCTGTTCACCAAGACATCGATTATCTAGCGTTGGAATCCAGCGATCTTTAAACCGGGCTTGGTTGGGGCCATACATAATGTATGAGCGGTTGGTCTGTACGGAGTAACGCGTAAGTAAAATTTGAGATATTTAAAAGACAAAACACTCGCCTCTAGAGTCATCGGTGAAGCTTGACGAAGAAACTGATCTCGGGATTCCCCTGACTGTGGTGCCCGTTAGGGAATCTCTTTAAGTCTTTTCGTCGCCATATTGAGACCAATCGCTGCCAGCGACAAACACTCTCCCTTCGACGCATCAATGGTAGGCCTTGATATGCCTCTATACGACCTAAATTTTGGCAGATAACAGACCATGATCAGAGTATGGGCTGTCCCTCCCTCGTCTGTCTGGTGTATCAGTCCTCGGGGAAAGCTTTGATGATTACTCCGTACAGTGGAGCAGAGTTCCCCGCGCCGCTCATATCGCCCCGTTTCTGCGGGGTGAAATGGGTCTCGCGGAAAGGAAAAAGTTACAGCTGTGGATCGATGGCAGGTTCTACTGTTAGGTAGCAACTTGAGCGCTCGGACTTTATCTCCGTACAGCACTCCGCTTCCAACTATATGAACCCGAAGAATATACTTCGAACTTCGCAGTTGCTTCATACCTGTCTGATATACATCTTTCCACTCGGCTCATGAAAAGTGCCTATGGTGTTCTTATCACTGAGGTTCGTATGTCGGATTAAGCAGTGGGACAGTTGTCGAGTCCTCCCATGGAAAAACAGTGACGTGTTGCCATGATATCTTCTTAGATTTACCTTGCTCACGTTATTTGTGGGTGCCAAATGCAGATCTGTAGTTTATACATGAGCTGGGTGATTCCCCGCTCAGATCACAGATCACATATGAACACATCCTCACCACACCCTCCTGGTTAATTTATTTGCTCCCAACGATAGTAAAGACCTCGGCCTTTCTTCACTTTTGATTGCCTCATTCTATTTCGTCACAATGTCTGCGAGTATTGAAGACGCAGCAGTGAAACGGGATGGGTTCCCTCGCCCTGTACCGAAAACGCCTCTCAATGTTATCCATCAGTTCCAAATGAGGGGCAAGGTCGTAGTCGTGGCTGGTGCAGGTGATGGAATCGGTCTGGCTGTGGCCGAGGGAATGGCTGAGGCAAATGCCGATGTGGTGCTTCTGTACAACAGGTATGCTACCTGATTAGGCATATCGAGCTTCTTTCACTAACCGCACGGCTTCTTTGACGTGTTCCCGTGTCGTAGAAACGATGCAGCTATCGAGCGGGCTGAGGAGATATCCAACACCCATGGTGTCAAGGCATCGGCCTACAAGGTCAACGGTGGGTTTACACACAGCAGAGCTGTAGAGGTGGACCCATACGCTGACACCAGTGTAATGCCAGTCTCCAAAGCGGAAGAGGTTGGGAAGATGGTGGCCGATATTGTCAAGGACTATGGCAAGATTGACGTATTTGTCGCCAATGCTGGTGAGTTGTAGGTCAATTTCATCACGTGCATGCCACACTGACGCATTCCCAATAGGCATTGCCAACTCCAAGGGAATTCTAGACATGTCTCTCGATGAATACCGGGAGTTGATGTCGGTTAATGGTGAGTTGACAAGACCATTGATGCCTAACAATAGCAATCTTCTTCACCTCCCTGCGTCTCATGTACTTCGGGCTTGATGCGTCAAGAAATGAGAGCAGTGCTGATAGATCTCATCTACATACAACAGTTGACGGCGTCGTCTACTGCGCTAAATATGTTGGGGAGGTCTTCAAGAAGCAAGGCAGCGGGAACTTGATCATTACGTCCAGCATCAGCGCCCATATCGTCAACGTTCCGGTAGACCAGCCTGTATACAATGGGGGCAAGGCTTTTGTGTCTCACTTTGGAAAGTCTCTAGCCCGCGAATGGCGCGACTTTGCTAGAGTCAATATTGTGTCGCCTGGCTTCTTTGATACACGACTTGGTGCAGGCCCCAGTGTGGTCAACGAAGCTTACCGTATGGCCGTTCTGGGTCGTCAGGGAGACACCAAGGAGATAAAGGGCCTTTACCTCTACTTGGCCAGTGATGCTTCTTCCTACACGACGGGTAGCGACATTCTGATTGACGGAGGGTACACACTACCCTAATTCTATCTATGAAGGAATTCGCAGACACTAAAGATGTGCCATGTTCATACTTATACGATATTGCTGAAAGTGATCTGGGCTTAACTACTTGGCAAACCATGTTTTTTGTTTTGTTTCTGTCAACACTCAATTTTGAGTATATCCGCCCGCATAGTCCGAGCACTCTCAGAAAGCTGAGTGGAAGGATCTTACCGGCTCTATCATATCCTAGGAGCATGTCTAGTAGGTTAGTAGCAGCTGTGTAATTTCATCGTTTAAACAATGAGAACCGTTTGGAGGTATTTCTATTTCTATTTACGTTCAGATGTGGGGGGGGGGGGGGGGGCGGATAATGGTTATCACAGGGTAAGAATAAGAATGCATACATAAGTATTGTCGTACTCGTGCGCGTCTAATAAGCACCCGTTTGCCGCCGGGTCAATTACTTAGATAGAGCGTTCGGATTTCATGTGACTTCCTCCTGAGCGCACTTCAAGATATCGCTTCTAAATTTCTCGTCAGCTCTTACGTGAGGGTTTCATTAACTAATATCAGGCACTGGATAGTCTGTATGGAGATAATGCTGTGGTTAGCTTGACATAATAATCATTACCCAGATCAGGGTTGTTGGCCGCATATGCTCCTGCCAGGGTAAGCAAGGATATTTCTCCACCATTTGGTGTGTAGATTCATGACGTGCGATCCTGCCACCTGCACGCCATAGACTCTTTCGGTTTGATGATCTCAGAGAACCGGTTGCTTGGGTGAGAATTTATGAACTGTTCATCATGCTAATTGAACTCGACACAATATGGTCAGCAATAGCACCCGACCTGTTCAGATCACTGCGTCATGTCTCCTCCAGCAGGAAGCTTCACGGAGATTCCCCGCCTCGACCTTTCCTTGTCTAGAGACCCATCAACGGAGTCATTGCTTCTCTCTCAGCTGCGCTATGCCTTGATCGACGTCGGATTTCTCTATGTAAAGAATCACGGCGTACCTGACCGTGTGATATCCGACATGCAGAAGGCTCTACCTAAACTCTTCTCTCTGCCAAGCCAAGCTAAAGAAAAGGTAGCATTGAGAAAGTCACCTCACTTCTTGGGATTCAGCGCCGACGGCTCCGAAATAACGGCAGGGAAACGCGACCGGCGCGAGCAGTTTGAGTTTGCCAATGAGCTGACGGCCACCTGGACTGAAGGGCTCCCTTTGAGTGAAAGACTTCGCGGCCCAAACCAGGTGAGTGCGTGTCTTACGATGCAGTCGGATCGGCCTGACAAGATGCAAAGTGGCCGGAAGAATATCCTCAGCTTCGTGGTATCGTAGAGGATTACATCACGGAGATGACGGCCCTCGGTGAACGTTTCCTTCGCCTCGTGTCAAAGGCACTCTCGTTTCTCCGTGATGACACCTTCCTCGGATTTCTCTCCGACCAGCACCGACTTAAACTTGTTCATTACCCCGCCATGAATGACGGGTCTGAAGGACAAGGTGTTGGACCTCACAAAGATTCCTCAGGATGGTGGACCTTTCTTTTACAGGCCTCCCCACCTCATGTTAAGGGCTTGCAAGTCCTGAACAAGGAGGGGAATTGGATAGATGTGCCAGTGCTCCCGGGGACCTTTGTCGTCAACATCGGACAGGCCTTTGAGGTTGTCACCAATGGAATCTGCAAGGCCACTACTCATCGTGTCGTTGGGGGGCCGTTGGAGCGATTCAGCGTTCCTTTCTTCCAGGGAGTGCGGCGCAATCTCACCAAGGAAGAGGCTTTCGATACCCTGAAACATCACTTCCATAGCCCAATATTCCAGCAATCTCTATCGGAGTCCGTCGAAGCACAGAGTATCGACTCCGCCTTCCTCAGGGGAAAGTACAACACATGGGGCGAGAGTCAGTTGCGGACAAAGATACGCAGTCATCAAGACGTGGGACGACGATTTTACGATAGCGTTTTCGATCAATACGTGAATGATGATTGAGTCGATCTATTCCCAAGGTCTCAACATAACTTCAAGCTAATCAAAATATTTTGCCTTCACACCCTTGAAAATCTCTTGCTCTGAGATTTCACTTCGAGCCTGCTTGTTGCGGTTGACACCGGCACGGACCCGCGCCTTGACCCACTCCCCGGCCGTGATGCCTGATATCACCTTGGATTCTTCGGTGGGTCCGTATCCGAGTCTCTCAAGCACGGGGCTCTCCACAGGCCTCAACACCAGATCGTCCTCAGGGCGAACAAAGTATAAGACGCCAAGCCTGTTGGTGTTGACCTGGTCTGGAGGAGGCACAACAACTCGGTGGATGCTACTCTTGAGGAAGCCGTTGGTTAGAAACTGCAGCGCATCGGCTACATTTACTGTAATGCTCCCATCGTATGGCTTCACCCACTTCCAGCCACCATCCGGGCCGCGGACCTGGAGTGCCGCTACGGGTTGGCGGAAGAGCAATGTCATACTTCCAAAGTCGGTATGTCCCTTTACCCACACATTGTCCAACTTTGCGTTGGTTTCGGCGTCGCGCGCATGATATTTCATGTATCGAAGGTGACAGTCTGATACCGCTTCGTCGTAACGATGACGAACTACAAAGTAATCCTCAGGCAGTTCCAAAACAATTGCGAAAAGAACCAGGAGTTTCTTCACAACTTCATTGTGGATGTGACGGCCAAAATGTTCGATTTCGGATTTGTGGGCGTTGATTATTTCGGGGTGGGAACGTTCGAGAGCTGGGATAAACTTGGGGATGTTGTATATCTCAGTGTTGTCAAAGATGCCGGGCGAAACCTCCTATTGCCATATACTTTTAGCAATGTTCCCTCTCCTCTATTCGGCATACTCACTCGAAGCCCAAGAGGTTTGTAACCATTGTATCCGCCTTCTTCCAAGTTGGCACGATATCTCAATTTCTCCTCAAAAGGAAGCTCGAAGACCGACTTTCCAATGGAGAACTGACGGTCGACTTGTTCCTGAGTCAGACCAAAGTTTACTATATAGAAAAACCCAATGGTCTGCAATGCCTCGAAGAGTTGCTTGGCGAGTGCATCCTTCCCACCAGGCTGGTCGAATTTAGACAAGTCGAGAGTGACCAGATCGGCCCATTCCACTGCCATAATGAGTACTCATAACGTTGTGGGTATTCTTGTATTTAGGCAGATCTCACAATCATGGCTCGTTTCAGGCACTTGTTTGTAAGTAGGCAGAGACTTTACAGCCGTATCTGTAACGGGCACTGGGTCGATGAGAGCAGGCATCGTGTAGAAGGGTAGTGGGTTAGATCAAGTATGAGGATACGGAGTGGTCAAGGGAGAAAAAAAAATCTAGAGATATCAAGTGCTCTTTCCCACTCATATAAAGGTTCATAGAACACCATCTACCGGAGAGTATTTATTCCCGCAAAAAGCCATACCCCATGGCCGACGACGGGAGGCCGGGCCTCCTCGTGGGGGCGGGACTATTTGATCTCGCCATCTGACCCCGCAATAACGTTCAATCTATATCTGTAAAATCTCCTGGATCTTGGTGTCCTTGATATGGCTTAAGAGTTATGAACACATGCGTTTTATTGCCATTGGTACGGTGCTTCCCGAGGACATGTTGAGTACACCAAGTATTCCGTGGGCCGTTGTTACGAAGGGGAAAATCGTAGTGTTGATCCCGCGGTCGACTTTATCTACGGTGTAACAGTGGGTGATATTGCCAAGCTCGAGGGTGTGTCTGCGTCATCCGGATCCATAATGTCACAATGAGGAAATTCTGCGACTGCTTGAATACATTGGGAATTGTTGAAAAACACCCTTAGCAAGTGGCCTCGCCAGTTTACTAAAGAGAAGTCAGATATCCGTTTCAAGACACAACACTAGTCTAGTTGCCCTACTACTTTTGAACTTCTTTGGCGGGACGTCCTGCTGACCCAGCTCATTATGGCCGATGTGCAAAAGACAGCTGAAGGGATAGTTGTGCCAGTCCACGACCAGGCGACTGATAACTCGTCCGATAGCGCTGAAAACGGCCAAAGTTCTCGTACCAGATTTGTCAAGCGTGGCGAAGTGGTGAATGATTTTACATCTGGGCAGGGAGCTGCTGGATTCGATGCGGAACGCATGCGCGACCGAGCCCTCCTTACGGAGGCCGAGGAAAAAGCCTTGCTGAGACGGATTGACTGGAGGATCATGACCATATGCTCCTTTCTATTTCTGATGAAGAATCTCGATTCCGATAATATCAGCAACGCCAGAATTATGAATCGCGAAACCGATAGAAACATTTTGACAGAACTCAACATGACATCCGACCAGTACAACCTTCTTACGGTCGTATACTATGTAAGTGTCATGATATTGTCAACTCGCAAAAAAGAGCCACATCTAACCACTTACTAGGTACCTTACATTGTTCTGGAAGCTCCGTCTAACCTCCTTCTTAAGAAGATGAAGCCTAGCAACTGGCAATCGCGCATCATGATATCATGGGGGATTTGCCTGTTGGGACACGTCCCTGTCAGCAACAAAGGAGGATTATATGCAGCAAGATTCTTGTTGGGAGTGGTGAGTATGACGAGCCCAAATTGTCAGCTTCCGGTTACTGACTCAGTTATCAAGTTCGAAGCAGGCATGTTTCCTGGCGTCATCTTGCAGATGACCTACTGGTACCGACCAGATGAGATGTCTATACGTTTGTTATACTTTTGTATGAAACTGCCGTCTAGATATGGATAAGAATCACACTAACTAAGAACCAGATATGCTTGGCAACTTCTCTAATGTTATTGGCGGATTACTTGCCTTTGCCTTCGACACGGCGTCTGGCTCTCGTGGCCTTTCGGGGTGGCAGTGGCTGTTTCTCTCCGAAGGATTGTTGACAATCGTTCTTGGGGTCATTGTCAAATTTCTTTTGCCGGACTGTAAGCTGTTTTTTTTTTTTTCTTTTTTTTTCCCCCGCTATTACTGGAAAGCATTAAGGAATAACTGATAACACGTTCTAAAGTCCCACCCACAGCTAAGTGGCTAAGCGACAAAGAGAAGGCCTTCATCCAGGCTAGACTGCCGGCCAACGCACCCCGAGCAGCGGAGCAAAATTTCAACTTCCGGGAAATCATAGACACGCTCAAGGATCGCCGCCTATGGCTCTTTACTCTCATCTGGGCAACCTTCACAGTGGGAACATCCGGTGTCAGGTTTTACCAGCCGACTGTCATCGCGAACCTGGGCTTCACAACCATCGCACAAGCACAGCTGCTCAACCTGCCCATCAGCTTTCTTGCGATCACGGTCATTGGCGTAACGGGATTCTTTGCCGACAACGGAAAACTTCCGCGGCCGGTATATCCTCTTGGGGTATTTGCGGTCGTCTTGGCATGCTATGGCATCCTGGTCGCCTATCCTTCCAACGGCGCAGTCTACGCTGCAACCCTCGTCGGCAACGCGTTTACAGCCGCGTTTTACCCACTGATGTGGCCTTGGCGCGTCCAAACAACATCCCGCGCCACCGGGTCGGCTTTCAGCATCGGTTTCGTCAACAGCTACGGTCAGATCGGTGGTGCCATCGGACCTCAAATATTCAAGGAGAAATACGCGCCGCGGTACCGGGAGAGCTTTGCTACTGCAATAGCCCTCGTTTTCGTTTGCACAATTGTTACCCTAGTCACATGGTGGGTCACCCGTCGCTCAGAGGCGGACACTCGCAGGTTGAAGCGTGAGAGAGTGGAAGCGAATAAGAAGGGCTTGGCGGTGTTGGACGACGTCGTAGATCAGGATTTGCAGGCAAAAAGATAGCCCATTGCATCCCTGTGAAAAGAAACACGGTTTCTTCATAACTGCCTTAGGCTCCAATGCATCGCAAAGGTACATACAACTACTACTATCATAGCATAGATTAGCACTGGTCGTCTTGGACGCCAGAAAACGGCAGACTTTAGCATCAGAAGTAGCGAAAGGCAGCTATGTGCTAGATCTAACGGTTTTCCTTATTTTTATTTTATTTTTTATTTTTTTACAAAAGAAATGATTTAGGTGCAAGTACCGTTATCTGTGCGATCAATCCAACAACCCTCTTTTTGTCTTCCTACCGTTTCTCCCCCGTTCCCTCAGGGTTCTTTGTCTGTATACCGAACACGTGTTATTAGTATTACTGTGTGCCTGTGCCGCCGTATCTGTTGACAACAGCGACCATGTGCGCGGACGGAAAATGACTGGCAGCCTCTTCAGACCGATCTCGAATATTGAACGTTTTCGAATTTAATAATATATCAACCATCAGCCAACCTGGGGTGATTCATCTGGGGATGGTTTACCATTAAGCACACATACATGTACATATACAGCTGCGACTTCGCACAGTACCGTACCCACCCACAGTTATTGATTGCCACACAGCCCTGCATCTCTACTACTAAGTAAAACGATGGCCAGCATACATATATGTACTCCATATACATATTAATAATATATGTAATACTTGTAAGATGACAGCACATCTGGGGGCAGTGCAATGATCGCAGCAGGAAATTTGATATGGGATGGCCATTGATAAACTGGGTATTACGCACTAGCAAGTGGGGCGAGAGACCAACAGGATCGTACGGAGGGCATCGAAGGGCAACGGCTAAGCGGCATTGTTAATCTCTTCCCATGAGACGAGCTCGGGATTGAATACATTACATCATTAATAAAATCTGGGTCATACTTTAAATGGTTAATAGCCAATCACATTTTTCAAATAAGGCGCACTGTACAACGTACGGCTTGTGAGACAGCCGCCTTGAGAATCTGGGAAAGCTCTGTGTTCGTACTCGTATGACCAAGGGGGTTTCTCCCCGTCTCCATCTTCCTTCGATCGTGAATTATAGCTTGTCATCTCTTGGCCTTATTCTGCAGCAAAACCACAAGGAAGCTTGCAGCAGACGTTCGACACTGCCGCCATATTTTCTGGTGCTATCCGGTGTTGGGGAAACCGGCAACTCTGATCGCGACCTTGCGGCTTTCCTGCGTAGAGGCCGCCCGCGCCACAACAAGCCACTGCTATAGGCCCGATACCAGACATTGTGTTGCACGAAGCACAGCTTGTTTACGATGCATTTACCGAGCACCCGGCGAGAGGTACTTTCGGCAGCGATCAAGGCCTGTATCTTGATTCTGATTGCAGCCCTCGTCTTCGAGATAGCAGATGTGCCATCGAGAGAATCATGGGGAGACCTGGTACGGCTACCAAATATTTGGCGCCACACACATGACACCGACATCGAAGCCATCCGTAAAGTCGACCACCGTCTCCTTACTAGCAAGCGATTCAAGGACGGGACCTACCATTCCATCGACCTCAACCGGACCGGAATAGATGTGTTGAATCCGACATTGCTTGAGCTTCCTCGAGGAAGCCAGCATGATTTCTTGGTCGTGGCGAGAGCGTTTCACGTCGACGAACATATCGATGGCGTCGACTACAGGCGAGCTCGACAGGTGGCCATGTTTGCAAACCTGACCGATAATGACGGAAAGCCAGAGCTGGAGACCGGCGAATGGAAGAGACTGCTGGTCGAGGATTTTCTCGGTCCAAAGCATCACTGCAAGGCGCAGCCGAAAATGGACAAGTACATTGGCCCGGAAGACATGAAGGCTTTCTGGTCCCGGACCAGAGCACCCTTGATCATCTTCACGCATCAGACCCCCGACGAAAATCTGTGCGAGGGCATGTTCATCATCGATGCCCGAGCAGCTGTACCCGAGTTCGGCGAAATACTCGGTAGCAGTGGCCTGGACATGCCGCCCGTATACTTCCAAGAGCCGACTCCACTGTACCGTCGGCCACCGGAGGGGCAGGAGGAGGATGCGCGATACCAGAGAGAGAAGAACTGGGCGCTGACCCAGTCTCCGTTACTCCCAGACGACCAAGATTTGTTCGTCATGGCCGAGCCCGGTCAGCTCTTCCGGTTCAAGTCCATCGGCGAACCGGTCGAACAGGTCCCTTCGGAAGAGAAATCATTGGTCGAAGCGCCCTTCCCTTACGACGCCAACGAGACATGGCATAGCAAGGCAGAAACTTGCGTTCACGATGTCATGCGCTCGGATAGCCATGTGCACCAGTCCACTCCCATGCTCAGCTTGACACTCTGCAACAGAGGCTCCTGCACGCCAAAGGAAGATAACACTGTCCTGATAGGCATGGTGCAGAGACGTTATGACCCCCCCGTACGCGCTCATACGATGTACGAGCGGCGTATCGTTGCGTATAACTCTGCTCCACCCTACCAGATGCGCTCAGTGAGCAAGAAGCTCATGTATCCTGGCGAGGAGGAAGACAAGTACATCTGGACCGGAGGTATGGTCTTCTTTGCAAACTCGACGGATATCCCGCTGGATCGGAGTCACGGGTTCTTGGATGACGAGGTCTGGCTGAGTTTTGGCATAATGGACAAGGCACCGGGTTGGTTGGATGTCAGTGCCGAGGAATTGATAAAATACCATTACTTCTGCGAGGGCGCATCTCGGGGGTATAGAGACAGCGTCGAGGTCATGTCTCTCTAAAGTTTCTAGAGAGTAGAGTGTATAATTAAAGATTGGTTTTAGCTTAGCCTGGCTTGGCTATCTGGGAAGAAGAATAGTAGTGGGGAAACGAAACGGCTTGCATAGAGTGATTGTTCCTGTTTCACAATGGGGGCCGTTGATTGTTTCTAAATATGGCCCAACTAATGAAGACAATGTCGAGGAGGCTTAACAATCGACAATGCGTATGCAAGGTTCTTCAACGTGTAGCACCGACGCATACTAGCGCTGAGAACCCAATGCCAATATTTGCCATTCAAAATGTACCCAAACAATGGGGCTCCTGTCATTGCGGACCCCATGCAAGGGAGGACCCATCAGTTGGCCATGACGATATTCTGCATTTAACCGGCGGCTTGGCGCTAGCCTCCCGACTGGACGGCTCCCGAGGAACAGGAACTCAGATCTCTACGCCCCAAGTTAGAGCAATGCGATATGTACAACGTAGGCTGGCTTCAGATGGCTTTGGCGAGATCTTTCCCGTTTAGCGTGTCTCGGGGGTCATGAGAAGCCGGGGCTAAAGGAGTGAGGGAGCCTGGGAGGCTGTCCGTCACGCTGGACAACAAGGTGGAGAAGCAAATCGCCAAGCATCGGCAAGTGGTTTGCGTGCTCAATATCTACTATGTAGTACGCAGGGGCGAGGACGTTATTGAGTAAAGATGCCGAATATCCGGAACGCCCCACCAACCTCCGTTAACCGACTGACTGACTTACTTTTCAACGTGGGCCCGGTGTAGCACGGCTGACAACACACGGCACTCCGGCCATATACTCTAAAGGAAAGAAGAAAGCAACTGTGTCAGAAGCCTCATGCGTAGGCGTAGGCTACCATACGCCTTTCCAATACCTTCATCTCCATTAGCTTCATGTAAGGGGAGGGTCATGGATTGCGCTGCCATCCCTAGAACATGGATCCCTTAATGTATTTGGACTGTCCTACGTGTAATGCTCGTACGATAATGCCCAACTTCACGTGGTTCGACGTGGCTGCTCTCATTGGGCGTATCGGTATTAAGTATACTGTCAAGATCTCGTTTGTTTCACACTTTGACAGAAAGGCAGCTTTATATCTGGTGGCAAATCTTGGGACATGTGTATTACAACCTATAGATCCAACAACCGAGACACGTCCTAAACACGGAGAAATGAAGAGCGCCTCAAGTTAATGAAGGGGGAAAGGAGAGTCACCATCTCTTCGAAAGTCATCAGCGATACTCAACACCTATACATTGACATCAGATCTCCTTTATTTTTATGAAGATGCGTTTCTCTTCCAACGTTGCTTCGTGCCTCCTTTCAGCTGGCCCATGGTCCGGTCACTGGGGTCGTGAACATAGGCCAGGAGATTGCTAAGCGCCGCACAATTCCTGGTCACTTCCAGCAAGAGGTCCCTTAGACACTGTGTCGCCAAGCTCAAGGCTCATAGCCGTGAAGCTCAAAGCATTGCCCACCGGTCTGCTACCGTTCAGTAGCCCGTTCCAAAAGGGGCTTTAGTAAGCATGACGCCGACTCACTTTGTCCTAGCTACATCCCACATCTCGACTAGCCCAGGCTACGACCTCCAGAGCCCAGCTTCTGAGCTGTTTGCCAGGAATAACCCCTGCCTCCATCCAGTGACATCTCCGTAAGCAGGTACACCGCGTCTAGATATATTTTTCTACCGCACTTCCTTACTGACGATCTGAAGACGTTGGTGGAGAGGACATGCGCTATGGCTAAACCGAAGACCAGGAGGTCGTCAACCTGACGATAGACTACCAGGTCGTCTATCTCAGCGCCTCTGGGCCTGTTCCCGAGGCCATTTTGGAGATCTGGAACCGTGGAGCCACTGGTGTCTAGGATTGGTGTTGTTGCCAGCGGCATTGGCAACGCAGACGACGAGAACAACATCAACAAGACCTTCCTTCGTGGTATCTAACTCACTAGCAACTAGGTGTTACCCAGCTTAACCACAACATCCCCGAATACTACACTAGTCATCCTGTCCACATCCCCGTCTTAGTTTCACACCAATGTCACTCAGTACTTCATCAACACTCTAGGCAAGGAAGCCCGCGCTAGCCACGTTGACTAGACACTGTGATGCCAAGACCCCAACAACGAAATCAAGCACGATGTCTTCCTCACGGTACCAATACCCAGTTGGTGACTGTCAATGCTGATGACAGAATCCTTACCGAGGAAGTTGACGAAGGTGTCAACACCATGACGGAGTACAGCTATCTCGATGACAAACCCACAATAATCCTTTTACTACCCAACATTTTATTTCTTATATTTATGTACTATATAAAAAAAGACAAAAAAAAATCATGTTAATGAAAATATTTAATAATAATGTTAAAAAAATGTCCTAGAACTGCAGGTTTACAGAAAAAACTTACTTTTATTACTAATATGAAATATTTACCAGCCTTTTCTAATAAACAATGAAAGAATATAATATATTCTTTCAATAAACCCAATTCCAAAAATATAGCAGCTAATAATGCTGATACAAACAAAATTATTAAAAGCTGTTCTACTTTATTCTTTCAAGATAGTAAATTCTCAAGTAAAACAAAATGCGTATAAAATTCAGTAAAATTCATAATAAGTAAATTCGTAGCCCTACGAAGTAGAGCTTATAGATTTAAACCGTCTCATTCATGTGAATAACAATTAAAGGCTTCTCATGATTATATCTATCTATTACCTTTTAGACTGAAAGATGTTTATCGAGGACGGCAATCTCTCCTGGATCGCCTTTGGCACCAAGGCTACCATTCCTGAGTCTATTACTCCTACCGCCTTTCTCTACGAGTCTGGTAACGAAGAAAATGCCAACTGGGGTGCTCCCCCTGACTACCTGTCCAGGGCCTCAGAGTACTGCATCCGTCTTCATTGTCGTTATTTAGTTCTGTTTTGTTTACCATAGACACACTACACTCTATTTACCTCTTGTTCGTTAAACATTACAGTATCATGTCATTGATTCTTTGCATTAAACGGATGTCTTTATCTCAACATATTCACATAACGTGCTGTTGAAAACGTGTTTTGGGCCTACGATCCCCGAAGGGTACAACTGGAACGGAAAGGCTCTAGATCTTCGGTCAATCAGAATCTGGTAGGGAAGCAGTATATAGTAATCCTCTAATATATCAGTCTTCTTTGTTCAAGATAACGGAATGTTGGAATTGGAGACATGCTAGTGTACTTCTGGAATGACGCAGAGATACATATATCGATGTCAATATCGAGCACATGTACTGTGCATCTGGCAGCGGGACGCGGGTGTAGAATGCATTAAAGAAAAGGAAAAAAAAAGTGGCTTGACCCGAGACCCACTATGATGAACAACGTTATCTTGTTGGCTATTTGATAATACCTCGGGGGAGGCACGTTTATGATTGATTGGGTAAAACGATCTTGACAACCATTCATGTTAGTTGCTAAAAACTACTCTCGCGAAACTTAAAAAGGGCGGTTTGTTTTCTTTCTTTCTCGCCTCCTTTTCCTTATGCTGTAAGCTCACGATATCTAATCGAGCCATCACTCGTCAACTTCTACAATGAAGGCTTCCGTACTTTATACAGCCTTGGGCCTTCTGCCCCTGGTATTGTGTCGGAATGTTTGGCGGGAGGCCCGGGGTAAGTCCATCGAGTACACATCGGTCGAAGGATACTTTTTGCAGGACGACAAGACGACCAGCACCGATGGCTTCGATTACGTATGCTGCCCTCTGTCCTGCTTTCTTTGTGGCATGATGCTTTACTCATATGTATAATGACTAGGCCGACGTCAACTTTGGCCTAATTGACCGAAAGTACCCCACTGACAACTACTTGAGTCGAAACGATTGCGATTCGCAATGGGAGCGTTTCGATCGCTGGGTCAAGTACCTCAATTGGAACCCTCGGAACCGTGGCGATGTGCAATACAAGGTGATTTTCATGGGCCGCCATGGAAATGGCTGGCACAATTCTGCCGAAACCTTTTATGGGACTCCGGCCTGGAATGTATTGTGTTTCACCACACCATGAATGCGTGGCAATCACCGGTCTAATGACGCCTATATAATAGTGCTATTGGGCTGAGCAAACCGGCAATGGCACTGCCTATTGGAAAGATGCCGCGCTCACTTCTGCTGGAATCGACGAAGCCCTCAAGGCAAATGCCTACTTCAAAGACCGCTACGCCACGCAAAATATGCCGCACTTCGAGTCGTACTATGTCAGCCCTCTTCAGCGCTGCACCACCACCGCCAACCTCACCTTTGGGGACATTGACCTGCCTCGCCAGCATCCGTTCGTGCCCACTGTCAAGGAGCTATTCCGAGAAGGCATGACACCCCATACGTGCAATTGGCGATCCAACAAGACGTTTATCGGGGAGAATTTCCCTCGGTACGAGTTCGAGAAGGGGTTTGCTGAGCATGACGAGCTATGGGATGCCACAAAGAGCGAGACAGGTGATGCACAGGATGTGCGAGCCAAGGCGGTGCTCGACGACATGTTCAGAAACGATAGCAACACCTGGATTAGTGTCACAGCCCACTCGGGTATGATCTCACGACTCCTCAAAGCCCTGAACCATCGTGAGTTCAGGCTCAGCACGGGTCAGATCATTCCCGTTCTGGTCAAGGCCGAGGCTATCGATCTGCAACCCCAGCCGACATACCAGGCTCACGAACCCTACTCGACATGCACTGCTCCACCAATTACTAGCATTGCCGAACGGGGATGCGTGTGTCCAACACCGACGACAACTGCACTGCCGAGTTGATCGGGGTCAGTTTTACAAACGCATGTTGGATATCTGGAGGCTTATCAGCGTTTTAATTGATAACGGATGTTGTAAACACAATCAGTCATGAAAGGACACCTGGGCAAAAGCTGCCTGAAAATAACGAGACATTCATGTTCCGTGTCCTTGGGTGTGGCCCGAACCGTCCTTATAGAGCATGCGGAGCGTCAACTCAGCATCTTGGAAATGCGGGCCCTCCACCGTCCCATATATTCCCTATAGTAGACGAACAGGTTGATCGGGCCCGAGATCGCCGCCGGGAATGAGTACAGCATCGAAACAGCTCCCTACCAAGCTCATAGGGTGAATAGAATACTCTCCGTATTATACGAGGTCGGTTAGCTCAGTTGGTTAGAGCGTCGTACTAATAATGCGAAGGTCATGAGTTCGACCCTCATACTGACCATGTTGTGAAATTTTTGGCCCCGCCCCGTCTAAATTTGGATTCTTGGGTATGGACTTTTTTTTATCATTGCCATGTGCTACGTACGATACACGTGTTGAGCTCTCTTTTCTTTTACATTTTTTTCATTAGTTAAGCAATTAATCGATTATTTCTGTTCATAATGTGTCTCAAGGAAATGCAGGCTCAGGCTTTGACCCGTACGGGATGATGCGCACCATGTGCCTGCGCTCACCATCGGCAAAGTCGGGCACGGCGCTGTGAGCCGCGGCCCTCTGGTCCCAAACAACGACGGTGCCTGGTTCCCAACTCACGCGACAGCTGAAATCCAGGCTTCTGATATGGTTGTGCAAAAACCCAAGAAGGTTGTCAGATTCTTCGGGTAAAAACCCCTCAATACTGCGAGCAATTGTGGGGTTCACAAAGAGCGAAGGCTTGCCGGTAACAGGATGCCTTATCACGAGAGGGTGCGTCGTCGACACGGCCTCCTTGAGCGCACGTTCGGCGCCTATGCGCGCAACTTCACCCACTGATGCAGAGGTGTGGAAAAGGCGGAGTGGATGCAAGGTTTCCCTGAAGGCGGGTGAAAGAGCATCGTACGCGGCCGACAAGGATGTAAATGCTGTGTCGCCTCCGCCGTTGGCGGGAGTCTCGAGGACCCAGAAGAACGTCGTGGACGGGACATTTGGCGTGAATGTTTGGTCAACATGCCAAAGATCATAGGTCGCCCGCCGACCTAGAAGCGTTCGGAGATTTCCCCTGCAGGGAGTCAGTAGTGTAAAAACGGAACAATAAATGGAGACCTACGCTTTTTCGTCTGCGTAAACGACATGGAACTCTGGCCCAGTTCCCGCTGGGTAGCCCATAGTGGGATGCTTTGCGCCGATGTCAGTGCTAGTCCCCAGCTTGCGTCCATCACACCCATGTTTCTGTTGAATGCTCGCATACTTTGTGGAGAGGTCCATAGTGGCCTACGATATCCTTCTGCTTATCAAACCCCACATCCGCAAAATCTTGGTCTCTCTGGTCAACATTAGCATGCCATCACCGAAATATTTTATATAGTTTTTTTCCGGTACAGTTACGCACAAATACCAAGACGCCCCTCTCGGCGGCCAACGCGGCCACCTCATCTAGGCCAGATTTTGACAGCGCGCTGAGTTGTACTCCACGGATCTCCGTACCGATCTTGGGCGTGATGTTTTTGGTGGTAGTTCCGGATCCCAACAGAGATGCCTTGGATGCACTGGCTCGAGACCCTGGCTCATCTGCCTCGAATAGGGGGAGATTAAGGGTCGGCTGGAAGCCATCCGGCCTAGTAGGTAGGTAAGCGGGGTACAATGGCGCAGAGGTCATGTTGGTTGAGCCGTACGTTGTACCGTAGAACAGATATGTCGTAAAGAGAAGAACCAGACTTCACTCGTTAGATATACTTAGTAACGTATTTATATGCAGGAAAACACCCAGATAGTAAGGGTACATACCTACGATTTAGGTAGGGCGGACTTACCCGATGTCGGGGGTAATCCGCCCGTCGGGAGAGTCCGCAGTCATCGCTCGACTATGGGAACCCCGCGCATGGCGTAGCATATCGGTATGACTTTACATTAATAGAATTGTGGCTTACGATATCTATCGGAAAATGTTATGTGATATCTTGGCAAGAGTGCGTGCTTGCAACTCATTGTAGATAAAACATCCACGTAGCGTTAGTCATGGTATTGCGACATCTGCCTTTATACAAATATCATTGGCTAACGGTGTCTTTGCTAGTAATACATGTAAAGATGCACCGTATCTGACTGTGGGTACTCGCATGCGGGCTTTATTGCATGAAGAATTCTTGGCATGCGCGTGCGCGGTCCTATGTGAACGTGGGGACTAACTTAGGATAATAAGCGTTGTGTAAAGGCACAGGGTCCGATGGCCTGCCGCCATTCCCTATGCTATGGCGCAAGTATCGGTAGCGAATATCCTGAGAATTGATTGGTTAGATCATTGTGTGCATCTTCAGGTAAAACGGTTCGTGTGGTTTTTTTTTTTATATATAAATATATCTGACCTAGAGATAGAGCTCCTAGATTCTCGAGGGTGCGCAGACAAACATCCCGACACCAGAGACCTACAATGCCTGACTACGAGATCCGGAGCGGCACAGCGACAAGTAGGGAGACTGGGTGGTTGGGAAGAATCATTCCATACTTTGCAGACCCGGAACATATCTTGGTTCTCAAGCTCGATGTCTTCCTCCTCGTGTGGGCCTTCGTGGCGGGACTGATGAAAGATATGGATCAGTCCGCGACGACAGCAGCCTACGTTTCCGGCATGAAGGAATCCCTCAAGCTTTACGGAAATGAATTGGTCGAGTTCACCACATATTTCTCAATCGGATACGCCATCTTCATTGTTCCCTCCCAGCTCGTACAGACCAAACTGAGGCCGTCTCTCTGGCTACCTATTTGTGAGGTCATCTGGGGAGCATTCACATTGGCCACCTTTGCTGCCAAGAACGCCCGCACAATCTACATTCTCCGGTTCTTTCTGGGTGTTTTCGAAGCAACATCTTGGCCGGGCTTGGTGAACCTCATCTTCAACTGGTACACCCCGTCAGAGATCGGGAAACGACTTGCGATATTCGGTGTCAGCGGTGTAGCCGGAAACATGTTTCTTGGAATAGTCCAAGCTGCACTTTACAAGAACCTCGATGGCGTGCACGGGCTAGAGGGGTGGCAGTGGCTCTTCATCGTGTCCGGTATCATGACCATGGTTTGGGGCCTGTACGGGCTCTTCGTCATACCAGACGCGCCATATACCACCCGTGCCCTGTGGCTGACGGACCATGAGAGGCAACTGGCCAGGTCCAGGATGACAGATACCGGTATCAAGACGCAGGAAAAGATCAAGGGAAAGGCATTATGGGGCAAGCTGAAGGCTATTGTTGTTCATCCAATCGGCTACTTTTTCCTCGCTGCCTATCTCCAGTTTGCCTGGTCGCAGCGGGCCAACTCCTACATTCTTCTCTACCTGAAGGGTCTCAAGAATTCTGCTGGTGATCCTCTTTACTCAGTCTACACCGTCAACTTGATTCCTCTGGGTGGATATGCCATCTCGATTGTCACCAATATTGGCCTCAACGCCCTTAGCGACTGGAAGAATTGGAGATGGCAGGTTGCCATTGGCGCTGCTGGCCTGCAGCTGATAGCCACGTCCGTTTTGTCCGGATGGCCCGACGACCGAGCCACTGTTATGGCCTTTTACTTCCTCACATTTGCCACGGCCGCGTGGGGGTATGCGTTGCTGGCATGGCTGGGTACCCTCTTGAGCAAAGAACCTGAAGCGCGGTCCATCATTGTCGGCGCTGCTGTGACTTTGGTCTATGTTGGACATGCGACGATTCCATTGCGAGCGTGGCGGGTAGAAGATTCTCCTCAATACCCCGTCGGCTTTCCCATGAGCGCAGCGTTCAGTGCTGGAAGTATCCTGGTCATCTTGGCCATGGTCTGGTACGTGAGGCGCCATCCCCAACTCTTGGAACAGGGATTTGGCCACACAAACAAAGATGAAGAAGAGCCTAGTAAGATTGATAGCGAAGACTCGGTGTAATGCGATGACAAATCTACCTGAGAAATGGATTTCTATGAGAGTTGATTTCGAAAGCCAGCACATGTCCTATACAATCAGTATGTTAGTATGTTAGCACAACCAACGGTCTCACACGTTTGGCTTGGTGTTATTGAATAATAATACGTTAAGACTTGTATGTTTTGCTATCTGAAACCCCCTTTTGTTTTTCTTATGCTTTCTATACTGTTTTCGTGAGCTCGAGTCAACCAGACACAACGATGTGGGCACATCTAACCAACTAAAGTACTGCATACTCCTTGTCAAAGGTATCGATATTCCAACATCGATTGTAGCCACTCAAGGATGAGCGCAGCTGCCTTTCGGCGTTCACCAACCACTCATCACCACCCTAGTGTGATTTAGCATATATGTAAGTCAACGAAGCATGGAGAATATAAGAATAACCTGGAGATGCGCTCAAAAAGATGTAGGTGCCAAGATATAGGACGGAGGTTTCATGAGCCACGTCAACAACCAGCCTCGCCGCGGTATCAAGAATAATCTGAGAGAGGTTACGCCATTCTTCTTCGATTCAAGTTTTCTTATTGGAACTTCTTTTCGGTTCATCGAGACTGCGCCAATGGAGAACGAATATGGAATTGATCGTCGTTAATCTATGCTGCCGGTGTTGAAAAGAAACTACGTTACAGACCAGATGATAGCTGATATTGCATGACATGAATTGTTGATGGCCGGAGGCCACATGGTCACGTGGTTCAGCTAGCCCTTGCTTTCTCATATATCACATTGTGTAGTAGCTAATTAGTTAGCATTCATCATCATCACCTTCGGTTCTTCAGAGCCTTGAGCCACCTTCATGCCTGCACATAAATAAAGTGCCTCCACACTCATGAAATTCTTGTATAGCCGTTGCGGACAACGCCTGCAGATCGCTGTCTAGGGTTCGAAACTTATCCAGCCTGGATTCAGAGGATGGTATGTCGGAGGCTTTTATGATCTGCTCATGAAGCCACATTTCTTGAGTAAAACGACTGAATGCACCAACTTCAGGATCTTTGATGGAGGGCAGTGTCAATATCGCAATGAATCTGTGGTCCGTTATGATGTCGTTCTCCAAAACGTGGGGCTCAATTGGAAGCTTGATACTGTCAATTATGATTTTCGCAATAAGCGGCTGATCTAGGTTTCCCAATTCGTAGAAGATCGCCCTGCTTGTCCAAATCCATTAGCATAGCACAAAGAAAAAATGAAAAAAAAGTGCCACTGGACAGAGACCCAGTACCTCTCGCAAATTATGACCACCCACTATGTATGGGCAGTTTCTTTTGATTCCAGATTGATTTGTGTTTCTGAACTACTTTTCAGGCTCGTAAGACCACACTGGTCTGATCAAGAACCCCTCTGGAGGCTAACGCGTCTAGAATAGCCCATTCGAGCACATTCAGCAATGATGAGGATAGCCTGCTCAGGCCGGCCAAACACATACTCATATAGGGCCAACAGGAGACCGGCTTGTATGGTATAGGTGGAGGGAGGATAGAGCCTTTTGCACTTGGGCAAAGATCGACCGTGTTGCAAGGTATAACGATTGTGCCCTGAAAGTATCCCACTCAGATGAGGGAAGGAAATAATCAAGCAGATACTCAGTAGAAGAGCAGAAAAGTCGGCGACGGGAGCTGATTCAAGAGTTCAGTCGGCCCGGCAGCTACTGTAACGGTCTCATATTGACCATTGATGGCGGACGCCTGTCTGTAATGAATGGGACATGTTAGATATCTCCAGCTGGAGATATGAAGACGAAGAGAAGTAACATACCATTACTGGCCGCGACTACTGTGGTGTCAAAGGTGCAACTACCCTTGGGTAATTACGTATGGCTATTACGGGCATGCGGCTTTCCGATGTCAAATCCGGGATAAAGGCGCGAATCACGTGGGGTACAGTTTTCTACGATGTGTACATGTACTGTAACTCGATATCGGTGGTGTTGTGATGTTGTAGAGCATAGTAGATAAATATACATCAATTGAAAGAGCTAACACAAACAGCATTGGGAATCTGCCACGACATACAACAAGTCAGGGGATGCCCAAGTGCCCTGGTTCCAGACAATCTGCGTCTACAGCTTGCTCTTGGGCTCCTCACCCTTAAGTATATTGTTGTTGTGCGGGTAAGGGTCAAAGACAACCTTGTTGAGTGGGTTGAGTTCACTGGCCCTGTGGAACAGATCCTCGTAGACATTTCCGTCTTCGCGTCCCAAGCTCGAATCAAGCTGCCAATCCGGAAAGCTCCATGCGTCGACCAGACGGATAGCGTGAGGCCGGATATCCCCCAGAAGCTTCATGATTGCCTTGCGGGCAAGCTGTATCTGACGCGTGGTTGTAGCACCGCTAGAGAAGAACTCGGTCGCCTCGCGTTCAAGTGTGTGCAGGGCGAACAGACGGAAAAGCTGCTGAAGGACAGTGGTAGTCTGACGATCAAGCGAGCTCTGAGAGGGATCCACAAGTGCACCGTAGAACGACTTGACCACCATGTACTGGGCGTGTGCCGTGCTTAGGCGATAGAAATCGACTAGCAGACTGTTCCAAGACTGCTTGTCGACGTCGCGGTGCTGGAGTGCCTCAAAGGTGAAGTAGGCGACACGCCAAGCGTAGGCATCCACAAGATCAGAATCTGATGCCAGAACATCGAAAGCTGCACCGGTGTCGCGACGGGCGAGGAAGGTCTTGAGGATGCGTGCCGTGTCATTGTCCCCGGCCTTACCGGCAAGCACTGCACGAGCGGTCTTCAGAAGGTAGCGGCACACTTGCTGTGTCAACATGTAGTTGTCACCCTCCCATGTTAAGGTCGGGAGGTAGTCCGCAAACCAGGTACCAATGCCGGAGAATGAGCTATACCCGTGGCCTCCGCAAGCACGGCGGCAGACCTCAAGCCCTTCACCGGCAACAGTGCTACCGTATGATTTAAGGGCGCACGACGTAGCATGCAGGTCAGCCATCAGGTCGGCTCCAGGGTTGAGTTCCTCTGGACCCGGTCGACGGTTTGCGTCTTTCAGTTTCGGAGGTTCCTGCTTACGCGCCACTCGTTGCTGATTCTCTTCGTACAGACTAATCATGCTGCGACCGGTGAAATGGAGCGCAAACGTAGCCGCCAACAACGGCAGAAGTCTGTATTGAACCATGGTATAGTCCAGGACCTGGTTCTCGCCAACGTTGCCCTTGGCATCAAGGTCTTGGAACTGCCGACGCACAGCGGAGTAGCGAGTTGCGATTGTCACACCCCGGGCCAACACTGAGCCTGACTGGAGGACGATGGTGCTCCGGACCCAAGTGAGAGTACCATAGATCGCTGCGGGATTGGCAGGTTGCTCGTATCTTCCGGAGCTAGGGTCCACGCGGGAGAATCTTGCAAGCATGTTGACATGTGGAATCTTGAGGTTGTTGAGAAGAAGAAAGCCATTGTCCATGGTATTGTAGCCGAACTTGGGTCCAATATCACCGACATGGACGTTCGGGAGAGGCTGGTGTGTGTTCATGTCCCTGATCTGGACAACAAACGGATGCGGGCCGTACCGCTTGCCGTCGATGATGAGCTGCGCCATGACCACCGCATGGTTGGAGACCTTGCCGAGCGAGCCAATCCACCATTTTGAGGATGTAAGCTGGGGCGAATGGAGCGTGAAGGTCTTGTCGGATTGGTTCCACGTGGCGGTTGTCTCTAGGCCACGAACATTGGAACCGTGACCTAACTCGGTCTGCGCGTAGCACCCGATGATCTCGTAGTTCTCGGCGCGCGTCAAGAAGAGCTTGTGCTGCTCCGGGGTGCCCTGATCACGCAGAGTCTTGAGGAACATGGACGCGTGGAGACCATAAGGCGTGGGTTCGGCAAGCAGATCATTGGCGATCATGTACTCGTCTTCGGACCAACTGTGTTGGACCTGAAGCTGGCGCAGCCTCTTGGCCTTGCCAAGGGAGGCCTGGATGCGCTCCTGGCGGCCCTGGAAATAGTTTTGGGATTTGTCAAATATGGGGTCGTTGAGGAGGATCTTCAGTATGCGGTCGCGGGTATCGAGGGCAGCCTTGGTGAACAGATAATCAGAGAGCTGGTTGACATCAAGGTTGCTGGCCGAGCGCTCCGCTGCAAGGAGGTCGGAACCCCGCGGCGCAGCCACGGCCAGCTTCTTGACCCAGTCCGGGTTAGGCGACATGTTCCTTCTATGCTGACGGGATGTTGTATCGGGAGCACTGAGGAAGTAATTTCATATATCTGGTTGATGATGGGAAGACTCAAACGAGAAGAGAGGTTGTTGACGGAATTAGTACTCGCCGGACCCTTGAAAGGTGCTCGGTCAAGCCCCCGTTGCTGCCCCGGTATACGAGCGTCGCCCGAGGCAACTAGCTCACAGTAGCCCGATCCACATATTGTTACCGAGGCACCCCACAAACTTCAATGTTATCCCGTTCCCGTGATTTCTTTCATTGACGAAGTAATAACAGATATTGCCGAGAAACTGGAGCCTAGGGGCGTGCCCGGGCATTAGCATCATAGGAACAGGACATGTGAAGATCCCACGATTCCAAATCCGAAAGCACACCTGAGACCTTGGCGACCCAAGAGACATGCCCACGCCGTAAAGCTGGGTGCGGCTACCATAGTTGTGGGTCCCACGCACTGAGCAATATCATGTGATGCAACGCGTGGAAGAGAATTGGAACTTTTCATTTTCACCATCATCTTGGTAGTAAAATTGGTAAGGGTTAAAACCACTGGAGCAATTTCTAGTAGTTGCCCTCCATACACAGCCAAACAGCATCACTGTATCGAGGAGATAAAGGGTAGCATCTAATAACATGATGGTCCATGACTGGGTTTTGTTTACGTCATTGTGTATAACATCCGGCTATCACCCTCCGGCCCGGCTAATATTGCATGTAGCTTTTCAGCATCTGGCACGACTGCGCACATTGTTTTACCCCATTCGCTTCTTCCGAACCAATGACACTCGGTCCTCAATTGAAAATTGTACTCCTACCCAGTTGAGTTGGAGTATATATTAATAACTGCTATCCGGGAGCACAATGGAGGCCGTGTGCCTGACAAATGAGGGCCTCACTAAGTACGAGCAAGACGCACGTCTTCATTATAAACAAGAGTCTGTATTATCCTCTAAATGGATCCTTTCTTTCTATCCTTTTCTGCTGTGAGGGTGTACGCCCGGTGAGAATTCTTTGGGCTGGCCAGATTTATGTATGATATTTAGATCCCTAAACTTAGTTTACTATTGGCCGTGGAGGGCACCATGCCACCATTAACACTCGATTGCAATCATCATAAAAGAATGAAAACCAACCTGAAGTATGAAGGACTACCCCCATGACAGTGGTGCATTTCCGATACCTTGAAACCCCATATCCGCTAGGCAAGTCGGCAATTTAGCCGGCCACCTTGTCGACGTGTCAAATCATAGGCACATAGTCAGCGTACAGATTGTTCACAGTCACCTTCTTGCTACTGTCCTTATCCATGGTACCGGCTCTCTGTTTCTCTGATGGGATTGCGGGATTCATCTCACAAGACAGGTAGGACAACGGAACATCCGGTTTCAGGTACCCCGATTTGGTGAGAGGACCCACGAAGCTGCGGACAGAGTACTGGCTGAATCTCTTGACCCAATGAAGGAAGACCTTGGTAAAATGGTAGATCATTAAAGACGGTACGGACCTAAGCCCTAATTGATCAACAAGGTGATTTTAGCTCTCTGGCTCTATGGATGTGTATGATGTGAGCATAACCTATTTGTATTGAGCCAGAAGGGGCTTCTAGTGACGAAGTTATAACAGATATCGTCGAGAAACTGGGTCCTGAGATAAACCATCCTGGGACTATCCTATATGGAGTAACCATGTTATAGGACGGTAGTAAGTCTCTTCGAAAATCGGCATTTTTGCCTTATAGAGCATCCGGGACTAGAAAAACTTGGGTGTGCCTGCCCATCGTGTCCATGGACACAAGGATGCCCTATGATGGTACATTATGTTCGGGGTCTCAATGAAGGTTCCACAATAGAAGTTGAATATAAGAAGAATAAGGTTGCAGCGACACTTGGACAGCCTGTGGCAAGATACAGATTAAATACCCGAATTGTCAGCATCCGAAAGCGTTCGAGAATAGGGTGAGTGTAATGGCACAGCGGCGGGGAAATGAAGCCAGCTATGTACGAACTCGGCATAGGTGCACTGGGTACATGTGGCGTTGACACATATACAACTATATGTACGCCACATTTCGTGGAGATATATGCGAAACAATGATAGTAAGATCAGAGCTCGTTGGGAAGTATATAACGAAGATACGTGGGGGGAATTGATTCACATTCATGATAAAGGCATGTCTTGATGCAAGGGCAGTCCATTAAATCAAATATTCTATGTTCGCTTCTCCTATCCCTAGCACATGTAGAGCATGCTGTATAGTTTGGTGATGAACCAAACACCCCTGGGGCGCCCCCTCCCCCTTAATCCTCCCTGCTTCGCACGATCGCCGTGTATACCATTACTGTGGCTGCCGAATTAAGTAACAGTAATGGTTGGCGTCGGCAGCGGGAACCCTCTAGTGCCGGCCTCGGTTCATGTCAGCATTGGTATCTGTTATTACTAGCCTCTGCCCCCGTTATAATCAGCACCACCGGCCTTGCGTAGCCGGGTCACCACATCCTTCTCATCCAACTCGTTCCGGTCGTTGGCTGTGATGGCGATGCTGTGGTGCGGCAGAACCCTCTTGACGTCGCCGCTCTCGACGCTGACACGAGCCTTGCGCATGACCTTGGTGTTCTCTCCAATCCACACAATCAGAACGAATTTGACCCGTGTGCTCTCCTTATCATTGGCGTATTCGACACGTGCGTAACCGTACTGCACTTGACTGTCGTCAAGGGCCGAGGAGAGCTCTGCCAGGCCACCGGTGCCCGTTTGGCTCAGCATGAGTTTATTCCCAGTGGGGGCCGCGTACGAGATGAGCATCCAGTTGGTTGTTTCTTTGTCGGAGCGGACAGCATCGTAGGCCGCTGCGATCTCCGGCGCGTCGAGACCGGACATGTTGTCGGTCAGGGATTTGGGGTAACAATTGGCTCGAGGTGCTGAAAAGTGGGAGGAATCGTGGTTGAGGATGATATGTAGTCACAATGTCGATTTTTTCAAGGGCGCTTTCCCCTCCTGGTCAACAGGGAGTGTACGAGTAAGAAAAAGGCGATTGAGCGTTGCCTATTGTCGGGGCCGACTGTCAGGGTTTCGGTCTAAATGTGATGAAGATATGTCCGAGTTCGAGAATGAAATTGGCCCGGAATAACTTTAATCCAGCATCTATTCCCTAAAGCTCGACGAGGCTCGTTTTTTTTCGGACAAAATCGACATATATATGTTTCTACAGTTCTGTGACGGTTGGGTTCAACTCTAAGCTATAGGGTAGACAGAGATAAGGTGTCGTTTTATATAACGAGACAGTTAGGATGTCGTACTAAGCAATAAGGCAGTTATAGTCGTAGGTGCTTGTTCTTAGGGAACTAGTTCTAATAGAATGTTACGGCCCGTTATGCGACCTTCACGTGTACCCCACAATTTTCTTACTTATCACTAGCATGTGACGGTTAGTACGACTCTGTGCTACAGGGTAGTCAGAGAAGTGTCGGTTTCATGTTAGCGAGGCCGTTAGGGCGTCTAACTAAGCAATAAGGCAGTTATAGTCGCAGGTACTAATTATAGAAGGAACTAGGGTTCTAAAAGAAGCGTTAACTATTATATTAATAGCTAGGTAAAGAGTGACTAGGCTATAGAAATGAGGTGGACTATATACTAGGCGATCGCTAATATTCTTAAGGCGATCGCAATGATCGTTCTAGTGGTCGCTACGATCCCGAAGGCGATCGCAATAATCGTTGCTTAAAACCGAATGATCGCGTTATAAGTGGAAGTGTTGGTGATAAGTAAGAAAATTATAGGGTGCACGTGAAGGTCGCATAACGGGCCGTAATAGCTAACTATAGATTTAACCTAAAGGTATACTAAACGATACTACTAAGACTACTTATAGAAAGGGTAATGCTTAACGCTAATTAGTTACGATTACTATACTCCTAAATATAGAAAGAACTTCCCTTTATTCGCTAAAGAATAGTAAAATACTATAACTAGAAAAGATTAAAGGGACTAATCTTTAAGAGAGGGGATATAGTCTACCTACTCTAATAAAATTTTTAGATAACTCGACTAAGTATAAAACTCGACTTTAAGAAAATTAGACTATTTAAGGTTAAAGAAGCATTTTTAGACACTAACTATAAACTATTACTACTATCTATAATAAAGATATACCCTATTTCTTATATTTTATTATTAGAACTTATACTATAAAACGTAAAACAATAACTATATATTAAGGTATATAAAGAGGAATACGAACCTAAATGAATTATTAATAAACGAGAACTATAAGGAGAAATATAATATTTAGTTAAATAGAAAGGATATAATAATACTAAAAATATATAAGAACCCGCAAAATACCTTAAGAACTGCCTTCGCCTCGTGCGATAGTTTCATTAAAGTTATTCGAGACCCTAGCGGATAAAGACGACTCCCTAGTAATACCTATATTAGTAAAAAATAACGAAGTTAAGGCTACATTATTAGATAGTAAGAGCGGATTAATCTCGATATCTAAGAAAAGACCCCCGCTCGAGGAAGGACGCTCCTTAGTAGCACGCTACGCTTCGCGTTCTGCCTCCTCCTTTTCTATACGCTCTAACTCCTCTACTAAATCGATGCTACGAGACACTATACGTATTATCTTCTCGAACTATAATTTCTTTTATTTTTAAAGACGCTCGATTTTCGCGTCCGTCTAACGTCGCTCCTCCTTAGCCTACTCTAGCTTAGATTTAAGGTTAGAATGCTAAGCGACAATCTTCTTTAGCTAGTTAAAGGAAGGACCGGAGATATTATAGGATGCTCGGTTAAGGCGAACGCACTCTATATAGCGCGAAGAGTCCAACTTAGAAACCCGATAGGACGATAACCCACGAGTCTAATAGTTCGAATATAAAGGCATATTAATAGAATTTCTAAGTATCGTCTTAAGGAGACGAACTTTTCGATTTCTAGCGTCTATAGACGATTTTTAGGAACGTTTAGCAACACGGCTAGATATAGTAAGATAGAAGGATAAAGGAAGGGACTTATAGAATAACTAATAGGTAGGATAAGAACGCTTATATATAATCTTAGGATAAGATCCTTAGGAGAGGGGCATCGTATTACGGCCCGTTATATAACCTTTACGTGCACCCTACAATTTTCTTACTTATCACTACATTCCCTACTTATATATAATAAAAAGCGATTACCTTAATTACCTAGCGATCGCAATGATCGCTCCTCACCATTATTACATCCCCTTAGCGATCGCCTAGTATATAGCTAACCTTATTTCTATAGCCTAGTCACTCTTTACCTAGCTATTAATACAATAGTTAACGCTTCTTTTAGAACCCTAGTTCCTTCTAYAATTAGYACCTACGACTATRACTGCCTTATTGCTTAGTTAGACGCCCTAACGGCCTCGCCAACATAAAACCGACACTTCTCTGACTACCCTGTAGCATAGAGTCGTACCAACCGTCACACTAACGAACTCGGTATATATAGCGTCTATTATAGTATAGGAGGGGAGACTATATCTATTTAGTAGCGATAATTTAGATATTAGGCTTTATAGCCTACCTTAATTTCTTATTCACCTAGTCTTGATTTGCGCTAGCATCGACTAGCGCCTTACACACTTCTATAGCGCGCCTAATGCCGTAATTACGCTAGCAATAGTATATAGCATACTTTAACGTTTAAACGTTATTAGTATATATACTACGGTAATAATTGCCGGCCACCCGTTACTTACGTATAGCAGTCCTAGTCTATAAGGGTTAACGGTATTAATAGATATAACGCCGTCTCGCTAAAGCATTCTCATCGAGTCTATATCTCCCCGCTAAATAGAGTTAAATATTAGTGAGCTATATAGTATGGTTATTAGGACTCGGTAAAATAACTATTTAGATAACCTATAGAGTTTAAGTGCTACGTAATATGTCTATTGAGTTAAAGTAGTCTATTAATTTTATGCTTAATCGTTTTAGAGAGAAAGCGTGGTGACTAATAGGATTCACTTGGCTAAGGGACGAAACACAGTCCTAAAGGGTACTCTAAGCTCTTACATTAAGCGTCTTAGCGTCAACGCCCTATCTAACGGTTTTATAGAACTTGACTGTGGGACGATTTAAGAAGCTTGTTGTTAAACAGGGTTTAGTGTGTCAGACTTGCTCTACCTAATAGGAGTTTGCACGGATCGTCGGAAAATAGGCGTCTTCAATATCGATAACTTCTAGTGTATTCTGATTATCCTCATGCCAATATTCGTCGAGAAGAAAGGCCTTTTGTGACTGTATCCATCTACTTCGACTGCGTCGTCTCGGATGACGCGGGTTAGGCTGTGACTAATAGGACACAACATTAGTAGGGGATTTTCACGGAATAAGAAACCGGTTCTAGAAGCCTAATCAGCTGGAGGATATTCTAACCTCCCGGATCAAACTCACGGTTTGGGTTTCCAATTTTCGTTTTTATGGTGACGTTAGTAGACCTCTATAGCCAAAACATCGGTGTGTCCGTTCTTGGGGTCCTTAGCAATCCCAAGGACAATATATTCGTAGCAGAAAGCCTTGGGCCTTGCCTTTCACCATGACTCTTATTACTGGCCTTGTAGTCCTCGCTCAGGTCCTCGTCGCTGCCAGAGTCGGTTCCGTTGGCATAATCGCCGTCACAGTTGTCGTCCGGATCAATGACAGCTTCGTTAGGATAAAAACGATACCGAGATTAGTGTGTGCTTCTAAGGCTTTAGAGCGGATAGAAAACAGATCAACGACCCAAAGAGCCATTGTCTATATACGAGCGCATTTTTCGGCAATGCTGCGCCATATAGAGGCCCTAGAAAGGATATGCAAGATCCGGAGAAGAGCGGCAACTATGGCATAGTGTGATGACTAAAAAGAACGAGTGCTTATATGATGATGAATGGGATGCTGGAATAAGAGTGGAGGAGCTTTTGCTTCGGAAGTCACGTCACAATAGCGATGACTAACGAGCATGTGGGGATAACAAGCGCTGTTGATTCGCTTGCTGACCTGCCCTTCAGGAGCAGTATAGGTCCGCGACGGCCGGTGGATTCTCTTGATACGGTATCAAGAATATCAGTCAGACCGACAGGCATATCCTCGTCAAGGAGATCCAAGCCATCCAGAGCAAGCTTAAGGACGAGAAAAGTTTTATGACTATAGATTCAATCTCTATTTTTGATTCGTTTGAGGAGCAGTTTGAGGGAGGTGACCTTGAATTGAAAGCTACATCTAAGTATTGGAGTGGGCCAAAAACGTAAGCCACTAAGTCCGTACTCTGCCTCATTGTTATTTATGCCCGCATGCAGTACAATGATACTGGCTACGAATCGGATGCCAGCGACGAGCCCGACACTGGCCTCGGGTCCGACGAATTGGTGACGGCGATGTCGAGGGCGCAATTCGTATCCGTACTAGTTCCCAGAATATCCGACCATACGCCCGTCTACTCTGGGCTATAGAGTAGACGGCAGGCGTCGCCGCGCCTTAGGTCTGATTGGCGCTTTGTGTGGGCGGGGTAGGAAGCGGAACATGAGGGGTTTTTGCGGCGCGTTGAAGTGCCAGACTCGAAGTCAAGCCCCTACATTTACAGATTCTAACATAATCTTCCCACATTATGGAGATTGAATCGAAAATCCCCGGTCTCAACTTGGACCTGACTGAGCGAGATCTAGAGCAGAGTCAACAAATGTAAGCTCTTGCCCAAACGCCATGATGTAGCAAAGCTGACACTGGTGGCATAGTTACAACAGTCTTCCTACCGACGAGAATCAGCTCGATATTGGCCCGGCGCTTGAAGGCCTTGCCAAAATATTCGTCAAGCATAATGTCCACGAGTCGTTTGGCGTGCACTTAGCTCATGCTCACTTCAAAATTGGAGAAAACACCATCTTCGCTGGCGATGGCAGCCTTCCATGTTGGACCAAACCAACCGAGACCGATTCGCTAGATCTCGAGAATATTTATGGCCACAAATTCGTCCTCGCAGACGGACGTTTCCATCCGTACGAATACCGCGCCGGTATCCGGCCGCGTTCCCTCCATATAAGCGACTTCGTCTCCGAGTTAGCCGACTTCATCCAGCAGAATGGTTTAAAGGATGCCGTTGCACTTGAGGTTTTGGATAAGCCGCTGCCCAGGCCATTGATGGAGCTGGTAGTGGGGGACCATGGCACTATGATGGCCCCTTCCGAAAAGCTAATCGACTGCACGCCCTTCCGACAAACTGGCTGGACCTTTACTAAGAAAGATGGGAAACCAAATGTCTGCAAGGATGGTCAGCAGTTCCACGGCGCTCATCCGAGGGGCCATGTGATTGTTACAACTTCGTGGGACGTTCTTGAAAGTAAATCAGATGTTGTGCATTTCTTAGAGAAAAGGGGCCTATATAAGTAACTGAACGCGATATTTATCCACTATTCGATTGCCAATGCCTTGTGTGAGCCAAACAGTAATGAAAGGTGGGTACTGAGGTGGAATATTCAGCTAGGCATAAGACAGCTCATTTATAGCTGCACAAACACTATGGTAGGTCACATTCGTCACAGACGGACTCTCTGCCCGCGTAATCACGTTGTCTAAGGCGTTGCGTCGGCGAGCATGTGTGGTCAATTCACGTACCACAGCATCGGGAACAGCAAACGTAATGAAGGAGCCCATCCTACAATCAGAATCCACAGACGATTGTAGGATTATCACCGGGTACTCTCGAAGCCGGGAACATTTAAGAGCCCATAAAGTTTAGCCATCATTGAGAGAAAAGGAATCAGCATCTGCGCAACTATGTTCATCATGAGCAATAGCGCTGGATGTAGATGCGGGAGCATCATTGGCAGCATTGGGAAGCAGGTCGTGATTGCCGTCATTAGAAATCTCATCAACCTTACGGCTGTGCACGACATTCTGGAATCGCAAGGCTGTCAGCTCGGTGGCCTCGGCCAGTGTTGGAGTGCAGCAAGTCAGCGAAGGCGTGGCCCGAGTAGTCGAGCCAACGGGTTGGGCTCGAGACGAAACCTGGAATTCATTGGCGACGGTTGAGTTTTGCGGGCCACTAGTGTTGTTGGAGGAGATACCTGCGTTCCGTGTTGTACCCGGAGAGGAGAGTTTGGTGCTGATATTGCCAGCGCCGGACCTTTGCCTTTCAATAAGGTACCGATCAAGGGCCACGGGGACAGCATAAGACAATTCCTCTGGACTGACGTTGCCATATCTGCGAAAGTCATCTAGAATATGGTCCACCAGGGATCTGGCAGGCTGTGGATTAATCAGGTGGGCAATTGACACGTCTCGCGGGGGGATGCTGTCAACTGGGACTTGTGTCCATAGAGGCGTGGCCGGAGTTAGCAATGTTTCTGAAGCATTCGATGTGGGTATATTTAACAGATTCTCAGACATAGAGAGGAACTGTGGCGCTCGGATCCCCTTTGTGCCTTGCGCCAGGTCATGCAAGTTCACTGGGTCTCCCAAAAAACCCCGCTTCTGATATAGAGAGTTCGTCCCGTCGACAGATGTGGCTTGCGTGTAGTCTGCCTGCACAGGGGATATGTCGAGATAGGACGTCGACACATTCGAGGACGTGGGTGGGCTTCGAAGTTCCTCATTAGCTTGATAGGGTCAGTACAACCGATACGACAGACATATTCAAGATGTTTTTGCCATACTAGAGGTGCTTGGATGTGGCGGATTAAGGATTTCCTGTCCGGCCGAGCTCGTTTAGGCTGCATCTAGAAATCTTCCCATTTTGTCGGGCGTAGCGCGCGCTGCTGACTCCGGCGAGGCAACACTTGCCAAGTTGACCTGCTTCTCCATACCCATGTGCTTTCCTGTATTAGATATCGTATCCGAGTTGGAGACCGCGTATCTATAGGATTTGCCCCCACTCTCTAAAATAGTTAGAGACGCTAAGATCAAAACTATCAGCAAGACGAAATGAACAAGGAATTGACGACACAGACCTAAGGTCGAGAGAATCCCTGCTGCCCATTCCATGGACGATGTTCCCGGTCGGGGCGAAATATCACCAGTTGACTTGAGCAGAGGCAATGTCACACTTTCCGAGGGGGAACCGACACCCTCTGAGCGACATGAAAACTCGCCAGGTGTCGAGTGAATGACATCGGGGGCCGCGGTCTCATTTTGGTTATCTGCTCGGAATAAGTTAGCAAAGGCGGAATAAGCAGGGCGTAGTAAAAAGGGTGCAATGACCTACCGGTCCTATGTTTCTTAGCTGGTTGGTGGCCGGGGCTAGATGTTGCCATCCGCTTGTTTGGAGACGTCACTAGTGTGTCGTCATTCACGGCCACAGAGCTTACCGAATTTGGCGTGCTTGGGGAGGTACTGGTGGTCCCCTGGTCTTCTTTGAATTGTTAGCACAATCAACATTCATGAAACCTTCTAGACCATGCACATACCTAAGATAACCTCAAAAAAGTCTCTCTGTGAGGAGGCACGCCGGTCACCCATTGCCTTAGGGAGAGGCTTCCGGGCGGTGACTAACTCGGTCTGAACGGACTCCTCATTGTCGCCCCTTAGGGACTCTATAAAAGAGAGCGGGGATGGAATTGGCCTGGATTTTGCGGCAAGCGAAGACGTCGCCTTGGTCTCTACTGCCAGACAAGACTGCGCACCGCTGTCAGAGACCAGCTCGAAGTCTGATCCACTATCACCCTGCAGCTGATCTGCCTCGGCTTGTCGCTTAAGCTGCTGTTCCACGTACTGCTTTCTTAGCTGTCGTTCTATTTTTTCGAGCCCTGCATTGTCTACTGATATAGCGTAGGCTGGAATGTAACGACGACAACTGCCATGAATCTGTCAGACAAGACTGCCATAGGTGTCATCCATCTCGACTATATGGTCATTTAGAGAGCCGGTGATGGCGACTTGTACGGCGAACCCGACCTTGACACTGCCCATCGCCGCTAGGTCTGGCAACTGGGATTGCACGCTGCGCGGTTGCCCAGACCACTTCTCCACCTGCTTTAAGCACCGGTCATCTCCAGAACGACATCAACCACGCCTGGCTGGCCCTGGGCCAACGACAGCTGGAGCTGATACGGTCCTGGGCAGACCAGTCGTCGGGCCTTTGCGACCACCCGTACTAGCTGTCACCAACACGCAGTTAGCTGAATCGATCGACTCTCGAGCCATACCTTAGCCCGTTGCTGTATAGGGCCCGACAAGAGACCGTCCCACTCGACCGAGTCTTGGACGCGATCAGGTTGACACCCGCCCTTGCCGTATATACATGTCACGGACGGGAACCAAGGCAGCAAGGATTCGTCGGCCCTACTAAGCACTGGCTTAATGGTGGAGGATACCGCGGGTCGCGTTACGTTAAGCTTGTTCAGAGGTTTGGGTGTCGTCGCCTTAAAATGGTGGTGAGGAATACCTCTGGTCCGAGAGCGTCCACTAGTTAGGGTGATGTTCTCTCTAACCATGATCTGGATTCCGTGTACATGGAGATATATCGTAAACGAATTCTTCGTGTCTAATGGACAAGCAGACTCCATACAACAGCTCTATGACACATACTGGCCACTAAGCTTAGCCTAAGATGAGTCGGTCAACACGTATCTAAAAATACTATAAATATATAGCTCTCACAAGATGGACCATCCGTCGCCGGCGAAAAGGTAAACCCATTTTTCTATCTATAACTGAGCCACGCCGAGACACTTGAATTACGCAAACTGATCTGGCATTAAAGATGAACTGAATGGCATTAGCAGGTTTCCAAAGCACCCTAACGCTAGCGTTATGGCTGGTACACTCGCCCAGAAGCCCCGCAGTCCACAGCCTTTGGCATTTACATGGCCGGATGTTAAGTATTCAGGTACGATGGCAAGGTCTGAGGACTACAGCCTTTCCTTTGAACGATTACCCCCACGAATTGCCACGCCGAAAAACAGATCCCTCCCTGCTCAACGCATAGTGGCTTGGACCATTTAGGTGCCAATGCAAACTAGGATGATTCAATGTCACACCTCCCCCAAAACCCTTAAGCCGACATGGCAATCTTCGAAAGGAACGCTCTATTGCCACAAAAATCAATACACCCCGTTGTGTAAGTTAGAGCCAGGCGTAGAATAGAAGGGTAATCAAGATCCCTTATAAGTTTATACGTCTCATTAGATAGATTGTTAAGAGACTAATAGGACAAGATACATAAAAAGGTAAATTGTCTAATTCTCCTATAGATTAAAGGTCGTATATTATGTCGTAGGGTTGTGTATATATAATCTAAATACCATTCTGGGCTAATGTTTGGCTAACGACATTACCCTGCCTTTTATGTCTAATGTGGGTTGTTAAGATAGCGACTATAGGGGGCCATGGCTTGTGCTCCGCGTGGCCACACTATATCTTTTCCCGGGGCTGTTCTCCTTGTTATCTCCGTCGCCTTCGTATATAGTGAACGGCGGCACGCTCGGGGTCTAGGAATGCTCTCTAGTTATAGTTTCATTACGCCGATAACTAACTTCTTGTGTGTGAGTTGCTTTTTCTTGATTTCTTAAATCGAGCGACTGACTAGTGTATAATTCATTTCTACATCGAATTGAGAGATCCCAAGTATAGGCATCCTAGGGGATATGCACGCTATTCGAGTTAAAAGAGAAACCAGCTTCTATTTTTTTCTTAACCGTCGAGTAGATAGATGTCCACTAAGGATCCCACTGTGGCTTTATACCTCGATAGACTTTAACCTTTTAAGAATGAGATTCCATTGCCGGCGCTTATCGTGTTTGCTCTACTTCTACACATCGATTCTAAGCGCCGATTCTAAGCGCTGAAGTTGACGGTAGTAGATAGACTTAGGGACGGGTGGGCGCTAGATAAATCATTCCGTTTTTAATGACCACCATTCGACTTAGGAATAAGGGATATCCTACCATATCGGCTAGTTATTGTGAATACGAGTTCCGCTAAGAGAGTGAAGCGGGAAATAGACGCTTACACTCGTTCTACGACGAGCTCAAATGTAAAGTTCGCGGCGGCTAGTGTCATCACTTTATATTAATCCTACACCGTAGGAAGATGTGCTAGCGGAAAAGTAACGTGGCTTACATTATTTCGACTACGTATAGGCTAGAGGCCACGGCAACTCGCGTTTAGGGTATATGTCTATCTAGATATATCGAGACTGCGGATTGCCGTGCTTAAAGGCTAAGTCGATGCGATATAGGTCGGTTGAGTCGACTGCGAACTAGTTCTTATACCTCGAGGTCGGACTTAAGGTAAACAACCTAGTGGAATAGGTATCTACGGCACTAATTAGGGGTTTCTCCCGGGATTCTAGTGTGATTATATCCATTTTCGGTCACTCTCGTCGAACATAACTCTACTAGCATGACTATCGCACTCTTCCTTAGAGATGGCGTCTCTAGTTCGCTCTATGGCAGTGGACGTGAAACGGCCTGGTTACGTGGCCTTAACGGAGAATGCCACGCGGCTTGCTAGTCGAGTCTGTATTAGTGGCGGAAGGATGACGCTTAGTTGATTTCTTAGATATTGATTCCCTCCGACGGGTCTAAAAGATAGGAGGGGTGTTCGGCGAATGTATAGAAATAATAGCCTTTATAACGAGGAGCGGCTGATGCCTAGGAGCGTTAGTGTTAACATCGAAGCGGGCGATATCTACCCTTTGCCTAGTTACACATTTAGCGCCTAACCATGCTTCTCGTCCGTTAACACCCATTCCCAGTCGGCGCAAGGCGAAACTAGGGAATTGGCCGTTAGTTTCTCGTGCCGTTAACTGTAGGCTTCGCAGAGCATGTATTTCCCACCATCACCAACGCTCATTCCATAGATCAGCGGCCGCTTATACTCTGATTTCAGTGGCATCCTAGTGTTGACTATAGTAAGGGGGAGAAAATAGGTAATAAACTAGAACGGTCTACTTAAAAACGGAAAAATTGGCAATTAGATCATTACATTAAGTACTACCCTTCTATGATCCTAGTGACGGGGGAACTGTTCTCTATACCCTCCCTAGTGCCTATAGTAGCGTATAGATATCGCCTAGCAATAACAGGGCCTCACTCGGGTTCGTAAATCCGGATTCCGAATTCCTACATTTCGATAGACATAGTGTTATGGCCTCACGTATGCGGACATTTTCGCTTAGCCGCATGTAGATAATCCTACATAAAAAAGGTTTGATTGTTATAGTGTGCCATCACTTATTATATAGAGGAAATCACCCCTTCCTTTACACATAGCATCGTACTTATTAGAAAGGCTCTCTTATCTAAAAAGGGGGTAGGGCTGAAATTAGCTAAGGAACGTATTAGGACGATGACGGATATGCGTATATTTATTTATAACTCACTTGTCTCGTTACTTTCTATTGAACATAACCTATATAGGTTCCTGTAGATATCTGCAGCCTTCTGTAGTCACACCTTCTCTTATTATTCCTTGCCACATCACCGTGTATTACCTTTCCGTCCCTCGCGGGGTTATTTTCGTCAACAACTTTACCTTCAATTCCGTAAGTCTACTAATAATCTCCTAAATAGCGGAACCGACAATACCCTTTATAGTTTGTCTAGATTACATATAGGAAATCCTAAATCCAAAAGATCATCCCGCACCCTAGCTTGATTATAACGGTTCAAGCCGAAATAATCAGCAGCCCCGAAGCTTAGTGTAGCACTGGCTTTCTAGTTGTGCATCGAGGTGACCCCATAAGGATGGTTGCCAGTGTTCGTGCGGCTGTGGATATCAAGGTGCGGCTTCTAGGAGAAGCTCTTGTTGCAGTTGAGTCTATCGCAAATGTACTTCCAGATCTTAGAAACAGCCCTTTAGGAGACGATAAAGCCGGTATCTATGTCGACCTGAATGGCCTTCATAAGCTAGTCGACGTCGGTGACAAACTCGACGCGGTCCTTGGGGTCGGAGCATTGGCAGTGATCGTTTTGGAGAGCCGCGGGTGTGTCGTAGCCTTGTCCACAGATGTCTCAATGCCATAGCGCACACGAATCACTCCTATAGAGAGGTGAACGGTTTTATGACGAGAAGTTTATATCCTGCCCAAAATTTCGCGGAATGTTCGTGAGACAGGGATGTCGTTTCAAACAAGGAGGATCTTCGTCTTAGCCAGCAAGTCGGTGCTGTGCCTCATCCTGTCAAACACTACGCATGGTTGTTGCAAACGGGACACATTTCACACAGCACCATTCATTGTGCTCGTGCGTCCGCAATCCGAATAGCTCGTTTATTCTTTATTTTTTATTTCCCATATATTTGCTACGGTACAGAGCACAGTTTTTAGTAGCTCCACAGGCAAACAAACAGTCAAGCAGATAAGCAAACAAGAAGCAAACAACATAGGCGCCATGCAGAGGTAACATATACGCAGGGTATAAGGGTTTGTCTCACAATTATCGTTGCTATGCCTTCTCCCCGCGATATACGCTGGCTCAATGCTGGTCTCCCTGTATCCCCCCGCCCCTGCCAGGAGAAAATCTGCCCTTAGCCCCGTTGTTCTGCCACGAGGTCCATCACACCCCTTCGCTATGCTCGTTCAGTTATCGTGGAGAACGCTATCGAGGCCACCGGATCTGGCTCGCGAAGTGTTGAGACCTTATATCATAAACATTGCAACAATGACTTCATCTAGGGAATCTTTAGGAGCCGACAGCAGCATTGAAACACTCAAGGGCGGGTGGCAACCTGACGGCATCCAAAATCTAGTCGAGTGGGACGGTCTCCTGCCGGGCCCATCTACTGCCGCCTGCGGACCGGCACCGCCGCATTCGACACGCTGGGCCAGGCCTCCTTTCATTGCCAGGAACAGATCTTGGAGAGCGGCAGCACGACGGCATCAACCGAGACCGACACCAAGGTCGTATAGATTAGACCATGCGTTGGGGTATTAGGCCGGTGAATCTCCAACGGAAGCAGACCGGCGGACAAAATGACGGAAACGAAAGAAGCAGAACTCGTTTCAACGACTTCGACGTCTATTCTGAGGGAAGTGAAGAGGTTGATTCCTCCTCCTTCTTCCATTTCTGCTTGTCTTTCTCTGCCCTTGTGTTTGTCTTGTATGAAGGCTAGCACCTGTATATTGATTTTACGTATTTTTATCTAGTCTAAATTATAGATGGAAAATTCCAATTCCAGAAGACCATCCTTAACTTTAGCCTGTCTGCAATGGTCCAATCCAGAATAATCTCCCTTCGTTATACTCCAACAAACCCTATAAGAAACACTATAATATGACTTCTTGGTTGCATATAGAGTGCAATGGCAGGATAAGCTAGCCGTTTTCTCGAGAAATGCTCCAATGATGTGTAAACGTTGCCTTCTCTTAGTGCCCCTATGTATGAACGCCTTACGAATAAGACGTCGCCAAGCTTTTGGTAGGTCGTGATAGCTTATGATTGCTTCAATCCAGCGGACTGTTATGATATCTTCCGTGCCAGGGTCGAGGTTGCCTAAATCTACATATATATGGATTCGGTTGCGTGTAAAATATTCCTCGAGATGGTTTGACCATAGGGCTCCTCGAGCAGAGCGGGGTACCTAGATTTTAGTGTTAATATCAACAAGCGCGAGCTAATAAGTACTTTTCTTACCTTGCGCGATGTTCCCTCGGAACCATAAGACAGGATCGCTTCAGTGTCGGGTAAGCCTCGAGTGGCCAGAATTTCAATGTTGCCACACTCCTAAGCATTTAACAATGGGCGTCCGCCTGCGAACAGTCCGAGAGGTAAGTGCTCCATATTTTGTTCTTAAAGAAAACCCCAAAGACAAAGGAAAGGCGCTAGTAAATTATAATGCTCCTTGCTAAGGCCACAAGTGGACTTGGCCAGTTATGGCTATAGGAAAATAAATGTACGTGTACTAGCAACGATACCATATTTATAAATCAGCTACATCACTAAGACAGTCGAAACAGTAGTTTAAAAACATAGGCACGAACCAATTCGCGAAATTACAGAAATGGCCGATCTGTGGCAAATTCATCAAAACCATTCTAACCTTTTTACTGTAACTACCCACGAATAGATATCTCTGTTCTTCACGGATCGGCCTCACATTTTGACGAGAATCATTCTATGAACAGCATCATCCAAGTATCTAGCCGCCTCAAAAAATTCGAGCATCCAAAGAATATGTGATTCTGCAGCCATTTTACTGGATGGAGCGCTGGACGCAGAACATCCGTCAAATGACACTTGGCTTAATCTGGAAGCATTCAGGCTGTCCAATGTTCGTATAAGGCGCGTTCCTTTTGTGTCTTTGGCGAGTGGCGCCCAATTGCCCTCCCAAACCTGGAACCATCTTTGCATAATGAGGGTAACTTGCGAGCCAATTGGAACAAAAAGTTGGATTATGCAGGGGACGGGAAGCTGCCACGCTTGGAGAATAGAGAAATAGGTAGCTATCGCGAAAGACACATCACCACCTAGCATATCAAGGTCGTCCTATGCGAGCTTCATCGAGGGGCATATCCGCATCTTGTACACGTTGGGAAGATGTTTGTGTCTATACTATAGAGGACATAGGAGAGATAGAGAAGGGGGCAGTTGTAAACGTGTGTGCGTGTTTGTGCTTGAGTGGATGCCCGCAAATCCATTTGAGATGAGTGACATCGATCACACAATACTGCTATAAGGAGGGGCGGCCTTACTCAGTGATGAAAACGATCACGATCGACACGGGCCATCAAGAGCACGGAAATTTTGACCCATGTATGGTTGGATGTACCGGACAACGTGATCCTATCACTGTTGGCTCTATTGTGCATCGTTGGCTCTGCCATGACTGGCCGTCCCTCCATGTGCTCTCGAGCACTGATCCTCCCGTCTCTGCTGCCCATCCCTGAATCATGTGGGACTGTCCTGCGTGGGCAGCCGGGGAGAAATATTCTCATTCCGAACAAGAGTGTACCACCATGCTCATCTCTTGGGCACCCTCTCCATCAGCGAGCAACTATACACTGAACCGAGGGACACTAGTCCTGTGTGGCGTGGGCTCAATTTCCCGCTCTCTCTCAGGGCCTCCTTTCCCAACCGTTATGCTGCCGACGACCTTGTTTACGGCTCCCTAGCAGACTCGGGTGACCTTTTTGTCCACCCGACTCTAGGTCTAAGCGCTTGTCTCTCTCTCGGTTTTCCGGTGGAACACACTATTACTAGGGTGACTAGGGTCATCTATACCACTATTACGGCCCGTTATGCGACCTTCACGTGTACCCCATAATTTTCCTTACTTATCACCACCACATTCACTTACACGCAACACCACCAACACCACGATCATTCATTTCCAGATAACGATCACTGCGATCGCTCCTAGGATCGCAACGATCCCCTAGACGATCATCCAGAACACATAAACAATCATCATGATCGCCCCGGAGACCTCGGCGATCGCCTAGTATATAGTCAACCTCATTCTCTAGCTAGAACACTCTTTTCACCCCAGCTATCAATACAATAGTCAACGCTTCTATTGAACCAGTTCCCAATACAAGCACCTGCGACTGTGACTGCTTCATTGCTCAGTTCGACACCCTAACTGTCTCGCCAACATAAAACCGACACTTCTCTAACTACCCTGTAGCACAGAGTCGTACCAACCGTCACAGTACCCCGTTTCTTCGCTCCGTCATCCGCATTTATAATCTAGCATTTGTAATCTAGCACGATGGCAACCAAACGTCATTCTACCTTTTAAATTTCCTAGGTGCTTCACCGGCCGTTGGTGGATTGTTTGGCTAACCTTGAAGGTGGCAGCCCAGCGACTCGGTCATTCCTGTGTAGTCGTTGGCCGACTCCGCATTTCTAGACGGACTATACGTTGCCGACGATCAGATTTTCCCGCAACTTCATTCAAGTTTTCGGCCGGGGTGGGGTCACGTCGCCATCGATCTATAGTACGTGCTGTCTAGAAGGGTGCGTGGATCGGTTGCTAAGTGTCAAAAGATAGACTCTTATCTTTATTACCGCGTGTATGAACCAGGAGCACTCGCACTATTACGGAGCGTTAAGATAGAAGAGGTTCCTCATCGACGGAAGTGCAATGTTCAATTAAGGGGCAGGATATATCTAGTACCCGTACCGCAACAGTATTGAGTCGAGGGTTAGAGGTTCTAAAAGTCTTGATCCACATCTAAGGATGGAAGCTTGATGTGTCATATTGGAGGATTATAAGATATAGAAGGGGACGTTCCTCTTTCTTTCTTCCTAGAAGAGGATTATATTCATATTCAATTCATATTCTTTTTCTATCTTTTGACTTCCCGGTTGCTTCCTCTTTTTCTTTTGCGTTCACGTGTTAAAAGCCTTCCTTTCACTTGTCTCTAGGCAAATCTAGTATTCCTCGCCGCACATAGCCAAGTCCTGGTTCCCCCCTCGCTACCGCCACCACCAACCGTCAACACTCGCAGCAAGATCTGGGCCACCTTTAGCAAGTTTCGGGGAAGAGTATACCTCTCGAGCCTGTCCAACAGCCAGCCTACCGAAAGCAATGAAACCAGATGCGTGCTCGTCTACAAGCTTGAGCGTTGCTCTGACGCTATCTACATTTCCCGTGATGCCTGGGGAATACGTGGGGTCATGTTCTCCGACGAGCGGGCCATTCAATACGGCCAAGATGATGGTGCGGGGATAGTATGGTGGCAGACGATACGTCTCGACCCGTCGCGGAACAATACACTCGTCTTGTCGAGCGATGTGCGTGTCCCCCTCATACTGCCCGGCATCGCCGGCGCCTCAGCCTCACGTTCAGATTACTAACAGCAGATCAAACAGGGGTTCAAACTGCGCAGCATCACCTTGCAAGGGGACAAGTCTGATAGACCGTAGATTCTGTGGTCTACACCCCACCCATAGTACAGGGACGTCGACCTGGTCTTCTGGCCCCCGCCTAGCCATCGCGAGATAGTACGCCTACTGTCGGTGGTGCTCAATCACCCCGATGCTATAGGATACTCGTTTGACTGCCAAATAAAGACGCTAATTGCCCACCGGAATCACGGAGACTACTGCTATTATGCTGCTATGCGCCCGCCAGACTGGCGCACCAGCTGGAGTCACCTGCCACTAGACAAGGGCGAATGGATCTCGGAGCTGTGGCATTGCAAGGATCTCGATACAATGGAGTCAGGACTCACGGTGAGCATCCTTCACAAACCTAGAGACCTATTGACTCCAGACACTAACTAGGACGAACGGAACCAGCTCGTGACCAACAAACATCGTGTCCAGGCTATAGGATACTACAGCAAGCCGTTGAAGAGTAGTATCCGACTGGTCGCTGTGCTGGGCCCGCAGCCACGCCGACTCTACTATGATGCCGACTACGGCATAGAGACGCACGGAATCGATCCTGCCGACTGGCCATGGCAGCCTCCACTGGGTGCCGGCCTGTCGCCGCGGAAGCGGCTGCGGCCCCCCCGTTCGCCGACCCCTCGTTCGCCGGCACCCCGTTTCCCCATGACCAGCTTCTGCTTCACTAGGGCTTGCCTCGAGGGCGTGTCCGGGGTGGCCGTGTGCCAAATTGGCGCCGTAGTCAGCGGGCTGATACTTAGCTACGCCAAAGGGCATCGCGAATGCGTGGGCAATATCCGCACCGACTGCCTTAGGCGACCCGTGCCGGTAGGGCCCGCCACCGAATTCTGGCTCGTGGTATCCACGGTCAAGCCGGGGAAGCTCCAGGCCACGGCGGTAGACTTTGACCACTACCCGCCGGGCGACACGCGGATCCCTTGGGAAGGCGTCCTCGAATGGTGGCAGGCTGGCACCCAGGCGAGAATCTACCACGAGGGGAGGGAGATACGACCTTTTGATGACTAGTCGCCTAGCATCGCATGGTCCTGCCTGCTAGCATCTACCAAAGTTATCGTGGCGGTGCCGCTGAGGTAATGCTCTAGTCTTTAGCTGCTTCTTACCTCGCTCGGATTGAGCTGATATGGTCAAGGTTAATAAGTGTTGATATAAGTACACGTTGTTGCAATAGTCAGACTCTTAGACCTTAAAACAAGCTTGCCTAATCTATGTAAACCCCAACTGCCCTGCCCAACTATGCGGTGCGTCGTCTACCAGACGACAATTGTCAGCTAGGCCACCGATACTTCTCACCAGAAGCCTCAGCAACAGCTGCACTACGTTCAGCATGCCCCGCCGCCCGCGCCGACACCTCATCACCAACATCCACAGCTTACGGCTGTCGCGGTGCAGCCCGGCGGCACCCTGACTCAGCAGTCCTCGGCAGGGGTAAACAAGTTCGGCCCTATGTTTCCCTATACTGCTGCTGGCCACGTTGGAAACCCTGGCACACCGCCGTACCCCGCCATGCCCCTCAAGTGCTCTTGGGGAAAGTCATCAACGCTGCCGCCGCCCGCTACATCCCTCTTGGGCGCCGTTGAAGTCGACTCATCCCTAGACAACACGAAACGCCTCCTCAGATGTCAGTCATCAACCAAGAAATGGGCCTCTCCTTCTGGGGTTCGGCCCCTGCGGCCTACCAGGAGTGGCCGGCGCCCACGGCACTTCCGGTGGATAACTCAACAACCATAGAGATGATGAATCCAATTGCAAATGTCTCGCAGTTCATCGACCAGTATTTCCCGGTTAGCAGCCGTGCGCCGGTGGAAACAACCTGGTCGGCCGCGATCGACTTTCACCCCACTAACAACGGCGCTGCCAATCCCGACTCACGACCACCACTCACTACTGAGCAACACATGGCTCCCTTTACCGACATCTCCATGGGCAAGCCTGCTGCCATCAGGTTGTCGCTCTCCTCCAATACTATCACACCCAATGAAACGCTCGATCCCCAAAGACGCGTTAAGTTCGACACCACTGTGGACCAGCTTATAAGGGTCGACAACGACACCGACCCCCAGGCCATAACTCCGGCTCCGTCCCCTCGCGTCGACGAGGTCTCGGCCCGCTCCAGCCCCGTCAGCTCTGCCAGCTCCATCATCTCCAAAGGAGTTTGCGACGGCAGCCACTACAACAAGACCTTCTCTAAGAAGACGCACCTCGATATCCACAAGCGCACGCACACTGGAAACCGTCCTTACGTATGTGGTTACCTAGATGTGCAGCTAAATACAAGGGGTATGCAACTAACAGCCCGACAGACTTGCCACCACGACAGCTGCACCCTGACCTTCTCTCAGCTAGGAAACCTCAAGGTAAGCCAACCTCCACATCCAAGCCAGAGAAAGTAAGCGAGTTAGAGAGACTGACTCGACCCGCCGTACAGACCCACGAGCGCCGCCACACCGGAGACCGTCCCTACAAGTGCACCAAGTGCGATAAGATGTTTGCTTAGAAGCGCAATGTCAAGCCGCACGAAGAGACTCACGAGGGCAAGAAGCCGTTCCGCTGCCTTCTCGAGGATTGTGACAAGACGTTTTCGCAGCTTGGCAACATGAAGGTAAGACATGCCACACCGAGTCTATATATACACAATAGTTCCCGAAGCTGACCTTTCTCTTCTCTTACAGACGCACCAGAGCAACCTCCACAAGGAAGCCATTCACAACCTAACCGCCAAGTTTGTTCAATTCACCAATAATGGCTACGTCCCGGAGGAGTACCGGGCACTGTTTGACTACTTCAAGCTGCACTACAAGAACAACAACAGGGGTATCAAGGGACGCGGCAAGGCCCGCAAGATTGCCGGACGCGACGCCCAGGCTCCTCGCAAAGTTAAGGCGAACGCCTCCGCCACAAACAACGCCAATAAGAAGCAGTTCCTCAATGAGAGTCCCCAGGTTGCCAAGTAGCAAGTGAGGTATAGTGGAGAGATAAGCGAATTGGTATCAACCGATGTTCGCAGCCCCTCTTGGTCCGTCTCCAACTTCATTGTCCTGACGATGTCCACAAATGAACATGGCTCCCATATTTGCCGCTTTTTGAGTGCTTTCATTCTTAATCCATAGATTGCAGCCCCAGTCGTGCATAGATGTCAGAACCGAAATTCCCAAATGTGGGGCTTCTGGACGCGTGTAGTCAACGATCAATACATCATCATCGCCCACCATACCTTTATAGTCGTTGCCTCGCCGTGCCTCCGGAGCCATTTTCTCATATCCTCACTGGTCATTCGGTCGATGACACCCCGTGCGTCGCTGCTGTCTTCCAGATACTGAACTGGCCTACGGCCCGATGAAAATGCTTTGATCTTTTTCTTTTCTTCCGTCTGTCCCCCCACTAGATACGGACGCGGCCAGTTTGTCTGGTTGAATGGGATGGTTCTAGGGTAGCCACTTTGGATGAATGGGACGCCCAGGAAGTCCACTTTTGGACACGATAGGATGTGATCGCTCGTTATGGCCTACACCTGCTACATCTATACACGCCCTGACGTACTCAAACGCCCGCATTTTCGAACCCAAACATTGACGCCTTGAACGAAGACTCCTTCCACTGCCAGCACCAGCTGGCTACTTGGACTCATTCAGAAGGGTGCAACTGTGTACGCTCGAGCGTTGTTTCCTAGTCCCAGCGAAACGAGAGAGACAATCGTGATCCTTGATTTACTGAGCAAACTCCGAATATATGAGCTTCAATTTTACATAGGGGAGTTTACAGCTATGAGAAGCTCATATTTCGTGAATGTAGTTTACTATTAGGGCGCGAAACATATTTGAATAATAACCCATATAGATGGCCCTCCTATGAGATGAACGGAGGTGGACTTTCGTTTCTCCGTTTCTCACCAGAGGGGGGATGGCGTCAACGTACTTGGCGATTGCGGGGTCACAAATCTATATTCCTGTAGTCGTTCTCGCTTCAAACTACAAGCTAGTGTTCATGCTTGAAATTAAACAATGTCTCAGATTTATCGCAAACACTTTATACCTCTTGAATCTAACCCCCTTGTTTTCAATCAACTAATACGTTGGCTTGGTGCGCCGACCTGCCTCTCGTTTCAGGATATCCTATCAATTGACGATTCAAGCCTGTTCCCTCATTCCACAATTGCCCTAATTCTTGTTTTTTCCACAACGGATAAGTACGAGGATCGCAGGGCTTCAGAAAACTTAAATTCAAAAGCACGCAATGGTAAGGATGAATCTGTCGTCTGGTTTCCACAGACCATCAACAATGCTTGTGGGCTCTACGCCGTTCTCCATGCCTTGAGCAATGGGAGAGGTTCAGATCTACTGGGTAAGCTCTGCCCTTTCATGGATGAGTGGTACCTTGAACTGATCTTCCGTGCAGAACCCGGTTCCTGGCTGAAGCTTCTTCTGGAGAACTCCTTAAGTATGTCACCAACTGAGCGCTCCCAACTTGTCGAGGCCTCAAAGGACCTCGAGAAGGCTTACAAAGACATTGCCATTCAAGGAAGCACGGGCCAGCCAGCAAGTGCCGAGGACGAGGTGGAATTCCACTACATTTGTTTTGTTGGGTCTCCTAACGGTCACTTATATGAATTGGATGGAGATCTTAAAGGCCCGGTGGATAGGGGTGATTTACTTTCCTCTCATGATCTCTTTGATTCCCGTAATCAGGAGTGTGTCTTAGCGGCGATTCGCGAATATTTTGAGAACGACCCAACTGGCTTTTTCAACATCATGGCTTTAGTAGAGGAAACTCGTTAATCTCTCGACTTGGAATCGGCTGTATAGAATGACGAATTGTATCATAGGGAATCCCCTTCAAAAATATCTCGCGGAAATGACCAATATGTGATTAATTGATGCTTGTTTTACTATACATTAAACCTTAATGGTAAGGTCCTTACCATTTCGACGATACCTATGATCGGGAGGGCGCCTGACATCCTAGATCCGCGCATTTTGATATCAAAATGGTTTTTTTCCTATACAAACTCTCGACCTATATATCTAGATAGGGGGATCAAAATGGCTATATTAAAATAATCCGCAACTTATAAGAAAAATACGTAAAAACTTTAAGATATATTAATTACGGTAAAAAAATAAGTATTTCTATATTTTTAAGCTATATATCTATAAAATAAAGCTAGAATTAGCTATTAAAGTTACTAGCGTTAAGAAATGGCAATCGTGATAACTAATAAGACAATA